CTCTCCTCTCTCTCTCTTCTCTCCTTCTCTCTCTTCTCTCTCTCTCAATCTCTCACTTTTTCCGTTTTGACCTGTATCCCCACTGCTTCTCATACTCTGGACTCTTTATTATCGTTAATAGTCATAATCGGCCAATAACGTCTCTTTTCCCTACTCTTCTATTATTCCTTTTTTATTTTTTTCTGGGTTCATGAATGTTTTTGGAAGGTGATTCTAGTTTTGAATTGTGGACTTTTGTAGGGGACAGCTGTTATTCCGGTTAATTGCTCTGTTTGTGTTCCATGTTTTTCTGTAGACTCTATCTTGATTTTACCCTTCTCTTCTTCTTATGCAATTCATTTTGTGTTTTTCAAAAAGTACTTCATATACGGTGCTTGACACGCTCTAAGAGTATAGTTATTCGAAAGGAAGGTGATGAGTGCAAAATATTCTTTTGGAATTCACGAATTGTGTTGTTTCGTCACTACTCTATTGACTTCCCCCCAATGCTAGCACTAGGGAAGCGATAGATGGATAGTTTGCGTTTTTTTCTCGTTAACCAAAAAAAAGGAGTACAAGAAATGTTGGAAATCAAATGATCAATATTTGTTTCCATCAAGTCCACAATTTTATTGACATTAATGCGTCAAACAGGAAACATGTACACTTGTTTTCAATATTTTGGTTCCATCTAAAGCAAGATAACGTCTTTTTAAAATAAAATGTTGGTCTTAATCACATGGTCCATAGCAAACGAGTAATGTTTCTATAATTTTGTGGGGTTTTATACATGTTTATTATTTTTTAGGATGAAAACAGTTTTCCTCATATCGATGACAATATGTTGTTGCGGAGCATTGTAAAAGTCATGCGTTGTGTTTCACAAGACACCCAAGATCAAGGAGGGTGTGATAGCGATATCCTTGTTATTCTATAAGTTTTAAACAGGACTGAGACACTGCAAATGCACTAGGTGAAGTTATTTCGGCAAAAGGGAATGAGGAAATGTGGTCTCTTAACTTGAGGCAATTATATGCAACATATTTCATGCATATATGCTAACCTACTCTTGTATGTATCGGCCGGCGTATATCAAGAGGTAGAGTTGGCTGACGTGCTGGCAGGAGATCTGGAGATTTGACGCAACAGTAAGGCTGTGTAACAGCGCGCTGTAGAGCCACCCACCTCACTGGATGGCTTCGGAACAAGAAGACAAGGAGGGGTGTGGCGAATTTGCCAAGTGAAAAGTACAGTGACGGAGCAACGAGATTGTGACACGTGGTTCGCTGTGGAGGGGACTAACCTCGAAGAACAAAAAATTGCCCCTCGGGGTTGGAACAGCAAAAAATCCTTCTGTAATAGGGGTAAACGTTACCCCAGAGAGTAAAACGCTAGTAAGGGTTACCGTTAATCTAAAAACCCGAGTTGTTTTGACGAGTTTCGCGAGAGCCAGCAAGGACAAGCGACTCTCGCAAAGACTCTAGACTACAGTAGTTGGCTTTATTTGCACGTACAGTACAGACACAATTAGAGTTCCTGTGCACACTTTCGGTGGGAGGTTGAGCGAGTAGTTCTACGTTTGGGTACGGTTTAAATGGTAGTTGAACTCTATGACACACCCCGAGTTCCGAACTGTGCAGGGAGCCATTTGTCTTTCCCTTCAGTTGTTTTGGTTAGAGCGGGGGAAGATGTCTCCACAGTCGAGTCCAGATGCTGTTTCTCTCCCACTCTGGACTGGGGTGGATGGAGGGAGCTGCTTCGAATACCCCACGATTCACACGAATCTGCTCATGGAGACGAGAGATTCACAACAGTCGTTGGCCGCCATAATCCCGAGTGTGGTTAGGACCGTAAATTACTTCCTCCACCATCCATCCTGTTCCATAATATTTCCCGATGCATCCACCACATCACGTGTACTGTACTACTACTACGGTCCGCTGCAACCTAAGTGGGTCCGCGCCGCTCTTGGACCTTGCCGGGCCAGAACGACATCCCAACCAACTACTAACCAAGTAGAAGGAGAACTGAGCGGCGGCCTCTGCTCTGCCGTCGTTGTCGCTCACTCATGTCCGGCGCACCCTTTCTTGTCCTGAGGATAAAAAAATAACGCTGCAATCACCGCCGCTGCCGACGCCGCCGCCGTCGTCGTCGTCGCTCTCTCATGTCCGCTCCCCGGCGCCGCGTTTTACTCCTAGTATCCACCGTGACCCCACCATCCCATGACGACTCGGACTCGGAGTCCCGACGGCTAACCTGCAAACCTCATTTCACCGACTATGGACCTCGCCCGCACCGCCGTTGCGATGGTCATGATAGATCCGGCATCAATCGATGATAGACTTGGGCCCGGGCCGGTACCTTCAAGGCACCTTCGGACATTACATCAAAAATCGACTCATTACATTCGGACAGTAGTAGTACCTTGTCCGGCGCGCCATAATGATCGTCACAAGCCACAGGCAGAAGGACCTTATCCGGCCTCCTCCTCCTCCGAGGAATCCGCCGCGTCGCGCCTTTCGCTTTCCAGTGGACTTTTGAGTCGACTCAAAAGTCACGAGGAATCCGCCGCGTCTCGCCTTTCGCTTTCCAGTGGAGCTGGAGATTTCCCGTTTCCAACTTGCACGCGTACCCGCTCGCTTTATCCGCGAGCGAGCGGCCTCTGCCGGACTCTGCCCCATCTCCCTTGGCCCCCGCGAATCACGCTACTTTACCTAGTACTACTGCTTTTACCACCGCTACTATCTCGCTCCGATTCTTCGAGTTCTCCTGAATACGCAGCGCACTTCCGGCGATCTTCCGCCCTACGGGCCTACTTTCCGCACGCTGCCCCCGCGGCGGATCATGGCGCCCGTTGCGCTCTATTCGCTCCCAAATTGATCGTGGCGCGATACCGCGAGAGACGATACTCAGTGAAGGTTCGAGATCCCCCTCGGGGAACGTGGTGCCTTTTGAGTCGTCTCAAAAGTCACCGAGTACTAGATCCCCCTCAGGGAACGTGGTGCCTTTTGAGTCGTCTCAAAAGTCACCGAGTACTAGATCCCCCTCAGGGAACGTGGTGCCTTTTGAGTCGTCTCAAAAGTCACCGAGTACTAGATCCCCCTCAGGGAACGTGGTGCCTTTTGAGTCGACTCAAAAGTCACCGAGTACGAGATCCCCCTCAGGGAACGTGGTGCCTTTTGAGTCGACTCAAAAGTCACCGAGTACGAGATCCCCCTCAGGGAACGTGGTGCCTTTTGAGTCGACTCAAAAGTCACCGAGTACGAGATCCCCCTCAGGGAACGTGGTGCCTTTTGAGTCGACTCAAAAGTCACCGAGTACGAGATCCCCCTCAGGGAACGTGGTGCCTTTTGAGTCGACTCAAAAGTCACCGAGTACGAGATCCCGCTCAGGGAAAGTCAGCGCAGGTGGCGGCGGGCTCAGCAGCGCGCTCGCCGCCGGTGCTAGCGGTGGGGAGCGCGGCGAGATTCGCGCGGCGCAGGAAGTTGGTGCGGATGGGCGGGCGCGGGAGGAAGTGACCCTGGGGTGTCTGATCCCGACCTACTCGCAAGACGGCACGAACATGCTCGCAGGTGAGGTGCAAGACGGCACGAACATGCTCGCAGGTGAGGAGCAAGACGGCATGAACATGCTCGCAGGTGAGGTGCGAGACGGCATGAACATGCTCGCAGGTGAGGTGCAAGACGGCATGAACATGCTCGCAGGTGAGGTGCAAGACGGCATGAATGAACATGCTCGCAGGTGATGACTACAATAACAGCCACCCTTCCCCTCCTCCACATCCCATCTCCACATCCCATCTCCGCATCCCATCTCCACACCCCCTCCTCCACATCCCGTCTCTCACCCCGTCCTCTCACCTCACATCCCATCTCTCGCCCCTTCCTCTCACCTCACACCCCATCTCTCGCCCCTTCCTCTCACCTCACACCCCATCTCTCGCCCCTTCCTCTCACCGCACATCCCATCTCTCGCCCCTTCCTCTCACCTCACATCCCATCTCTCGCCCCTTCCTCTCACCTCACACCCCATCTCTCGCCCCATCCTCTCACCTCACATCCCATCTCTCGCCCCTTCCTCTCACCTCACACCCCTCTCTCGCCCCTTCCTCTCACCGCACATCCCATCTCTCGCCCCTTCCTCTCACCGCACATCCCATCTCTCGCCCCTTCCTCTCACCGCACATCCCGTCCTCTCGCCCCTTCCTCTCACCGCACATCCCGTCTCTCGCCCCTTCCTCTCACCGCACATCCCTCTCTCCCCCCTCTCTCACCGCACATCCCATCCTCTCGCCCCTTCCTCTCACCGCACATCCCATCTCTCGCCCCTTCCTCTCACCTCACATCCCATCTCTCGCCCCTTCCTCTCACCTCACACCCCATCTCTCGCCCCTTCCTCTCACCTCACACCCCATCTCTCGCCCCTTCCTCTCACCTCACACCCCATCTCTCGCCCCTTCCTCTCACCTCACATCCCATCTCTCGCCCCTTCCTCTCACCTCACATCCCATCTCTCGCCCCTTCCTCTCACCTCACACCCCATCTCTCGCCCCATCCTCTCACCTCACATCCCATCTCTCGCCCCTTCCTCTCACCTCACACCCCATCTCTCGCCCCTTCCTCTCACCGCACATCCCATCTCTCGCCCCTTCCTCTCACCGCACATCCCGTCTCTCGCCCCTTCCTCTCACCGCACATCCCATCTCTCGCCCCTTCCTCTCACCGCACATCCCATCTCTCGCCCCTTCCTCTCACCGCACATCCCATCTCTCGCCCCTTCCTCTCACCTCACATCCCATCTCTCGCCCCTTCCTCTCACCTCACACCCCATCTCTCGCCCCTTCCTCTCACCTCACACCCCATCTCTCGCCCCTTCCTCTCACCTCACATCCCATCTCTCGCCCCTTCCTCTCACCTCACACCCCATCTCTCGCCCCTTCCTCTCACCTCACATCCCATCTCTCGCCCCTTCCTCTCACCTCACATCCCGTCTCTCGCCCCTTCCTCTCACCTCACATCCCTCTCGCCCCTTCCTCTCACCGCACATCCCGTCTCTCGCCCCTTCCTCTCACCGCACATCCCGTCTCTCGCCCCTTCCTCTCACCGCACATCCCGTCTCTCGCCCCTTCCTCTCACCGCACATCCCGTCTCTCGCCCCTTCCTCTCACCGCACATCCCGTCTCTCGCCCCTTCCTCTCACCGCACATCCCGTCTCTCGCCCCTTCCTCTCACCGCACATCCCGTCTCTCGCCCCTTCCTCTCACCGCACATCCCGTCTCTCGCCCCTTCCTCTCACCGCACATCCCGTCTCTCGCCCCTTCCTCTCACCGCACATCCCGTCTCTCGCCCCTTCCTCTCACCGCACATCCCGTCTCTCGCCCCTTCCTCTCACCGCACATCCCGTCTCTCGCCCCTTCCTCTCACCGCACATCCCGTCTCTCGCCCCTTCCTCTCACCGCACATCCCGTCTCTCGCCCCTTCCTCTCACCGCACATCCCGTCTCTCGCCCCTTCCTCTCACCGCACATCCCGTCTCTCGCCCCTTCCTCTCACCGCACATCCCGTCTCTCGCCCCTTCCTCTCACCGCACATCCCGTCTCTCGCCCCTTCCTCTCACCGCACATCCCGTCTCTCGCCCCTTCCTCTCACCGCACATCCCGTCTCTCGCCCCTTCCTCTCACCGCACATCCCGTCTCTCGCCCCTTCCTCTCACCGCACATCCCGTCTCTCGCCCCTTCCTCTCACCGCACATCCCGTCTCTCGCCCCTTCCTCTCACCGCACATCCCGTCTCTCGCCCCTTCCTCTCACCGCACATCCCATCTTTCCACCATCAGTTGCGGACGCCAACAGCGTGGCCCCAACCCCCATCCTTCCCGATCCGTCTCCTCCCCTTCCCCCTCGCATGCCTATTCTCTCCTCCCGACCCCACCTCTCTTCCACCCTCTCCCCCCTCCTTCCATGCCCTTCCCTCTCCTTCCCCTCCCCCCTCCTTCCATGCCCTTCCCTCTCCTTCCCCTCCCCCCTCCTTCCATGCCCTTCCACTTGCCGGCCATTTCATCCCTTGCTGACTTTTGAGTCGAATCAAAAGCGACCTCATTCCATTCCCTGCCTCCTCGCCTTCCCATGCTTCAAAACTTCATCCTTGCCTCAAAACTTCCTATCCCATTCCTCTCAAACCTTCTTTCCGTTCCCCTGCCTCCTCGCCTAGTTTTGAGGCGCCTCAAAAGCGACCTCATTCCATTCCCTGCCTCCTCGCCTTCCCATGCTTGGCTTTCCAGGGATCACCATGGCCGTGCGTGAGGAGTCTATTGTTGAGGCGCCTTAAAAAAACAACAACAAGGCGACCTCATTCCACTCCCTTCCCTGCCCCCCCGCCTTCCCGTTCTCCTTATCCAGCGATCACCATGGCTGTTGCTGACGTCAACAGCGACCCCACCATCCTGCCACGTCAGCGCATCCGCCTAGTCATCGGCAACATCAGTGCCAGCTCGCCGTCCACGCTCAGCCAGCTGGCAGGTAGGCAGGCGCTGACGCAGCACCAGCCACCAGCCCGACTGTTTGCCCTCGTCCCTCCTCTCCGTTGCACTTCCCCCATCCCTCTCTTTGCACCCTGCCTTTGTTCCCCTCCCCTTTTCCTCTCGAGATGACTTTTGAGTCGACTCAAAAGTCAAGACTCAAAAGTCAAGACTCAAAAGTCAAGATTCAAAAGTCAAGACTCAAAAGTCACTTCCCCCATCCCTCTCTATGCACCCTGCCTTTGTTCCCCTCCCCTTTTCCTCTCCCTTCACTCCTCCCTGCGTTCATCTCATGAAAGCTCTCTCTCTCTCAAGCGGTCCGTTTATTTTTCGAACCCTGGGTACAAACTAGGCAGGCGGATGACAACGAGGCAAGGTACGTGCTGGTTGGAGGGGCCCTAGCCTACTCGAGCTCCCCTAGGGGCTCTGCCACGGCAAAGCAGTCCCCCAGAGCCATGTCGGCAGGGGAGGCTTCGTTGACTTTGCCCAGGTAAGCCAAGGCCTGCTCCCGCTGATGCGTCACCGACCATCGCTGGCGGAACTGGTGGAGTAGTTTGGCTGCTTGGTAAGAACTGGGGTCCGCATTGAAGAGCCTCCTGGCCCCTGTGTGTGTGTCTCTCTCTCTCTCTCTCTTCCGCTACCAGTGCCCCTGGAGCCACAGCGGCAGTGCAGCAACAGCCATTGGGCAGGGCAGGCATAGGCCCGGGTGCCTCTGATTAGCCGGGTGCTGTTCGCCTGCCCTCTTCCCTGATTTCTCTCCTCTCCCTCTTCTTGCTCTCTCCATTCCTCTCTCCATTCCTCTCCCCTTTCCTCTCCCCATTCCTCTCCCCATTCCTCTCTCCATTCCTCTCCCCATTCCTCTCCCCATTCCTCTCTCCATTCCTCTCCCAATTCCTCTCCCTCTTCTTGCTCTCCCCATTCCTCTCCCCATTCCTCTCCCCATTCCTCTCCCCATTCTTCTCTCCATTCTTCTCCCCATTCCTCTCCCCATTCCTCTCCCATTGCCCCTGCAGCCATAGCAACAGTGCAGCAGCGGCCAGTGGCAGTCATAGGCCCGGGTACTTCCGACCAAGCAGCGCTAGTCAGCCCGCTTGCTACTGCCACTCAAGTAAGCAAACCCGTACATACGCCGAGCCGAGACGTCTGGAAAGCCTTGTCAGCCATCTCGCCAGTGCCACTCAATAAGCTGATCCAAGCTGCCTCATCCAAAGCCTCGAATCGACCTGAAAAGGCCTGCTTTTGAGTCGACTCAAGAAGAGCATCGTCAGCCGTCGCGCCACTGCCACCCAATAAGCCAATCCATGCTGCCTTGCTAAGTTGACTCAAGAAGTCGGCTCAAGAAGCCGACTCAAGAAGAACATTGTCTGTCCCATGATCCCATCGCCCCATGCTGCCTTATCTAAAACCTTTACCCCCCCCTTCGCCCTCCAACCCTCCCTCCCTGCCACCATCCGTTCATCCACCTCTCCCCCCCCCTTTTTTTCTCCACCCCCCCTTTTCTCCCCCCCCCCCCTTTCTTCCCCCTCGCGCTCCTCCACGCTGCCCCAATCCTGCCATGCTCCCACCTTTCATTCCCTTCAAACGCCCTTTGTTTCGGCAGCAACGGACGTGCAGCTCACGGTGGGAGCCGATCGCCGGCCCCTATCTCCCTTCCTCCACTTTCCAACCCCCCCCCCCCCCCCCCTCCTCACCCCCCTTCGTACATCCAATCCTTTCAGACCCCCTTTGTGTCGGCGGCAGCAACAGACGTGCAGCTGACGGTGGGAGGCACCCGGCCCTACTTCATGAGGACCATTCCCAATGATGGCGTCAACATGCAGGCCATTGCAGGTGAGAACAGGGTGACTGGAGAGTCGATGCAGAAGTCTCCTCATTCCCAATGACGGCATCAACATGCAGGCCGTTGCAGGTGCAAACAAGGCGATGCATGCATGCAGACATGGTTGTATGTAGGCAACCACAGGTTTTTTAGAATTATCATTTCTCTGTGTGGGAGGGAGCCGGCTGCACTTCGTGAGGACCATTCCCAACGACGGCGTCGACATGGAGGCCATTGCAGGTGAGAGAAAGGTTATGTTGTGCATGCAGATATGGTTGTACCATCTCAAAAGTGTCTGACAGTGGGAGGGAGCTGGCTGCACTTCGTGAGGACCATTCCCAACTATGGTGTCAACATGCAGGCCATTTCAGGTGACATGCCGGCCATTGCAGGTGACATGCCGGCCATTCGCTTTCTCTCCATTCCGTTTCTCTCTCCCGGGTTCGCCCTCTCCCGCTGCAGCGCTGCTCCTCAAGTACAAGTGGAGGGAGTTCGTTGCAGTCTATACTGACAATCGTTTCGGCCGCAACGGTATCACTGCGCTAATGTCGTACCTCCTCGCGAGCAAGGTGCACACACTCACTCACCAGCACTGCTTGGTACTGAATCACTAGCAGCTACTCACTATTGCATTGCAACGGCATCACTGCGCTCATGAAGTACCTCCTCGCCAGCAAGGTACGAGATGCTCACAAGCACGTTTCGATTTACTCACAAGCCGCTGCTTGGTACTGAGTCACTACAGCTACTCACAATTACAACGGCATCACTGCACTCATGACCTACCTCCTCTCCAGCAAGGATGTGTTTTGTTTTTGAGAATGATCAAAAGCAAAACCCACTTGTGACCTACCTCCTCTCCAGCAAGGTGCCGATACGCTTACAAGCACGTCTCGAATTCTCCACAGGCTCAAATTTCCTCACAAGCCGCTGCTTGGTATCGAGTCACTAACAGCTGCTCGCAATCGCAACAGCATCAACACTGCGCTCATGGCAGGCATGCCTCCTTGCGAGAGTACGGCGAGTACCCAAAGTACAAAATGCCTGGCATGTGCGCATCGCTTTTGAGGCGCGTCAAAAGTACCCCAAGGTACAAAATGCCTGGCATGTGCGCATCGCTTTTGAGGCGCCTCAAAAGTACCCAAGGTATAAAATGCCTGGCATGTGCGCATCACATAGCGGCGAGTACCTATCTGGATGACGCGGCATTGTCCGCTCCCCTTCTTGACCTCCCCCCTAGACATGAGCAAAACCGGGTAATTACCCGACCCGACCCGGTTTTGTCCTACCCGCAATCGGGTCCGGGTCGGGTCGGGTCGGGTAATTTCTGGGTAATTTTTGGAGGTCTGTTACCCGGCCCGGCATTTTAATACCGTGTAATTGGGTACCCGTCTGGCGGGTCGGGTATACCCGACCCGCATTTAACTGAAGTCGGGTAATATTACCCGGGTACCCCTAGGTGGCTGTAAAATTCAGCAAACCCGGAGTAACAAACCCAAAGTCGGGTCGGATACCCGCGACCCGACGGGTAATAAATTACCTGACATTTCGGGTAATTCTCCGGTAACGGGTATGCATTACCCGGCCCGAGTACCCGACCCGACCCGGCCGGGTAATTCGTCAAAATCCTATTACCCGACCCAGCCAAAATGTCGGGTCATGTTGGGTCAAAATGCTCAAGTCTATCCCCCCCCTTCCCTTCCCTTCGCCTGCGCTCGAAAGGCCTACCGCACCAAAGGGCACCTGCGCTACCTAGTTTTGAGGCGCCTCAAAACCGCACCAAAGGGGCACCTGCGCTACCTAGTTTTGAGGCGCCTCAAAACCGCACCAAAGGGGCACCTGCGCTACCTAGTTTTGGGGCGCCTCAAAACCGCACCAAAGGGGCACCTGCGCTACCTAGTTTTGAGGCGCCTCAAAACCGCACCAAAGGGGCACCTGCGCTACCTAGTTTTGAGGCGCCTCAAAACTGCACCAAAGGGGCACCTGCGCTACCTAGTTTTGAGGCGCCTCAAAACCGCACCAAAGGGGCACCTGCGCTACCTAGTTTTGAGGCGCCTCAAAACCGCACCAAAGGGGCACCTGCGCTACCTAGTTTTGAGGCGCCTCAAAACCGCACCAAAGGGCACCTGCGCTACCTAGTTTTGAGGCGCCTCAAAACCGCACCAAAGGGGCACCTGCGCTACCTAGTTTTGAGGCGCCTCAAAACCGCACCAAAGGGGCACCTGCGCTACCTAGTTTTGAGGCGCCTCAAAACCGCACCAAAGGGCACCTGCGCTACCTTCACTGCTCTGTGTTGGCCTGCTGCGTCTGCTGTTTCTGCTGCGGTGGCTTTCGATGTGTGCATCGTGCAAAGAGAAGGGTATCTGTGCTGTGCTACCTGCAACCCACAGCCTCTCATAAAGCCTTCGCCTCCCCCCTTTCGCCTTCCCCCCTTTCGCCTTTCTCCCCCCCCTTCCTCTCCTCCCCCTCCCCCCCCCCCCCCCTCTTTTCCCCTCCCCCTCGCCTGCACTCGAAAGGCTTGGAATGTGCGCATCGCTCAAAGGGTACCTGTCAAGTCCACGTGGACAGCTGATGACGTGGCGCAGGCTCTGGCTGCCAGCAAGGTGGTGGATTCTGCCGTCTATGTGCTGCACGCCTCCTCTACCATGTCTGCTCTCATACTCGATACAGGTACACTCGATACAGGTTAACTCAATACAGGTACACTCGATGCAGGGAAATTTGATGCATGTATACGTGATACAGGCAAACTCTATACAGGTACTCTCGCTACATGCATGTTGGATACAAGTCCGCTTGATGAATGCTGGGAGGAAACTGCCTCCCTTTGCCACCTCCCCATGCCATTCGATCTGCCACGCACCAGCAAGCCGGGCGGGCATTATAAGGAGCTACCACGTTTGCGACGTGCCGCCTTAGATGCCCCAAATCAAACCCCTCTGCTTGAGTCGACCTCCCCATGCCATTCGCTCTGCCACGCACCAGCAAGCCTGCCGGGCATTATAAGGAGCTACCACGTTTGCGACGTGCCGCCTTAGATGCCCCAAATCAAACCCCTCTGCTTGAGTCGACCTCCCCATGCCATTCGCTCTGCCACGCATGCACCAGTGAGCAGGCCGGCATTATGAGGAAGCACCACGTGTGTGCTGTGTGCCTCCTTTTGAGTCGACTCATAAGGAAGAACCACGTGTGTGCAGCATGCCGCCTTTTGAGTCGACTCATAAGGAAGCACCACGTGTGTGCAGCGTGCCGCCTTTTGAGTCGACTCATAAGGAAACACCACGTGTGTGCAGCGTGCCGCCTTTTGAGTCGACTCGTAAGGAAGCACCACGTGTGTGCAGCGTGCCGCCTTTTGAGTCGACTCATAAGGAAGCACCACGTGTGTGCAGCGTGCCGCCTTTTGAGTCGACTCATAAGGAAGCACCACGTGTGTGCAGCGTGCCGCCTTTTGAGTCGACTCATAAGGAAGCACCACGTGTGTGCAGCGTGCCGCCTTTTGAGTCGACTCGTAAGGAAGCACCACGTGTGTGCAGCGTGCCGCCTTTTGAGTCGACTCGTAAGGAAGCACCACGTGTGTGCAGTGTGCTGCCTTTTGAGTCAACTCATAAGGAAGCACCACGTGTGTGCAGCGTGCCGCCTCTTGAGTCGACTCATAAGGAAGCACCACGTGTGTGTAGCGTGCCGCCTCTTGAGTCGACTCATAAGGAAGCACCACGTGTGTGCAGCGTGCCGCCTTTTGAGTCGACTCATAAGGAAGCACCACGTGTGTGTAGCGTGCCGCCTCTTGAGTCGACTCATAAGGAAGCACCACGTGTGTGCAGCGTGCCGCCTTTTGAGTCGACTCGTAAGGAAGCACCACGTGTGTGCAGCGTGCCGCCTTTTGAGTCGACTCATAAGGAAGAACCACGTGTGTGTAGCGTGCCACCTCTTGAGTCGACTCATAAGGAAGCACCACGTGTGTGCAGCGTGCCGCCTTTTGAGTCGACTCGTAAGGGAAGCACCACGTGTGTGCAGCGTGCCGCCTTTTGAGTCGACTCATAAGGAAGCACCACATGTGTGTGCGTGGCGATGCCCCAAACCAAAGCCCTCTGCTTCAGCTGACCTCCCCATGCCAATCACTTTGCCACACACCAGCCAGATGCCAGCGAGCCAGGCATGGTAAGGAACTACGGCGTGTCTTTTGAATCGAGTCGGAAAGTACCTTCCCGTGCCATTCACTCTGCCACACACCAGCCAGCCAGAAGCCGGCAGGTGGGGCATGGTACGGAACTCTGAGTTATGAGTCTATTTTTTAGGCGCCTCAAAAAGAGACTCCTCATGCATGGGTTTTATATAGAGAGATTGTTTGTTGCTTGGAAGATTGAATGTAGCTTATTGAAGCGATTGGTGCGCACGCGGCTTCTGAAGCTGCCTACTGGCGAGGGATCGAGCTCAACTACTTGTCAAGACACCCTCGAGGTTTGACGACGTGGCGTCTTGGCTTTGCCAGGATGGCCTGGATTGGTCCCCAAATTTTTTGGGTCGACCAGGGTGAAGATAACCTAGAGTTTTGTTTAACGGATGCTTAGCTTCTACTTAGGGGCTTTGCTTTGCTCGAACTTTCTCATTGGCACTGATGAAGGCTTGCTAGGGATTTCCCTAAACAGCCGAACGGAAACATGTGTGTCCCCTGTTTCAATCGTTGTTAAGAGAAGAGCATTTTAGGGAGAAGAGCTCCAGTTTTTTCCGAACTCTTGGCTATGTCAGCTCCAAGCATTTTACTGTTTTCCTAACTTGCCTAAACTGACTTCTAAGACTGCGCTCACTGGAAGAATGTCCGAAGACCGTGCTATTCACTCTGCCACACACCAGCCAGCCAGAAGCCAGCAGGTGGGGCATGGTACGGAACTCTGAGTTATGCCCGTGAGTTGTGCGCCAGAACCCTAAACCCCGGAGCCAGATGCCAGCAAGCCAGGCATGGTAAGGAGCTGCCGCGTGTCTTTTGAGTCGACTCACAAATCACCTCCCCCCGTGCCGTCCACTATGTCAGAAACCAACCAGACAGATGCCGGCAGGCTGGGAACGGTAAGGAACTACCACGTGTCTTTTGAGTTTGTTTTTGAGGCGCCTCAAAAACCGATTCAGAAATCACCTCCCCCCGCCATGCACTCTGCCACACACCAGCCAGACAGATGCCAGCAAGCCAGACATGGTACGGAACTCTGCGTTGTGCCCCTGAGTTGTGCGCCAGAACCCTAAACCCTGAAGCCAGATGCCAGCAAGCCAGGCATGGTAAGGAACTACCACGTGTCGAGTCGACTCACAAATCACCTCCCCCCGTGCTGTCCACTGTGCCAGAAATCAGCCAGACAGATGCTGGCAGGCTGGGCATGGTACGGAGTCTCAGAAGGGCGATTCCCTATCCCTTTGCCCCCTCAGCTTGCTTCATTCCCTCTTTACTCCAGCCAGCAGGCTGGCTGCGCATGATGGGGAAGAACTATGAGTGGATAGCATCGGGGGGGGGGGGGGGGGAGGGAGATCCCAGAATGGCAATTCTCTATCGCTTTGCATACACAACCCATCATTCCCCCTTTACCCCAGCCAGCAGGCTGCCTGAGCATGATGGGGAAGAACGATGAGTGGATAGCATCGGAAGGGGGGGGGGAAGGGAGATCCCAGAATGGCAATTCTCTATCGCTTTGCATACCCAACCCATCATTCCCCCTTTACCCCAGCCAGCAGGCTGCCTGAGCATGATGGGGAAGAACTATGAGTGGATAGCATCGGAGGGTTGGGGGGGAAGGGGGAGATCCCAGAATGGCAATTCTCTATCGCTTTGCACACCCAACCCATCATTCACCCTCTAACCCAGCCAGCAGGCTGCCTGAGCATGATGGGGAAGAACTATGAGTGGATAGCATCGGAGGGTTGGGGGGGAAGGGGGAGATCCCAGAATGGCAATTCTCTATCGCTTTGCACACCCAACCCATCATTCACCCTCTAACCCAGCCAGCAGGCTGCCTGAGCATGATGGGGAAGAACGATGAGTGGATAGCATCGGAGGGGACGGCCCAGAATGGCAAATTTCTTTCCCCTTGACCCCTCAACCCCCATCATTGCCTCACCTCTTTACTACAGCCAGCAGGCTGGGCATGATAGGGAAGAACTACGTGTGGATAGCATCGGAAGGGGCTGCTCAGGCCAACACGTCCACGCTGCAGCATGCAGAGGTGAGTGGGGGCCAGGCCGTGAGCAGAGCAGAGTATGCGTCCGACCAAGAATAATCAAGTGGAGATGATAGGGGGGGCTGGAACGCACTGGCACTGCAGAGTGCACAGGTCAGGGGGGACAAGGGGGAGCGGAGATAAGGGGGAGGGGAGGTAAGGGGGAGGTGGGACGGCATGCATAGGGGCACACAGCTAGTTGTGCGTGGATAGCATCGGAGGGGGCTGTTTAGTTCGACAGGGTATGACACTCCCTACCTGCCCCTGTTTACTCTTCCTCCTCCCCATCTTTCAACCCCCCGTTCCCCCCCTTCTCCTTCCCCCTCCCTCCCCCTCATTCCCTAGGGCCTTATAATCACAGCCTCCTACCTCCCCCCGTCGCCTCGCCTGGCGGCCTTCAAGCAGCGGTGGAAGCAGCTCAGCCCAGAGCAGTTCCCAGGGGCGGCTGAGGAGGACCCCAAGACCTACAGCCTCGCGGCCTATGATGCCGTTTATCTCATCTCCCTAGCTCTACACTCTTTACTCGTTAAAAGCGTCTCTCAGCTGCCAAGTGCCAGCGCCTTTCACCTGCCGTCGGAAACAGCCGCCAGTGGAATGAGTGCGATTGCTGCACCTGCAGCGTCTGCTGCTGCTGCTGCTGCACCTGCGGAATCTGCTGCTGCTGCTGCGGCAGCACCTGTTGCTGCTGCTGAGGCATCTGCTGCTGCAGCAGCAGCAGGGGGAGCGCAGCCGTTGGTTCTGCCGGTGGGAGCAGGGCAGGGCGGGGAGGGCGATGGGGGGCTCATTCCACTTCTGCACAACCTGCATCGCAGCTCCAGTGAGCCATTTCCTGTCTTTTGAGAATTCTACAAAGCCAGCTTACCTTTTGGAGAATTCTCAGAAACCAGCTTACCTTTTGAGAATTCTCAACCTCATTCCTCATCTGCACAACCTGCATCGCGGCTCCGGTGAGCCATTTGCTGTCTGTCTAGTCTTGTGTGTGTATGTGCGCTGGTGTAGTTTCCATGCTTCGGCTTCCGCCCGGCCTTTCAGGCTTGGCTGCTCCTGTTGTGCGTACGCCAATCTGATTTCTGCCTGTGCCTTGATTCTTGCTTCTCCTGTTGCTTCCCCTGTTGCTTCTCCTGTTGCTTCCCCTGTTGCTTCTCCTGCTGCTTCCCCTGTTGCTTCTCCTGCTGCTTCCCCTGTTGCTTCTCCTGTTGCTTCTCCTGTTGCTTGTCCGTCCCCCCCTACTGTCTTCACATACACTGGTTGGCAGTCGGGCCTGCCCTGACGCAAAGCCACTCAGTTCCCACCTGTGCCTCGCACCTTGCTTCTCCTCCCCCCCACCCTTCGCCCTTATCTCTGGCTGGCAGTTGGGCCTGTCCTCCGCAAAGCCATTCTCAACACTTCCTTCGAAGGCCTCACTGGAAGGTAACACCTGCTAGAGAACACCTGCCAGATAACACCTGCTAGATGACACAGCTGCAGAGGGTAACATACACCTGCAGAGGGTAACACACAGCTACAGAGGGTAACACACCTGCAGAGGGTAACACACACATTGTCTGTAATGCGTTTGTGGACGTCCCCCCCCCCTCTCCCCCTTCCCCTGAAGGAACTAGCTTTGAGGAGAAAATGATGGTTTGAGTAGGGAGCCAAGAGGCTCTATTGTACAAACATTGGAGCAAGGAAGAGATGGAGGGGAAAGTCTCCCATTGGCCGTAATGTAGACCAATGGGAGAGGTAGCTTGGAGGACAAGCAACCACAAAGTGTAGTGCTTTCCGATTGGCCACAATGTGGACCAATGGGGGAGGTTGCTTGGAAGGTAAGCAACCACAAAGTGTGGTGCTTGGTGATTGGTTGGGTCTTGAGACCAATGACCATTTGGTTGGAATAGTGCCAACCAAATGTCTAAGACCAAATCCAATCTTGACCAACCCAAATGTGGGGTTAGTCAACCCAACCAACAACCCCCCAATAAATATAATGACTACACCTCCTGATCTAGGCATGCATGTTGTATAGATATCTATTTTACAACACAACCCCCCAACATGCATAAGACTAGAATTCGTGAATCAAGAGGCGGACGAGGGAACGGGGGGAGCGAGGCCAAGAAGACGAAGGGGGGAGGAGTGGGCGACATGGGGGAGGGCTTTGGTGAAGATGTCAGCAAGATTGGCGGCAGAGTCAATCTTGCCCAGCTGGAGGTGGCCACCCTGCACGAGCTCGCGAATGAAGTAGTGGCGAAGCTCAATGTGCTTGGAGCGCCCGTGGAACACAGCATCCTTCGTGAGGTGGATGGTGCTGGCGGTGTCGCACCAGATGGTGGGACAGCGCTGAGGGGCACCAAGCTCCTCAAGAAGGAAAGTGAGCCAGCGAGCCTCCTGCGCGGCCATAGTAGCAGCATACAGCTCTGCTTCGCAGGAGGAGAGTGCAATGGAGGAAGAGCGGGTGGAGCGCCAGCTGATGAGGCCGCTGCCAAGGGAGAAGCCATAGCCCTGGGAAGAGCGGCGGTCAAGCCTAGAGTCAGCCCAGGAGGAATCAGAGTAGCCAGTGAGGAGGGGAGGGGAGGGGCCGCCAAGGGTAAGGACGAAGTCCTTGGTCCCGCGAAGGTAGCGGAGGCCACGCTTGGCCGCTTGCCAGTGGACGGCATCATGCTTGCCGATACCAACGAAGCGGGCCAATACGCTGATGGGGTTATGTCAGGTCTGGGCGGGTGGAGACCATGGCATACATGAGAGAGCCTATGAGTTCAGCGTAGGGGTGGGAGGAGGAGGAGGCGGAGGTGAGGGGAGTGAGGTGGTGCCCAACCCCTGCATGGCGATGTTCAAGAAGGAGCAGCAACACATGGCGACATGTAGGCAGACGCCACAGAGGTGTTCCCAATGTGCGCAACTCCTGTTGAGTCATCACTCCTCCTCTTACCCCCCACCCCCCTCCCCCCACTTCTCCAAAATCATTCCCCCCGCATGGCAACGACGTGCAGGCAGAAGCAACGGAGGTGCTCAGCTCAATGTGCAGCACATTGCGACGTGCAGGCAGAAGCAACGGAGGTGATCAATGTGCGCAACTCGTGTTGAGACACCCCCCCTCTCTCTCCCCTCCCCACCTCCCCTCTCCCCCTCCTCCAGAATCTCCCTTGCAGCGCATGGCGATGTGCAGGCAGAGGCAACGGAGGTGCTCAACGTGCGCAATGCTACAGCGCAGCGAGTTGGCTTCTGGACCCCTGCCTGGCAGCTCACGCCCTCGCTCAAGGTCTGCTCTGCGCTTTGCACTGTGTTGCTCGCATGGCATTGTAACGAGGTGACCTTTGAGTCGACTCAAAAGGCTTCTGGAATCTGGACCCCCGCCTGACACCTCACGCCCTCGCTCAAGGTTTGCGCTTCACTCTGTGATGCTTCACTCTGTGATGCTTCACTCTGTAATACGTGTCGCCCTGTGATGCGTTGGGAATGCGGCGCTCTCAGCAAGCGCTCTTGGTCTCAGCGCTGCTGTGCTGCTCTTTTAGAATTCTAAAAGATTGCTCTTGGTCTCGATGCTGCTGTGCCGCTCTTTAGCTCACGAGGTCTCGGGATTTTCTCCCAGGGACTTCCCTGCCGCCCCAGAATGGCTTTTGAGTTTGTCAGCATCTGCTGCTGCTATCTACTCAACAGTCACCTCTTGGTCTCAACAGTCACCTCTTGGTCTCAACAGTCACCTCTTGGTCTCAACAGTCACCTCTTGGTCTCAACAGTCACCTCTTGGTCTCAACAGTCACCTCTTGGTCTCAACAGTCACCTCTTGGTCTCAACAGTCACCTCTTGGTCTCAACAGTCACCTCTTGGTCTCAACGCTTCTGCTCTTTTAGCTCCGCGCGATCTTGGAATCTGTTGCCTGAAGCTTTCAAGCTTTACCTGCTGCCTCAGCACATCATCCCTTCCTCCAAGGAGTTTTCATGCCATTGTCCTCTCTCATGCCATTGTTCTCCATCACCCCCTGGCCCTGCCCTGCCAGCCCCCGTCCAAGGAGTCTATTTTTGAGGCGCCCAGGAAAAGCTCTCGAGTTTTCCTCTCTGCCTCAGATTCCTGTCCACCCTCTTTCTTCTCTTCTCCATCACCCCCTGGCCCTGCCAGCCCCCCTCCGAGGACAAGGAGGAACCACTCGGCATTGTCTTCCCTGGTGGGCTCGCAGTAGTGAGTGTTGCCTTCGCTGGTGGTGGTGTAGCGTGGATCTTATTTCTTGTGGGGGTGCTTGCATTGCGTGCCATGCTTGCACGCCATGCTTGCACGCCATGCTTGCACGCCATGCTTGCTTGCACGCCATGCTTGCGTGCCATGCTTGCACGCCATGCTTGCTTGCACGCCATGCTTGCATGGTGGGGGGGGTGATGAAGCTGCCATGTCCCCTATCAGAATGTCGTCAACCCGGCATGCCTCCGTTTCCTGCTCGTCGTCCCTTCATCATACGCCCTCTCTTGCGTGCGCAAGACTCACCTCACACCTTCTATTTTTGAGGCGCCTCAAAAATCATACTCCCCTCTTGCGTGCGCAAGACTCACCTCACACCTTCTATTTTTGAGGCGCCTCAAAAATCATACGCCCTCTCTTGCGTGCGCAAGACTCACCTCACACCTTCTATTTTTGAGGCGCCTCAAAAATCATACTCCCTCTCTTGCGTGCGCAAGACTCACCTCACACCTTCTATTTTTGAGGCGCCTCAAAAATCATACTCCCTCTCTTGCGTGCGCAAGACTCACCTCACACCTTCTATTTTTGAGGCGCCTCAAAAATCATACGCCCTCTCTTGCGTGCGCAAGACTCACCTCACACCTTCTATTTTTGAGGCGCCTCAAAAATCATACTCCCTCTCTTGCGTGCGCAAGACTCACCTCACACCTTCTATTTTTGAGGCGCCTCAAAAATCATACTCCCTCTCTTGCGTGCGCAAGACTCACCTCACACCTTCTATTTTTGAGGCGCCTCAAAAATCATACTCCCTCTCTTGCGTGCGCAAGACTCACCTCACACCTTCTATTTTTGAGGCGCCTCAAAAATCATACTCCCTCTCTTGCGTGCGCAAGACTCACCTCACACCTTCTATTTTTGAGGCGCCTCAAAAATCATACTCCCTCTCTTGCGTGCGCAAGACTCACCTCACACCTTCTATTTTTGAGGCGCCTCAAAAATCATACTCCCTCTCTTGCGTGCGCGAGACTCACCTCACACCTTCTATTTTTGAGGCGCCTCAAAAATCATACTCCCTCTCTTGCGTGCGCGAGACTCACCTCACACCTTCTATTTTTGAGGCGCCTCAAAAATCATACTCCCTCTCTTGCGTGCGCGAGACTCACCTCACACCTTCTATTTTTGAGGCGCCTCAAAAATCATACTCCCTCTCTTGCGTGCGCGAGACTCACCTCACTCACACCTTCTCCTTGTGAGCGATTTGCGAGAATTTAGTTAAATAAACTCTCAGCCCATTCTCTTTCCTCTGCCTTTGTTATATTTCTTTCGTTGCCTCGTTGTTCCGTTCCGCCTTGTGGCTTCATCTTTCAATGCATGTGCATGCATGCAGGCGCCATCAGGAGCGTTTCCCAAGACCCGCCTCCGACTCGCTGTTCCAAATAAGCTGGTAAGATGTGATGTAGAATCCAGTGCGTGTGCAGGGTTGCAGGGTGTGTGTGCAGGGTGCGTGTGCAGGGTGTGTGTGCAGGGTGCATGTGCAGGGTGCGTGTGCAGTGTGTGTGTGCAGGGTGCGTGTGCAGGGTGCGTGTGCAGGGTGCGTGCGCATGGTTGCAGGGTGAGAGCTTTTTCAGAATTATCACAAAGACCCGCCTCCGACTCGCTGTTCCCAATGAGCTGGTACAATGTAGAGGGCACGTTTGCGTGTGGCTGTGTCTCTATGTCTCTGTGTTTCTTTGTGTCTGTGTGTGCGTGCGTGTGTGTCTGTGCGTGCATGCATGTGCGTATGCGTGTGCGCACATCTGTGTCCCTGTGCGTGCGTGCGTGTGCGCACATATGTGTCTCTGTGTGTGCGTGCCTGCGTGCGTGTATGCGTGTGCGCACATCTGTGTCTCTGTGTGTGCGTGCATGCGTGCGTGTATGCGTGTGCGCACATCTATGTCTCTGTGTGTGCGTGCTTGTGTGCGTGTATGCGTGTGCGCACATCTGTGTCTCTGTGTGTGCGTGTGTGTGTGTGTGTGTGCGTGCGTGTGTGTGTGAGTGTGTGCGTGTGTGCGTGTGCGTGTGTGTGTGCATGTGTGTGCGTGTGCGTGTGTGCGTGTGTGTGTGTGTGTGTGCGTGTGTGCGTGTCTGTGTGTGTGTGTGTGCGTGCGTGTGCGGACATGTGTGTCTCTGTGCATGCGTGTGTGTGTGTGTGTGCGTGTGGACACATGTGTGCCGTCAGTTGATTCTTGCAGCATCCTTGGAACCACTCTGGATGGAGGCAAGTGGCACTTGCCTGATAGGACGCTGATGCTGGCGCTGCACAAGGCCTCCAGCACATGCCTGGTTTGGCAAGCGAAGTATTGCCTTCCCCTTTCCTCCCCACCTCTCCCCTCCACACCAGGTCTACCGGCAGTTCATCAACATCTCAGACGCCTTTGCTTTCGAGTCGACTCAAAAGCGCCCCCCCCCCCCCCTTCCCCCCCTCTCCGCCCCCCACACACACCAGGTGTACAAGCAGTTCATCAACATCTCAGACGCCTTTGGCCCAGGCAATGACCGCTTCTCCGGTTTCTGCATCGACGTCTTCCATGCAGCTGTTGCCCTGCTGCCTGATCGAACCTGTTTCTCTCTCCTCCCCCCCCCTCCCCCTTCCCCCTCCCCCTCCCCCCAACCTGGACCTCCCTGCAGGTGTACAGGCAGTTTATCAACATCTCTGACGCCTTTGGCGAGGGCAACGACCGCTTCTCCAGTTTCTGCATCAATGTCTTCCATGCAGCCGTTGCCCTGCTGCCTGATTGAACCTGTTATTCTCCCCTCCCCCACCCCGCTCCCCCTTCCCACTCCCCCTTCCCACTCCCCATTCCCACTCCCCCTTCCCCCTCCCCCTTCCCCCTCCCCCTCCCCCCAACCTGGACCACCCTGCAGGTGTACAAGCAGTTTATCAACATCTCAGACACCTTTGACGAGGGCAATGACCGCTTCTCCAGTTTCTGCATCAATGTCTTCCATGCAGCAGTTGCCCTGCTGCCTGATTGAACCTGTTCATCTCCCCTCCCCCCCCCCGCTCCCCCTTCCCACTCCCTCTTCCCACTCCCCATTCCCACTCCCCCTTCCCCCTCCCCCTCACCCCAACCTGGACCACCCTGCAGGTGTACAAGCAGTTTATCAACATCTCAGACGCCTTTGGCGCGGGCAACGACCGCTTCTCCGGTTTCTGCATCGACGTCTTCCGTGCCGCCGTTGCCCTGCTGCCGTACCCCCTCGACTATGAGCTTGTGCAGTACGGCGAGGATAACATCTCCCCCAGCTACACCCAGTTGGTGCTGGCCGTGGCCGACAAGGTTTGTACGTTGTTGTAACGTGTAGGCTGTAAAGCGTACAGTCACGTCAGCCTGCTGCCGTACCCCCTCGACTACGAGCTTATGCAGTGCTGCGAGGATAACATCTCCCCCAGCTACACCCAGTTGGTGCTGGCCGTGGCCGACAAGGTTTGTACGTTGTTGTAATGTGTAGGCTGTAAAGCGTACAGTCACATCACCCTGCTGCCGTACCCCCTCGACTACAACCTTATGCAATGCGGCGAGGATAACATCCCCCCTAGCTACACCCAGTTGGTGCTGGCAGTGGCTCACAACAAGGTTTGTGCTCTGACGCTCTTATGGCCTCTTGATATTTTTTCTGAAGCTCTCTGGAGTTGTGAGGCTTGTTGTTAGAAGCGCTGTAGAAACGGGCAAGGCCCCTCGCCTTTTCGTTCTTTCTATTTTCTTCTTTTTCCTCTCTTTTTCTTCTGCTCATATTCTTCCGTCCGTCTTTGCGTGCAGACGTATGATGGCGCCATTGGGGACATCACGGTCACAGAGACTCGCAACAGGGCAGCCTACTTCACATACCCCGTGTTTGTGCGCCATCTTCCCTTCTTACCCTTCTCTTTATGTCATCTCACCTTCGTTTCTTACCCTCGCTTGCTGAGTCATCTTCTCTTCTTACCCTCTCTTTGTGAGTCATCTTGTGTCCTCCCAAGACGTCGGGCCTTGGAGTGATAGGATACGCAAAGGAGAATTCGACTCCGTGGCTGGCGTTTCAGCCGTTCACAGCGAGCACATGGCCCGTCACAGTTGCTTCATGCCCCCACCATTACCAACCCCCAGCCCACCCCCTCCAACTCCCCCCCCCCAACCCCTCCAACTTCCCCTCCCCACCCCGGTCCCCAGCCATCAGGCCTAGGCGTGATAGGATACGCAAAGGAGAATTCGAGTCCGTGGCTGGCGTTTCAGCCATTCACAGCGAGCATGTGGGGCGTGACGGTCGCTCTGTGCGTCCTAGCGGGGCTCATCACCTCGCTGCTGGAGCAGCAATCAAACAATTGCTTCAGAGGGAAGATCCACCAGCGACTGCTGAACGCCACATGGTGCGCTGCCATTGGATGGCGTTGTGTGGATGCCGTCGTTGGGTAACTTACTGAAAGTATTCTGCCCGCCCGTTCTTGTGTCTCTCTGTCCGCCTGTTTTTGCAGCTTTGGCCTCCAGAGTCCAAACCCTCCTTTTGAATTCGGGGCTCCTCAAAATAGGCACCTTCTCATAAGTCCGCCCATCCTTCTTCTCTCTCTGCTTTTGTCCTCCTTGGATGATTGAATTTGCAGGTTTGGCCTCCAAACCTTCTACTCCCTCATGGGTGAGTGAGTGGCTCCGTCTTGTCCCCTGGTGACTCATTTCTATCATCTTACGAACGGTGAGGAGTCTATTTGTGAGGCGCCTCAAAAATAGATCCCTCATGGGTGGGTGAGTAGCTCTGTCTTGTCCTCCGGTGACTCGTTTCTATCATCGAATGAAGCCTGTTGTCCCGAGTCCTGACAGTCTGAATGGCTAAAACGATGTCTTGCTGTTATGGTCTCGTTCCATTGCTGCTACTCCATTCCTTGCTCGTTACTCTCACTGTGGAGCTGACTTTTGAGTCGACTAAAAGTCATCTCTCACTGTGGAGCGCCCGGTCCGTTCCACCCTAGCCAGGTTCTTCATCCCTAAACCCTAAACCCTAAACCCGAAACCCTGAATCCTAGATCCCCGCATGGCTTGTATTTGGCATCGTCATACCTCAATTGTGATCACCATATGTTATACGCCGTGTTGCCCTCTGTTGCTGTCACCGCACAGAATACTCAGTCTGCTCTGTTCCCATCCCATCCCACCCCACCCCACCCCACCCCAGCGAGGCTTGTCATCATCATCTCATTGCTCGTCACTCCCTTCCTTATAATCACCTCAATTGTGCTCACCATGTGCCATATGCCGTGTTCCCCTCTCTTACTTCTTTCTGTTATAATCACCAATGCAGAGTACCCTGTCCGCTCCACCCTATCCAGGCTCTTCATCATCCAGTGGCTCTTCATTGCCTTCCTTATAGTCACCATGTATACAGCCAACCTCACCTCTATAGTCACTGTTGACAAGCTCACCCCACCCATCCAGGTAAGCACGGTTGTTGATAGGGTAGGGTCTTTGGGTAGTGGGGTGCAAGTTCCCCATCACCTTTTGAGTCGACTCTAAAGTAATGGTGTTTTAGTTTCCCATGAGCACACACTCATGTCAACCCCCATCCATCCCCCATACATGGCACATCTCCTCTACACCATCCCATCCCCCCATCCCCCCATCATCCCATGGCCGCCCGGATATATACCCCGCTGCTGCATCCCCCACCTCGCCCATAGACCTTGCAGAGGGTATCTTCCCCCTCCATCCCATCCCATGCATTCTGCTGCACTCAGCCCAACTCTCACCTCCCTTCCCCCACCCACGGCCACGCCAGCTGATCTTCTCGGCAGCAACATCCACCAGCGGGCCCATAAGGTATCAGCTGGGGTAGGGATGTTTCCCATTGGCATGCACTCACCTCGACCCCTGTGCACGGCACATCCCCACCCTTCCCCCCCCATCCTATCCCACGGCCACGCCAGGACGTCTTCTCGGCAGCAAGATCCACGGGCCCCATAGGCTTCCAGCAGGGGTCCTTCATCAACGCCTATCTTCTGCAGATGGGCATCCCTTCGGTAGGCTGAGGGGAGTAGAGGGGTTTTTTGGCGCCTAGAAAATGACCCCTCAGGCTTCCAGCTGGGTTCCTCCTTCAACGCCTATCTTTTGCAGATGGGCATCCCTTCGGTATGCTGAGGGGAGTAGAGGGTTTCTTTCACGCCTCATTAACCCCCCTCAGGTTGCCAGCAGGGGTCCTTCATCAACGCATGTCTTCTCCTGATGGGCATTCCTTCGGTAGGCAGCAAAAATAGAGGGGTTTACACATTCCTTCTTTAGGTGCCTAGAATATCCCCCCTCAGGCTACCAGCTCAGGTCCTTCATCAACGCTTATTTTCTGCGCATGGGAATGCCCTCGGTAAGCCGCTGCGGAGAAATAGAGGGGTCTTTTGGTTTTTGTCAGGCGCCTGAAAGTGGTCTCCGTGTATCAACACAGTTGGGCATCTATGAACCCCTAAGCCCTAAACTTTCTTCGTGTGTAATGAGTCGATTTTTTAGTCGACTCAAAAATCGACTCATTACACATGGTTTTTGTCAGGCGCCTGAAAGTGGTCTCCGTGTATCAACACAGTTGGGCATGTTGTAAAATATATATCTATACAACATGCATGCCTAGATTAGGAGGTGTAGTCATTCTAATTATTGGGGGTTGTTGGTTGGGTTGACCAACCCCACATTTCGGTTGGTCAAGATTGGATTTGGTCCTAGACATTTGGTTGGCACTATTCCAACCAAATGGTCCTTGGTCCTAGGAACCAACCAATCACCAAGCACCACACTTTGTGGTTGCTTGCCTTCCAAGCAATCTCTCTCATTGGTCCACATTGTGGCCAATCGGAGAGCACCACACTTTGTGGTTGCTTGCCCTACAAGCAACCTCTCCCATTGGTCCACTTTATGGCCAATAGGAGAGCTTCCCTTCCAACTCTTCCTTGCTCCTTGTTTTGTACAAAAAAGCCTCTTGGCTCCCTACTCAATTCAATCTTTTCTCTTCCAAGCTACTTCCTTCATGGTATTCAGAGCCACAATGGCTCACACCACCTCTAGTCGATCCTAACTAGCACGGCTCTATGCCGTCCCTCCTCGTCTTCGAAGCCTAGCCCTTCCTTAGGCTACTTCCCGCACCCCCCGTGCGCCCTCTCCCGCCGCGCTATTCCGTCGCGCCCGCTCTTCCTCCCGTCGCGCGCCTTTTGCCGCGCCCGCTCACCCTTCCGTCGTGCGCCTCCCGTCGCTCCTTACGACGCGCTTCAGCCCGTCGCATCCTCCTACTGCGCCCGTTGGTGCGCTCCTCCGTCGCGCGGCCCGTCGTCGCGCCCTCTCCGTCGCGCTTTCCGCACGCTCGTCCGTCACGGCTTCCGCGCACGCTCGTCGACAAATCCTCCCGTCGCGCCCGTACTCTCCGCGCCCGTTGTGCCGTCGCGCGCACACGGCCGTCGGTCGATTTCTCCGCCGCGTACGTCCGCTCGTCGTCGATTCCGCGGTCGCGTGCTCCTGTTCTTCGCGCCATTTCGGCGTGCAGCCGGTCGCCGCATCCTCCTTGGAGCGCGTCGCGCAGCTCGTTTAAGTAGCCTTCGGCGACTTAAGAGCTGTGCTCCGCGCACCTATCCTTGTCCTCCCTCCTCCTTTCCTATTCCTCCTCCTTTCTTTTCCCTCCTCCTTTCCTTTTCCTCCTCCTTTCCTTCTCCTCCTCCCCCCCCCCCCTTCCTTCCCCTCCTCCTCCTCCATGGCGTCCGATTCCTCGGTGGACCTTACCTCCGTCGACGCTCTTGAGCTGCTGCCCGACAACACCGTGGTCAATTGGCATTCCTATGCCCAAACCGTCACGGTGCTTCTCTCCTCGGTGACGGTCAACGGCTACAACCTGAAAGCCGTTGTCCATCTCGAGGAGCGCGGTCTTCAGCCCGCCCAGCCGGATGCTCCCGCGGGCCCTGCACCTCCTCCTCCTGGCGATGCTCCCGTCAGCCCCGGCGATCCTCCAACCTTCGCCCCTGACGTCAACGACCCTCAGAGCTCCGAGACCGCCATTCGCACCTACCGTGCCGGCCTCACCGACCACGTCCGCCAGCAACTGCTCTTCGAGGCTTCCCGCGCCGAGCATGACGCCGCCAATGCCGCCTACAACACGTATCAGGCGGCGCTCGCGGAGTACGTCAGGCGCGAGCGCGCATACATCACCGACCTCGCTGCCTGGCGTGTCGCTGACCGGCGCGCGCTCACCATCGTCCTCGCCACCATTCCTCTCACCCTCAAGCGCGAGCTTGCTCCCACCTCCTCCTCCCACCTCTGGCGGCTCCTCACTGATCTCTATGATCGGCAGGACGTCGCCACCCTCTACTCCCTCATCAATGAGTTCCAGAGCCTCACCATGGACTCTACCACCGGCGCAGCTGCCTTCATACGTCGCGTCCTCGACCTCGCTCGGCGCCTGGCGGCTCTTGGCGTGCCGTACCCGGACCCAGTGCTCTGCTGCCACCTCCTTGAAGGCTTGACTCCTGCCTTCGACACCCATAAGATCGCCTACATGCAGCTGATCGACAAGCGCATCACCCCGGCTGAAGTCGCCCAGTGGATTATCACCACTGAGGCCGACCTCTTGCGCCATTCCTCCTCCATTGCCGCTGTTGCTCAGCAGCGCAACACCAGGGGAGGGCGTGGGGGTGGGCGTGGCGCTGGTCGTGGTGGTGGCGCGGGTCGTGGTAGCAATGGCGCAGGACGTGGTGCAGCAGCCGCCTTTCCTCCTTGCCAGTATCTCCCTCGCTATGGCCCCATGCGGGGTCAGCGCTGCGGCCAGACCACTCATGCCACTGATTCTTGCTTCAAAGCGCTCAGTGATGAGTGGTTTGCCCGCGGCAACACCGGCACCCCCCCCCGCTGGTCCTCCCTCTCTCCTCGCCCCACTCCTCTGGAAGTTCGTACCTCCCCTCTTTTTCAGCCCGTCTCCTCCCCCTTGGCCCACCAGGTCGTCTCTCAGCATCAGCAGCAGCAGCAGACTCCGCAGCAGATCCTGCCGCAGCTGTTTCAGCAGCAGCAGCAGCAGTTCCCGCAGCAGCAGCAGGGGCAGCAGCACCTCTTCTCCCAATTGCAGCAGCAGCTCCAGCAGCTCCAGCAGCAGCTTGACCTCCAGTCACAGCTCCCCCTTGCACCTCCTCCTATGGCTCCCCCCCAGCAGCCCTACCCCGCTTGGACCGCCGGCACCGCCGCTTCCGCAGCTCACCTCTCGGGCGCGTCTCCCGCGCCCTCAGCCACAGGCAGTGTGACTCCTTTCCCCTCCTCTGGTTTTGTTGGCATGGTTAGCCAGGCTGGAACCCCCGCCCCTTCTATGTATTCGGCTGCTATTAATGAGAATGTGATTCAGTACTCCGTCCCACCTCCTCCCCCACATCCTCCCCTTTCCACCACACTAGACTTTGTCCTTGACAGTGGAGCCACCGAGTCTGTCCTTCGTGATGCTGGTACCCTTCACCCTCTCCCAGCCCCCACCTCCCTCCTTGGTGCCGATTCCAGCTTCTCTATTCCCTGTCGCCACACCTCTACCCTCCCCTGTCCCCTCTTCCCCTCAGGTACCGTCACTGGTTTACACATCCCCTCCCTCCGTACTAACCTCCTCTCCCAGCGATCCCTGCAGCAGGCCGGTATCACCACCGTCTTCCCAGGTCGCGCTAATCACTGCCTCCTATACCATCCCACAGGTCGCCTCCTCTCTCGTATTCCCTTTTGCCCTCTCTCCCGCCTATATACCCTTCGAGTTCCTCGTCTTCCCTCTGCCCAGGCAGTCTCCCGCTCCCTCCCCCCACCTCACATCCCTCCCCCTCTTCTCCCTCCTTCTAACCCAACCATTCCCCCCCTCCCCCCTGACCCAACCTGCTCCTGTCGATCCCTCTCCCATCCCACCGTTCTCCTCCACCACAGGCTTGGTCACCCCAACTTTGCCACCCTCCGCTCGACCGTCTCCTCAGGTCTCCTTCGAGGTCTTCCCCTCACCCTCCCTCCCCTCCCTCCCTCCCTTGCCCCACCCTGCTCCGTCTGTGTCCAGAGCAAGCTCAAGCAGCTGCCGCATCGGAGTTCCCCCTCCGCTGCTGCTCAGCCGCTTGATCTTGTTCACATGGACCTCTGGGGCCCCAACCCCTCCCCTTCCCGCCAGGGCCATCGCTACATGCTTGTTCTGGTCGATGATCACAACCGATATTCGTCCGTCTCCCTTCTTCGCTCGAAGGGTGATGCTCCGGCTGCGATCATCGCCTGGCTCAAGCAGGCGAGCACCCACTTTGGCCGCCCTATGCGCCGCCTTCAGTCTGATGGCGGTGGCGAATTCCTTAATCGCCAGGTAGCCTCCTACTGTGAGCTTCATGGCATTCGCCAGACTCACACCCTCCCCCACTCCCCCCAGCAGAATGGTGTGGCCGAGAGCCGTGTTCGGGAGATCACCAAGATTGCTCGGTGCCTCCTCGTCCATGCCTCTTGCCCCCCTTCTCTGTGGGGCTATGCCCTCCTTCACGCCACCCTCCTTACTAACCTGTACCCCCACCCTATCCTTCCCTCCACCACTCCCACCGAGCTCTGGACGTCGGCCAAGCCTGACGTCTCCTCCCTCCGTGTGTGGGGCTCCAGGGCGTATGTCCTCATTCACCCTGCGGACCGCCCCCGCACCATGGGAAAGCTCGCCTCCCGTACTCTCCCCTGCATCTTCCTTGGTCATAATCCCTCCTCCCCGGACTACCTCTTCCTTCACCCCCCCTCAAGTCGTTTCCTCCGCAGTCGGGATGTAGTCTTTGATGAGTCCACACCCTACTATTCCACTCCTCCCCCACTGACCCTCTCGCCCCTGCTCCCAGGCCCCTCAACTGGTCCGACACTATCCCACCCCCTCTTCTCCCTCCCCCTCCCATCCTCCCTCCCGCTCCACCTCCTCCATTCCCCGCCGCCTCGGTCCCTAGTGCTCCCCCCTCCTCTGGTGACATATTTGACCCTGACCCTTTTTTTCCCCCCGCCTCCCCGTCCCACTCCTCCCCTCCGCTCCCTCCCATCCTCCCCCCTCTCCTCCTCCCCCCTCCCCCCCACGTCCCCCTCCCCCTTGCGTCCCACCCGCTCCATCCTTACCCGGTATCCCCACACCAGGTCGCGTGACGCAGTCCTAGGTGCCCCGCCTCCTGTTATCCTCTCTTCCTCTCCCTTGCCTCCTCTCTCCCCTCTCATGGACCTCCTTTTACAGACAGTCTTACAACAAAACACTAGCCCAACCCTGCCGTCGAGCTCCAGTACAGCAGCCCCACCAGCAGCCGCAACAGCTGCAGCAGCAGTTCCACCCACCGCAGCAGCACCAGCAGCAGCAGCCGTCGCTCCTTCCTCGCCTTCACCCGCAGCAGCAGCAGTGGCGGCAGCAGATGCAGCAGTAGCGGCAGCAGATGCAGCAGTAGCAGCCGCCTCAGCAGCAGCAGCAGCAGATGCATCCTCAGCAGCAGCAGCAGCAGCGGCTGCAGTCCTCCCATTCATTTTCCACTCCTCCCTCCTCGAGGACTCCCATGAAGAGTTCCTCAACCTCCACCTGCATGATCCAGCCCTCCTACCCATCTCCCCTGACCTCAGCGGCACACCAGTCGTCGCCTTCTCCTCCGCCCCCACCATCTTCGTCCCCGCCACGTACGAGGAGGCCATGGCGTGCCCTGACGCTCACCTCTGGCTCGCGGCCATCCTCAAGGAGTTGGAGGCGTTTATTGCCAACTCCTCCTTTGTGGATGTGCCCCGCCCTCCTTCTACCACGAACGTGGTCAAAGGGAAGTGGGTGTTTCGGGTGAAGCAGCTTCCTGGCGAGCCGCCGGTCTACAAGGCCCGCTACGTCGCCAAGGGCTTCACCCAGCGTTACGCTGTCGACTTCTTCGACACCTTCTCTCCCACCGCCAAGCCCGCTACCATTCGCGCAGTCCTCGACCTCGCCGCTCGCCTCAACATGGAGATTCACTCCATGGACGTCTCCAACGCATTTCTCCAAGGGGTCTTGCGCGAGCTCATTTACATGGAGCGTCCTGCCGGCTTCCACCTCCCCTTTCCTTCCGACTCTGTCTGGCAGCTGCGTCGGCCGGTCTATGGGCTCAAGCAGGCACCAAGGGAGTGGCATGCCAAGCTTGCTGCCACCCTCGCCGAGCTTGGCTTCAGCACCTCCCGTGCCGACCCCAGCCTCTTCCTCCGCACCTCCCCTTCCCCCTTCTACATCCTCGTCTATGTCGACGATATGATCCTCATCACTGCCGACTCCGCCGAGCTCGAGCGCGTCAAGCGTGAGCTTGGCAGCCGGCTCAAGTGTAAGGATCTAGGGGAGCTGCAGCACTATCTCGGCATGGAGATTACCCGCGACCGTGCTGCTCGCACCATCTCCCTCTCCCAAGGCCACTACCTGCAACAGGTCTTGGAGCGGTTCGACATGGCTCGAGGCACCCCTCAGGTCACCCCTCTTCCTGTTGGGCACCACCTCACTCCCCTCACCTCCCCCTCCTCCTCCTCCCACCCCTACGCTGAGCTCATCGGCTCTCTCATGTATGCCATGGTCTCCACCTGCCCTGACCTGGCATACCCCATCAGCGTTTTGGCCCGCTTCGTTGGTACCGGCAAGCATGATACCACCCACTGGCAAGCAGCCAAGCGTGTCCTCCGCTACCTTCGGGGGACCAAGGACTATGTCCTTACCCTTGGCGGCCCCTCCCCTCCCCTCCTCAGTGGCTACTCTGATTCCTCCTGGGCTGACTCTAGGCCTGACCGCCGCTCCTCTCAGGGCTATGGCTTCTCTCTTGGCAGTGGCCTCATCAGCTGGCGCTCCACCCGCTCCTCCTCCATTGCCCTCTCCTCCTGCGAAGCAGAGCTGTATGCCGCTACCATGGCTGCGCAGGAGGCCCGCTGGCTCTCCTTCCTTCTTGAGGAGCTTGGTGCCCCTCAGCGCTGTCCCACCATCTGGTGCGACAACGCCAGCACCATCCACCTCACGAAGGATGCTGTGTTCCACGGGCGCTCCAAGCACATTGAGCTTCGCCACTACTTCATTCGCGAGCTTGTGCAAGGTGGCCACCTCCGGCTGGGCAAGATTGACTCTGCTGCCAATCTTGCCGACATCTTCACCAAAGCCCTCCCCCACGCCGCCCACTCGTCCCTCCTTCGCCTTCTTGGACTCGCTCCCCCGGTTCCCTCGTCCGCCTCCTGATTCAAGCCCTCTAGTCTTATGCATGTTGGCGGGTTGTGTTGTAAAATATATATCTATACAACATGCATGCCTAGATTAGGAGGTGTAGTCATTCTAATTATTGGGGGTTGTTGGTTGGGTTGACCAACCCCACATTTGGGTTGGTCAAGATTGGATTTAGTCCTAGACATTTGGTTGGCACTATTCCAACCAAATGGTCCTTGGTCCTAGGAACCAACCAATCACCAAGCACCACACTTTGTGGTTGCTTGCCTTCCAAGCAATCTCTCTCATTGGTCCACATTGTGGCCAATCGGAGAGCACCACACTTTGTGGTTGCTTGCCCTACAAGCAACCTCTCCCATTGGTCCACTTTATGGCCAATAGGAGAGCTTCCCTTCCAACTCTTCCTTGCTCCTTGTTTTGTACAAAAGAGCCTCTTGGCTCCCTACTCAATTCAATCTTTTCTCTTCCAAGCTACTTCCTTCAGGGCATCTATGAACCCCTAAGCCCTAAACTTTGTTCGGCGCAGCCTTTGTTTGCCGCTTACAGGACCGCCTGTTAGCACTCAATAACGAGGATGAGTACACAGCAGCACTGTCATCAGGGCGGGTGGCAGTGATAGTCGACAAAAAAAACCCCTATCTTGAGCTCTTCACCTTGATTGTTCACTGCGGCCATTCTTGCCCTTGCATGGCCAAATCTCCCCTATCATCACATCACAGGACCGCCTGGTGGCACTCAATAACGAGGATGAGTATGCAGCAGCGCTGTCGTCAGGGCGAGTAGCAGTGATAGTCGACGAAAACCCCTATCTTGAGCTCTTCTCGTTGGATTTCTGTGATGGGGCTATGGCGCCGCAGCCATTTTCGCTCCTAAATCTCGCGTTTGTAAGTCATTCCTTCCTTATAGGCTATAGCTGATGAGAGCCCCTACCTCGAGCTCTTCTCCTTGGACTTCTGCTATGAGGCAATGGCCCCTCAGCCATCCTCTCCCTCCTCAGCCTTGCGTTTGTGAGTAGTCTGTGCCCCTCAAACCAAACCATTATCTGATCGTGGACGAGAGCCCCTACCTCGAGCTCTTCTCCTTGGACTTCTGCAATGAGGCAATGGCCCCTCAGCCATTCTCTCCCTCCTCAGCCTTGCGTTTATGAGTAGTCTGTGCCCCTCAAACCAAACCACTATCTGATCGTGGACGAGAGCCCCTACCTCAAGCTCTTCTCCTTGGACTTCTGCAACGGGGCTATGTCGCCGCAGCCCTTCTCTCCCTTCTCTCCCTTCTCACCCTTCTCTCCCTACTCTCCCCCCTTCTCCCCCTTCTCACCCTGGCGTTTGTAAACGTTGACGCTGCTGCAGCAGCAGCCTTGTCTTGAGACTTGACGCGCATTTAGTAAACTCCCCCTCCTCCGCCTCCCCCCCCCCCATCCCCTACCGGCCCCACCCTTCCCCCACCTCCCCCCCCCCCAACCCCCCAGGCCTTCCCCAAGGGCTCTCAGCTGGGCCTGGATGTGTCTCAGGCGATATTGGAGCTGTCCGTTTCAGGCCAGCTGCAGCCGCCCTGTCTCGAGACGCATATAGCATACCTCCCACCCTTTCCAATCACTCACACCTCCTCCCCCCTTTCCCTCCTTTTCCCCCAGGCCTTCCCCAAGGGCTCTCAGCTGGGCCTGGATGTGTCGCAGGCAATAGTGGAGCAATCCGTTTTAGGCCATCTGCAGCATCCTTGCATAGTAGCGCATTTGAACCCCTCCCCCCTCCCCCCCGCCTTCCCTGCAGGCGTTCCCCAAGGGCTCTCAGTTGGGCCTGGATGTGTCACAGGCAATAGTGGAGCTGTCCGTTTCAGGCCAGCTGCAGCAGCTGCGGGAGCAGTACTTCGGAGGTATCAATGGCTCCTGCACCCAACCCGGCACCTCCACCAGCTCCTCCAGCAGCAGCAGCGACGGCGGCGGCAGCGGTGCTAGGAGCAACATCGGTCGTACATCCTCCTCCTCCTCTTCCTCCTCTGCCTCTTTCTCCCTCTCCTCCTCCTCGTTTGCGGCTGACTCCGCCGTGCAGCTGTCGATGCACAAGTTCCTGGGGCTCTACATCCTATTCGCTTCCATGTCTGTGGGGTGCTGCGTGCTCTACGTCGCGCTCCTCATCCACCGAGGCTACCGAGCCAGCAGGTAAACCCTCCTCCTTCTCGTCGTCCTCCTCCTCTCTGGCAGTTGAAAGGACACGTGCAGCGCAGCTGTCGATGCACATGTTCCTGGGTCTGTACAACATATTCGCTGCCATGTCTGTTGGTTGCTGCGTGCTCTATATGGCGCTCCTCATCTACCGAGGCTACCGAGCCAGCAGGTACGGCCGAGCCAGCAGGTATGGTTGAAAAGGCAGGTACGGGAGAGCAAGCAAGGAAGCAGGAACGGAAGAGCCAGGAGGTATGGTTGAAAAGGCAGGTATGGGCGAGGGAGAGGGCACAGAGGCAGGTATAGACAAGCCTCCCTGACCCTTTTCAAAACTGCACAAACTATCCTGCTCAATTTACCGCAGCAACCCTGTCTCCACCCATCATTTTAACCCCTCTTCCACTGTGCAACAGGGAGGCTGCTCGCCTGCAGGACACCCAGAATCAGGCCGAGATCCAACGGCTCGTGTTCCATCACCAACCGGTGCACAGGGGATCTGACGGCCCAGATGGAGCCGAGCTTGCATGGGCAGCTTCAGGGGGAGGTTTGGCAGCATCAGGAGGGCAAGAGTGGGGCGAAGGTCTTAACTGGGGTGGGGAGTATTTGGAAACAAAGAAGCTATTTGTTTTTGGTCATACTGCCACGCTTAGTGGTGGAGGCAGCAGCAGGGGAAGCTTTGAGGCGCCTCTGACTACACTTAGTGGCAGAGCGGGTAGCAGCAGGATATTTGAGGCCCCTCAGAGTAGACTCGGTGGCTTAAGTAGCAGTGGCAGCCGCAGTGGCAAAATCAGTGGCAGCAGCAGTGGTAGCATCAGCAGCAGCAGCAATCACCAATGTGCAGCTGCAGGAGCAAAGACCTTGGCACGAGTTGTTGAGGAGGAAGGAGGAGAAGAGAAAGAGGAGGAGGAGGAAGAGGACGAGGAGAGCGAGGATGAGGAGAAGATAGAAATGAAAAATGTTGAAGTAGGAAAGGAGGAAGAAGAGGAGGAAGAGGAGGATGGAAATGAAGAGCTGACAGAATTGCTTAAAGATGCTTCTGTTCACAGCGATGGCGACAGCAGGCCTGGGAGTAGGCACGGAAGCAGGTCCGGGAGTAGGCCTGGTAGTAGGCCTGGGAGCAGGCATGGAAGCAGGCCCGGGAGCAGGAGCAGCAGCAGAAGTGAGAGGACCGGCAGTGGCAGGAAAACGATCGAGAAGACTATCAGTGCAGCCGCCAGACTGTTGCGTGGTAGTGCAGAAGGTTATAGCGGGTCAGAATCAGAGAGCAACGAGGAAGCTCCCAGATTGGGTCCGTATGAAAGCCTTTCGAGACTGTCGAAAAGGGACGCGGGAGGAAGCGGGGTTCTTGAGCTCAGGCAGGAAAAAGTCGTGCGTAAAAGGCGGCTGAAAGCCAGGAGTCTTGGGGAAGAGTGCCCTCTAATTGAGAAGCAGGAGACAGAGCAAGGCACCTTGTGTGAGGCTGAGAACGACAAGGAGTCGTTAGAAGGAGGGCCTTTCTTGCCTGAGCCTGAGCTATCTGGACTCCAACAAGAGAAGGCAGGGATGGATCATGCTGTGGATGGAAAAGTAGGTGAAGGCGAAGGCGTAGGCGTAGGCGAAGGCGTGACTGCTAGCCAATGGAGCTTGGCAGTTACAACTGCTACTTCTGCCGCTGCAGCTGCTGCTGCGGCTGATGCTGCTGGTGCAGCTACTGCTGCTGTTGGTGGCGCTGGCGCTGCTGCTGCTGCTGCTGCTGCAATTGCTGTTGTTGGTGGCTCTGGTGCTGGTGCTGGTGCTGGTGCTGGTGCTGGTGCTGGTGGTGCTGGTGCTGGGCTCAATACCAGCACGAAAACTGATGCCAGTGTTGCTGCTGCTGCAACAGCTGCAGACGATCCCAGCCGGCATACTTTGTCTTTTAGTGCTCTGACTTCCCCTCGAGCTGACAGGTGGCAGTACCAGATGGCCCGCAATAGACGAGCAACGCAACACCGCCGCACACCCTCCCTTCCCTTCTCCCCACTCCCTCTCTACCCTCACTCTCCCTCTAACATCTCTCCATACTCCTCCTCTCACTTCAACCCACACTCGCCCTCTCACATAATACCACACTACTCCCCTACTCAAATCTCTCCCTCCTCCACCTCTCACAGCTCTCCCTCTGCAACAAAGCCTCACGTTATATCAGCATCTCGCTCTGCCCCACGCCTCTTCTCAGACCAAGTTGTTCTCAACCGCATCCCTTCCCCATCCTCTCGCCCCTCCTCCAACCAACATCAGCAGCAGCAGCAGCAACAGCAGCAGCAGCAGCAGCAACAGCAGCAGCAGCAGAAGGGCCTTCGGGAGAGGAGATCAGTGGTTCTAGGTCAACTGCAGCTGCCGCACCAGCGACCATCCCCCACGAGTCAACAGTCCTCCCCTGCTTCACACCAACCATCACCTGCCGTGCCTGGCCGTTTATCACCAAGTCTTCTTCCCCCCAAGTCTCCGAAACTGCCCAGACCACCGAGCCTATCACCCGGAGCACCGAACCTATCACCCAGACCACCGAGCCTCTCGCTGCAGCAGCTGGCGGCGCGAGGGAGCGCCAGGCGCAAGGCAGAATGGAAGGGTAGGGAAGATGCAGATGCAGATGAAGGGCTGGGACAGGATGAGCACGAGGGACGCATCAGCAGACTGGCAACTGGTGTGGGGAAGGAAGAGGAGAACGGCAGGGAGGAGCTGCTGGTGGCGGCGCACAGCAGGAGCCGTAGCAGCGACTGGGCTTGCGGGGTCCGGCACGACTATGGGCCTGATGGACCGGCAGTCTCAGCTTACCACCGTTCCATTTCCTTCCGATCCTCCTCTCTGCCTGCTTCTCCCTCCGCCTCTCGCCCTGCTTCCCCCTCCATCCCAGCTTCAGAATCAGCTTCCATCTCTCCCCGTGCTGCATCCTCCTTCAACCTCACCCTATCAAGCTCTGCTTCGCTCCTCGCTGCATCTTCCTCCCTCCTCTCCGCATCCACGTCATCCCTTGTCTCTGCGGCGCCAGCAGCTGTGAAGGCCCTAAGCAAGAGCATGCGCACTGAGACAGGGTTGAAAGCAGTGGCTGGGATTGGGGGGAAAATGGATGCTGGGATGAAGGCACTTAGCAAGAGTATGCAAGCCGACGCAGGGTTGAAAGCAGTGGCTGGGATTGGGGGGAAAGTGGATGCTGGAATGAAGGCTCTAAGCAAGAGCATGCAAGCTGACGCAGGGCTGAAAGCAGTGGCTGGGATCGGCCAAAAGGCGGATGCAGGGATGAAGGCGCTTAGCAAGAGCATGCAAGCTGACGCAGGGCTGAAAGCAGTCGCGACTTTTCGCAAGTCGGTGGTGGCGGGGACTCAGAGAAGGCTGGCGTCGCTGCAGTACACCGTGGATGACCTGGTGGATAAGTACAACAAGGGGCAGCAGTGGAGCAAGGACAGGCACTTGACAGTCAACCTACATGCAGCAGCACAAGTGGGAGCACAAGGATCAGCGATGGTGGCAATAAGCCCATCCCATGGAGCACCAGCGTATCCCACCTCCTCCCTGCACCCTGTTTACTCTTCGCCCAGTATAGATAGGGCCAATTATGAATATACCCTGGGCTCACCAGGTGTGGAAGCTATTGCTTTGCGGTCGAGCCAAGACTCCCCGGAGGCAGGTCGAAGGCAGCAGCAGCACCGCCGAACATCATCCGCTGGGGAACTGAGTCTGCTCTTCTCCGCCAATCACAGCTCGCCACGTCAGCTCGTTGCTCAATCACCCCGTGGCCTTTCCCCCTACCAGGTGTCATCCCATGGCAGTTTCAAGCAGCAGGGCCGCATCGTCACCCCTCCTCCGTCCTTCCAGCATAGGCATGCACTACAGAGCCCCCAGCAGCAGCAGCAGAGCCCTGGGATGCTCTCACAACGAGTGCATGCAGCAAGGTCGGAAGGAAGCCGTGGGGATTCCGCTCTGCACAGCGTCAAGCAGCAGGGCTCGCCCTCACCCACCCCCACCCCTGTACCGAGGCTTGAGGCGTCTCACAGCTCCCCCTCACCCATCCTTGTACCGAGGTTTGAGGCGTCTCACACCTCGCCCTCACCCACCGTCGTTCTTAGGGCACAAGGAGGGCGCAGTGGTGGGCTAGGAAGACGAAGAAGAGGAGGAAAGGGAGGGGGGAGGGAAGGGGGAAGGGGAGGGGGAGGGGTGGAGATGAGTGCGAGATCGAGGACTATGGAGGAGCGCAGACCATGGAAGCAGAGCTCCAATCAGGTCTCCTTTCAGAGCTCCTATGGCAGCTCCCAGGTGGCGCTGGATACAAGAGCACGGACCACGGGCCACTGTGCAGCCGCGGCCTCCCCCAGCCAAATGGAGAGTGGTGGTAATGAGGCCAGTAACCAGGCCTGTAACCAGGCCAGTAACCAGCCTGGTGACACACTGAGGGCTGTACTTAGTAGTGGTGCTACGAGCTGGGGAAGCAAGGGAGAGACAGTGAGGCAGCTGCAGCCAGCACTGGAGGGTGCTTTGGAGGGGGCTCAAAGCGAGGCGCCTCAAAGGTTTGGAAGGAGCTGGAGAAGCAGCGCGGAAATAGTGAGGCAGGTGCAGCCAACAGCAGAAGGTGCATTTGAGGCGCCTCAAAGGCTTGGAAGGAGCTGGAGAAGCAGCGCGGAAACAGTGAGGCAGCTGCGGCTGTTGCCGGACGGCAAGCAGCAGCACGTGCCATGGAGCAGAAGGGCGGGGGTGGCGGGTGTGGCAGGTGTTGGGGGATTTGTGGCGCCTCAGAAACCGTGGCACCGGCGAACGGCCTCGGGTGACGCTGCTTCTGCTCCCAACTTCTTCGACAGGTCAGTGAGATGAGTGTCTTCTCACCTCTTTTGACAGGGTATACATGATCGGTTCCTGTAGTTTGCATGTCTACATTATTTTTTCAAGGACTGCTGTAATCAGAGGTGACTAAAGAGGGTCAAGTGGGTCCAGTTGTCAGCTGTTGCAGCTATAATCAAGCTGTCAGCTGTTGCATCAAGCTGTCGGCTGTTGCATCAAGCTGTCAGCTGTTGCATCAAGCTGTCAGCTGCTGCATCATTTCCTCTCCCACCTGCTTTGGCAATTGCAGACTGGACGGCGAATCACGAGGAGCATCGGTCGCCGACCAGATAAGAGAGCTTCTGGAGGCAAAATCTGATGGAGACGAGGCCAGAGGAGGAGAGGGAAAGGGAGAGGGTCCAACCGAACGAAAGCTGGTTCGAGTCGATGCGTTTGACGTGGCTTCCATTCTGAAATCCAACACGTGAATCTTTGCACAGCTTATTCCGTGCAGAAGGGGGTCAAAAGAAGGGGATCCAGAGGAGCAGAAGCTGGTTCGAGTTTATGCATTTGACGTGGCTTCCATCCCGAATTCCATCAAGTGAATTTGCGCTCGGATGAATTTGTGTGTACTACTAAGTGAATCTGTACATTGTTGTGTTGATTTGTATAATCCATCACGTGCAGCCGATAACACTTCTCCATAACTCCTGTTGTAACAATAACATGTGTTAGCTTAGCTGGTGTCAAACAGTCGGAGAGCAGCAACGGTGACCACATTCATAAGGCTGAGCTGCACTGCCACCCCTGTGATAATTCTTCAGTTCTGAGCGGCTAAAAAATTAGCTGGTGTCAAACAGCCGGAGAGCAGCCACGGTTACCGCGTTCGTGAGGCTGAGTTGCTCTGCCATCCCTGCCAGCATGCGCTCCCTCTGCCATTGCAAGTGCGAGGAAACGAGGAAACGAGGAAATTTTGAATCGTTTCTTGATTTCGCTCGGTGTTGAGATATGTAATTTTTTGAAAGCGTGTAACACTTTCTAAAAAATGTGTATTGTGAAAGTGTAGCGAGGGCCAACGCAGCAAGGTCAGCGTCGAAGCGCTACTCACCCTCTTTTGCCTACAAAAGAGGGACGTGAGGCCATTCGACCTCACCCACGTTCTTCATTTCTAGTTCCAGTTTCGTTTTCCCCACCCACCCACCCTATTGGACGGTGTAGTCTATTGGACGAGAACCATGTACTGTAGCCCATATGAAATGAAGCACGCTGCCTTTGCCAAGGTGACCCAAGCAAGCTTTCACAATTAAGCTTCTAAGGAAAGCTTTCAAGAGGCAGCAAGGGGGTACGACCACTATACACATCGTGTGAGGTTTCGAAACACACCTGCCGGAGCTGGTGAGTGAGCTCGGGAGACAGCTCCGGCTGCGAAGCTGCAGGTTCAGCACCAGCAGCGGCTCCGAACCACGACGACCAGAGGGAAGTGACCCCTCCTCCTGCACCTGGAATGTCCTCTCCCTCCTCCTCCTCCTCGTCATCTTCTTCTCCTGCTACTGCTCCTTTGCGTCCTGATTTGCCACTGACAACACCACCAGCAGTAGCAGCAGCAGTGCCACCGCCACCAGCAGCAGCAGCAGCGGCAGCAGCAGCAGCAGGGGACTTGGTGGGGATGGCTTGGCGTTGAGATGAGAGATGGTGCAGGGCGAGGGGGAACCATTCCATGGCCTCGAAAGGAAGGCGCTGGTTGGACACCTGGAGGGAGAGAGGACAATGAATAGATGGCGCAGTGTGAGGTCACAGCATGAGGTCACAGCATGAGGTCACAGCATGAGGTCACAGCATGTGAGGTCACAGCATGTGAGGTCACAGCATGAGGTCACAGCATGTGAGGTCACAGCATGTGAGGTCACAGCATGTGAGGTCACAGCATGTGAGGTCACAGCATGTGAGGTCACAGCATGAGGTCACAGCATGTGAGGGCACAGCATGAGGTCACAGCATGTGAGGTCACAGCATGAGGTCACAGCATGTGAGGGCACAGCATGAGGTCACAGCATGTGAGGTCACAGCATGTGAGGTCACAGCATGAGGTCACAGCATGTGAGGTCACAGCATGTGAGGTCACAGCATGAGGTCACAGCATGTGAGGTCACAGCATGTGAGGTCACAGCATGAGGTCACAGCATGTGAGGTCACAGCATGTGAGGTCACAGCATGTGAGGTCACAGCATGAGGTCACAGCATGTGAGGTCACAGCATGTGAGGTCACAGCATGTGAGGTCACAGCATGTGAGGTCACAGCATGTGAGGTCACAGCATGTGAGGTCACAGCATGTGAGGTCACAGCATGAGGTCACAGCATGTGAGGTCACAGCATGTGAGGTCACAGCATGAGGTCACAGCATGTGAGGTCACAGCATGTGAGGTCACAGCATGTGAGGTCACAGCATGTGAGGTCACAGCATGTGAGGTCACAGCATGTGAGGTCACAGCATGAGGTCACAGCATGTGAGGTCACAGCATGTGAGGTCACAGCATGAGGTCACAGCATGTGAGGTCACAGCATGTGAGGTCACAGCATGTGAGGTCACAGCATGTGAGGTCACAGCATGTGAGGTCACAGCATGTGAGGTCACAGCATGTGAGGTCACAGCATGTGAGGTCACAGCATGTGAGGTCACAGCATGAGGTCACAGCATGTGAGGTCACAGCATGAGGTCACAGCATGTGAGGTCACAGCATGTGAGGTCACAGCATGAGGTCACAGCATGTGAGGTCACAGCATGAGGTCACAGCATGTGAGGTCACAGCATGTGAGGTCACAGCATGTGAGGTCACAGCATGTGAGGTCACAGCATGTGAGGTCACAGCATGTGAGGTCACAGCATGTGAGGTCACAGCATGAGGTCACAGCATGTGAGGTCACAGCATGAGGTCACAGCATGTGAGGTCACAGCATGTGAGGTCACAGCATGAGGTCACAGCATGTGAGGTCACAGCATGTGAGGTCACAGCATGAGGTCACAGCATGTGAGGTCACAGCATGTGAGGTCACAGCATGAGGTCACAGCATGAGGTCACAGCATGTGAGGTCACAGCATGTGAGGTCACAGCATGTGAGGTCACAGCATGTGAGGTCACAGCATGTGAGGTCACAGCATGTGAGGTCACAGCATGTGAGGTCACAGCATGTGAGGTCACAGCATGTGAGGTCACAGCATGTGAGGTCACAGCATGTGAGGTCACAGCATGTGAGGTCACAGCATGTGAGGTCACAGCATGAGGTCACAGCATGTGAGGTCACAGCATGAGGTCACAGCATGTGAGGTCACAGCATGTGAGGTCACAGCATGAGGTCACAGCATGTGAGGTCACAGCATGAGGTCACAGCATGTGAGGTCACAGCATGAGGTCACAGCATGTGAGGTCACAGCATGTGAGGTCACAGCATGAGGTCACAGCATGTGAGGTCACAGCATGAGGTCACAGCATGAGGTCACAGCATGTGAGGTCACAGCATGAGGTCACAGCATGTGAGGTCACAGCATGTGAGGTCACAGCATGTGAGGTCACAGCATGTGAGGTCACAGCATGTGAGGTCACAGCATGTGAGGTCACAGCATGAGGTCACAGCATGTGAGGTCACAGCATGTGAGGTCACAGCATGTGAGGTCACAGCATGAGGTCACAGCATGTGAGGGCACAGCATGAGGTCACAGCATGTGAGGTCACAGCATGTGAGGTCACAGCATGAGGTCACAGCATGAGGTCACAGCATGTGAGGTCACAGCATGTGAGGTCACAGCATGTGAGGTCACAGCATGTGAGGTCACAGCATGTGAGGTCACAGCATGAGGTCACAGCATGTGAGGTCACAGCATGTGAGGTCACAGCATGAGGTCACAGCATGTGAGGTCACAGCATGTGAGGTCACAGCATGTGAGGTCACAGCATGAGGTCACAGCATGTGAGGTCACAGCATGTGAGGTCACAGCATGTGAGGTCACAGCATGTGAGGTCACAGCATGTGAGGTCACAGCATGAGGTCACAGCATGTGAGGTCACAGCATGTGAGGTCACAGCATGAGGTCACAGCATGTGAGGTCACAGCATGTGAGGTCACAGCATGAGGTCACAGCATGTGAGGTCACAGCATGTGAGGTCACAGCATGAGGTCACAGCATGTGAGGTCACAGCATGTGAGGTCACAGCATGTGAGGTCACAGCATGAGGTCACAGCATGTGAGGTCACAGCATGTGAGGTCACAGCATGTGAGGTCACAGCATGTGAGGTCACAGCATGTGAGGTCACAGCATGTGAGGTCACAGCATGTGAGGTCACAGCATGTGAGGTCACAGCATGTGAGGTCACAGCATGAGGTCACAGCATGTGAGGTCACAGCATGAGGTCACAGCATGTGAGGTCACAGCATGTGAGGTCACAGCATGTGAGGTCACAGCATGTGAGGTCACAGCATGAGGTCACAGCATGTGAGGTCACAGCATGAGGTCACAGCATGTGAGGTCACAGCATGTGAGGTCACAGCATGAGGTCACAGCATGTGAGGTCACAGCATGTGAGGTCACAGCATGAGGTCACAGCATGTGAGGTCACAGCATGAGGTCACAGCATGTGAGGTCACAGCATGTGAGGTCACAGCATGTGAGGTCACAGCATGAGGTCACAGCATGTGAGGTCACAGCATGTGAGGTCACAGCATGTGAGGTCACAGCATGAGGTCACAGCATGTGAGGTCACAGCATGAGGTCACAGCATGTGAGGTCACAGCATGTGAGGTCACAGCATGTGAGGTCACAGCATGTGAGGTCACAGCATGTGAGGTCACAGCATGTGAGGTCACAGCATGAGGTCACAGCATGTGAGGTCACAGCATGTGAGGTCACAGCATGTGAGGTCACAGCATGTGAGGTCACAGCATGAGGTCACAGCATGTGAGCTCACAGCATGAGGTCACAGCATGTGAGGTCACAGCATGTGAGGTCACAGCATGAGGTCACAGCATGTGAGGTCACAGCATGAGGTCACAGCATGTGAGGTCACAGCATGTGAGGTCACAGCATGTGAGGTCACAGCATGAGGTCACAGCATGAGGTCACAGCATGTGAGGTCACAGCATGAGGTCACAGCATGAGGTCACAGCATGTGAGGTCACAGCATGTGAGGTCACAGCATGAGGTCACAGCATGTGAGGTCACAGCATGTGAGGTCACAGCATGTGAGGTCACAGCATGAGGTCACAGCATGTGAGGTCACAGCATGTGAGGTCACAGCATGTGAGGTCACAGCATGAGGTCACAGCATGTGAGGTCACAGCATGTGAGGTCACAGCATGTGAGGTCACAGCATGTGAGGTCACAGCATGTGAGGTCACAGCATGTGAGGTCACAGCATGTGAGGTCACAGCATGTGAGGTCACAGCATGAGGTCACAGCATGTGAGGTCACAGCATGTGAGGTCACAGCATGTGAGGTCACAGCATGTGAGGTCACAGCATGTGAGGTCACAGCATGTGAGGTCACAGCATGTGAGGTCACAGCATGTGAGGTCACAGCATGTGAGGTCACAGCATGAGGTCACAGCATGAGGTCACAGCATGAGGTCACAGCATGAGGTCACAGCATGAGGTCACATCTCATAGATGCGTATGACACCCCATCTCACTATCTTCCAAACCACTCAGCGCCGCTACCTCGCAGGGATGATGTTGCAGGTGATTCAAAATCACGTGACATGACACCCTCTCTCACTCTCGTAACAAACACGCCAACAGCTACTGAAGTGACTTTCGAGTTGACTCAAAAGTCACTCTCATAACAAACCCGTCAGCAGCTACTGAGGTGACTTTTGAGCCAAAAGTAACTCTCATAACAAACACGTCAGCAGATACCGAACCCCGTCTCTTTGCCATAGGCAGGAAGAGCCAGCGACTTACCGTGAGCAGGAAAGCCACTCCCACTGTGACCCCATCATCAGGCAGCCAATCATCATCTTGCACCTCCCACGCCCCCCCCTCACTCTCCCCTCCTCTCTCCCATCCTCCCCCTCTCTCACTCCTACCAGACCCGTCTCCCACCCTTCCTCCCCCCACTCGACCATCCTTCCCACCACCCGCTACTGCATCTGCCAGCCTCTGCTGCGCTAGCTGCTTCTTGGAAGCTACCAGCAGCGAGAGCGGGGGCACAGCAGCAGGGAGAGTGCGGAAGGGCCGGTGAGACGAGGCACGCAGCTCCTGGGGAATGGGGTTAGAGGGAGGGAGGGAGGGAGGGAGGGAGTTTTGAGACGTCTCAAAACAGGGAGAGTGAGGAAGGGCCGGTGAGGAGAGGTACAGAGCTCCTGGAGAATGGGATAAGAGGGAGGGAGGGAGGGCAGGCGTGGGGGGGAGCTCAGACGGGACAGCAAAGGAGAGGACGATAGTGGAGAGAGGAGAGATGTTCTGTTCTGACTGAGATGAGTCAATGCAGGAAGGCAGAAAGAAAACAGAGACAGCAGCAGCTAGACCAGGAAGAAGCAAGAGCGTGAGGCAGCACGCTAGAGCTGTTAGGTGTGGGCTGAGTGTGGGCTTTTCTTTGATTGCTCTACAGCACCTTTTGGACGAAGCAGAGGGACGGGCTGAGGGTGGACTTTCTTAGAATTCTAAAGACATTATCACGAGTACCTTTTGGACGAGATTGACAAGCAGATGGAGCAGAGGGACGGGCTGAGTGTGGGCTGCTGGGAGGAGAGAGTTGGAGAGAGAGCCGAGGAGGAGGGCGGCTTGGTGAGAGAGGGGGGAGGAGAGGAGGAGCGTGTGGAGGGGTGATCCTGCAGGGAAGGATGGCAGGGCGCTGCGAGGGGGAGGCGTGGAGAAGTGGAGAAAAAAGAGAAAAAGAGTCGACACAAAATCAGACTCGAGGAGATTTTCGATAATTCTCAAAAAACACTCAATAACAGACTCAAGGAGCGGAGGAGGGTGTTAGATTATATCTAGTATAACATGCTAGTTTAGTGTGCTCTGTAGGTGTACACCAATCTGTGGTGTACACACTTTATGCAAGGGGTGTCAATCCAACCCCCAAGTGGTTGGAGCCCCCGAGCACCAAGCCCACACTTGTTGGGCCACGCAAGTGGCGCCAATGGTGGTTGGTCCTCCAACCACTTTTGGTCTCCCCAAACAGTGGTTGCGCGACCCAACCATAATTGGGGTTTCCCCAACTGCTTGTGGCACTGTTCCCCCTCGCATTTGCGCTAGTCCCTAGCAGTCGCGTTCCTTTTTTTTCTCCTCGCCGCCGCTAGCTCTTCCCTAGCCGCCGCTCGTCCATCTCGAGCCGCTGCCACCTCCTCTCCCGCTCGCTCTCGCTGCCCGCCGCGCGCATCCTCGCCACCTCTCCGCGCGCTCGCCCTCCCAGCCTTCGCGCCGCTCGCCGCCAGCCTGCTGCCAGCCGCCGCTCGCTTCTCCTCGCCAGCTCGCCGCTCGCCGCTCGCCTCCGGCCTGCCGCCATCCCGCCGCCCGCTTCTCGCAGTCCGCCTGTCGCCAGCTACCGCTCGCCGCTTGCTGCCAGCTCGCCGCCAGCCCACCGCCAGCCGCTGCTAACTGCTCATCGCCAGCCTGCCGCTCGCCCCTTGCTGCCAGCTCGCTGCCAGCTCGCCGCCAGTCCGCCGCTCGCTACTCGACAACAGCCTGCCGCTCGCCGCTCGCTGCCAGCTCGCCACCAGTCCGCCGGCCGCTGCTCGCCACCGGCCCGCCACTCGCCGCTTGCTGCCAGCTCTCTGCCAGCCCGCCGCTCGCTGCTCGCCACCAGCCCACCGCCGATTGCTGCCCGCCGCCAGCTCGTCGCCAGCTCACCGCTCGCTGCTCGCCGCCATCTCGCCGCCAGTCTGCCGCTCGCTGTTCATCGCCAGCTCGCCGCCAGTCGCCGCCAGCTGCTCGCCGCCAGCTCGCCACTAGCTCGCCGCTCACCGCTCGCCGCCAGCTGCCTGCCATTCGCCGCACGCTGCTCCCCGCTCGCCAGCAGCGTGCCACCCGTCATCTGCCAGCAGCGCACTGCCCGCCCGTCCACCAGCAGCACGCAGTCGCCGCTGCCCGCGCCCGCCGCTGCTGCCGTTGCCCCTCCCTGCAGCTGCCGTCGCCGCTTCCCTCATCTGCAGCCGCCGCCGCTGTCCCACTCTGCAGCACCTGCCGCCGCTGCCCAAGTCCGCAGCCGCCGCGGCTGCCCCTCCCTGCAGCACCTGCCGCCGCCGCTGCCCAAGCCAGCAGCCGCCGCCGCTGCCTCTCTCTGCAGCAACTACCGCTGCTGTCCACGCCAGCGACCACCGCTGCTGCCCACGCCAGCAGCCGCCGCCGCTGCCCACCTGCAGCCGCCGCCGCTGCCCACCAGCAGCCGCCGACTTCAGCAGCAGCCGCAGACTTCAGCAGCAGCCGCCGACTTCAGCAGCAGTCACCGACATCAGCAACAGCCGCCGACACCAGCAGCAGCCGCCGACAGCAGCCGCAGCCGTCGACATTAGCAGCAGCCGCAGTCATCAGCAACAGACACCAGTCACCGCCGCTCCCGCACTAGTCAGCCGCCGCCGCTCCCCCACTGCCCCGCCTCCTCGTGCCGCCCAGGTCCACCTGCGGTCGCTTCACGTCGTGCCGCCGCGAGTCCTCTCGCCGCCGCCGCCCCCCTCCTTAAGCCGCGCGGGTCCACCCGTAGTCGCTCCCTGCCGCACCCCCACTGCGTCGTCGCCAAGCCCCAGTGGCATTTCCTCCGCCTATTGACGCCTCCTCTGTCGACAAGCTCCAACTCGCAGCGGATAAATCCGCCACCCTTTGGTGTGACAATGCCAGCATGATCCACCTCACTAAGGACCCGGTCTTCCATGGTCGGTCCAAACACATCGAGCTTCGCTATTTCTACATTCGCGAGCTCGCCCAGCAGGGCCACCTGGCCCTGCGCCAGATCGCCGGTGAGGCTAACTTGGCGGACATTTTCACCAAGGCCTTGCCCAAGGCCGCCCACAAGGCCCTCCTTCGCCTCCTTGGCCTTGGCCCTCCCAGCCCCTCGGGCGCTCCATGATTCAGTGGTTATCTCCCTTCTTCACACTAGCCTTCTGCATGTTAAGGGGTTGTGTTAGATTATATCTATTATAACATGCTAGGTTAGTCTGCTCTGTAGGTGTACACCAATCTGTGGTGTACACACTTCATGCAAGGGATGTCAATCCAACCCCCAAGTGGTTGGAGCCCCCGAGCACCAAGCCCACACTTGTTGGGCCACGCAAGTGGCGCCAATGGTGGTTGGTCCTCCAACCACTTTTGGTCTCCCTAAACAGTGGTTGGGCGACCCAACCACAATTGGGGTTTTTCCAACTGCTTGTGGCACTGTTCCCCCTCCCCTCTCAAGCCTCTCTGGAATCCTATGTATGCTTGTATTCACACTGCTAATACAACTTTTCAGATTCTTTCAGTTTTATCAGCATAGAGGCACCGCCAGCACTCTGATAAAACTTATATAGAGAGAGTGAATGATCAGGCAATTTTTTAGGCGCCTAAAAAATAGGCCATTAGGCGCCTAAAATATAGGCCAGTTTTTGGCTCCTCAGAAGAGAGGCGCCAGCACTCACATGAAACTTATCCAGAGAGAGTGCATGATCAGGCCATGTCACCATGCACTCTCTCTACTGACCTGATCAAGATGACTTATGAGTCGACTCGAAAGGCATCTCTCTACTGACCTGTACATAATCCCTTCTATGTTGCTCTCACCTGAGAGTGTGCTCCGCACTGTGGCACACGACAGTGGCAGCAGCCAGGATGAGCCGGAATGGGGGGGTAGCATTCCGGCTCAAAAGTCAGGATGAGCCGGAATGGGGGGGTAGCATTCCGGCTCAAAAGTCAGGATGAGCCGGAATGGGGGGGTAGCATTCCGGCTCAAAAGTCAGGATGAGCCGGAATGGGGGGGTAGCATTCCGGCTCAAAAGTCAGGATGAGCCGGAATGGGGGGGTAGCATTCCGGCTCAAAAGTCAGGATGAGCCGGAATGGGGGGGTAGCATTCCGGCTCAAAAGTCAGGATGAGCCGGAATGGGGGGGTAGCATTCCGGCTCAAAAGTCAGGATGAGCCGGAATGGGGGGGTAGCATTCCGGCTCAAAAGTCAGGATGAGCCGGAATGGGGGGGTAGCATTCCGGCTCAAAAGTCAGGATGAGCCGGAATGGGGGGGTAGCATTCCGGCTCAAAAGTCAGGATGAGCCGGAATGGGGGGGTAGCATTCCGGCTCAAAAGTCAGGATGAGCCGGAATGGGGGGGTAGCATTCCGGCTCAAAAGTCAGGATGAGCCGGAATGGGGGGGTAGCATTCCGGCTCAAAATTCAGGATGAGCCGGAATGGGGGGGTAGCATTCCGGCTCAAAAGTCAGGATGAGCCGGAATGGGGGGGTAGCATTCCGGCTCAAAAGTCAGGATGAGCCGGAATGGGGGGGTAGCATTCCGGCTCAAAAGTCAGGATGAGCCGGAATGGGGGGGTAGCATTCCGGCTCAAAAGTCAGGATGAGCCGGAATGGGGGGGTAGCATTCCGGCTCAAAAGTCAGGATGAGCCGGAATGGGGGGGGTAGCATTCCGGCTCAAAAGTCAGGATGAGCCGGAATGGGGGGGTAGCATTCCGGCTCAAAAGTCAGGATGAGCCGGAATGGGGGGGTAGCATTCCGGTTCAAAAGTCAGGATGAGCCGGAATGGGGGGGTAGCATTCCGGCTCAAAAGTCAGGATGAGCCGGAATGGGGGGGTAGCATTCCGGCTCGAAAAGTCAGGATGAGCCGGAATGGGGGGGTAGCATTCCGGCTCAAAAGTCAGGATGAGCCGGAATGGGGGGGTAGCATTCCGGTTCAAAAGTCAGGATGAGCCGGAATGGGGGGGTAGCATTCCGGCTCAAAAGTCAGGATGAGCCGGAATGGGGGGGTAGCATTCCGGCTCAAAAGTCAGGATGAGCCGGAATGGGGGGGTAGCATTCCGGCTCAAAAGTCAGGATGAGCCGGAATGGGGGGGTAGCATTCCGGCTCAAAAGTCAGGATGAGCCGGAATGGGGGGGTAGCATTCCGGCTCAAAAGTCAGGATGAGCCGGAATGGGGGGGTAGCATTCCGGCTCAAAAGTCAGGATGAGCCGGAATGGGGGGGTAGCATTCCGGCTCAAAAGTCAGGATGAGCCGGAATGGGGGGGTAGCATTCCGGTTCAAAAGTCAGGATGAGCCGGAATGGGGGGGTAGCATTCCGGCTCAAAAGTCAGGATGAGCCGGAATGGGGGGGTAGCATTCCGGCTCAAAAGTCAGGATGAGCCCGAATGGGGGGGTAGCATTCCGGCTCAAAAGTCAGGATGAGCCGGAATGGGGGGGTAGCATTCCGGCTCAAAAGTCAGGATGAGCCGGAATGGGGGGGTAGCATTCCGGTTCAAAAGTCAGGATGAGCCGGAATGGGGGGGTAGCATTCCGGCTCAAAAGTCAGGATGAGCCGGAATGGGGGGGTAGCATTCCGGCTCAAAAGTCAGGATGAGCCGGAATGGGGGGGTAGCATTCCGGCTCAAAAGTCAGGATGAGCCGGAATGGGGGGGTAGCATTCCGGCTCAAAAGTCAGGATGAGCCGGAATGGGGGGGTAGCATTCCGGCTCAAAAGTCAGGATGAGCCGGAATGGGGGGGTAGCATTCCGGCTCAAAAGTCAGGATGAGCCGGAATGGGGGGGTAGCATTCCGGCTCAAAAGTCAGGATGAGCCGGAATGGGGTGGTAGCATTCCGGCTCAAAAGTCAGGATGAGCCGGAATGGGGGGGTAGCATTCCGGCTCAAAAGTCAGGATGAGCCGGAATGGGGGGGTAGCATTCCGGCTCAAAAGTCAGGATGAGCCGGAATGGGGGGGTAGCATTCCGGCTCAAAAGTCAGGATGAGCCGGAATGGGGGGGTAGCATTCCGGCTCAAAAGTCAGGATGAGCCGGAATGGGGGGGTAGCATTCCGGCTCAAAAGTCAGGATGAGCCGGAATGGGGGGGTAGCATTCCGGCTCAAAAGTCAGGATGAGCCGGAATGGGGGGGTAGCATTCCGGCTCAAAAGTCAGGATGAGCCGGAATGGGGGGGTAGCATTCCGGCTCAAAAGTCAGGATGAGCCGGAATGGGGGGGTAGCATTCCGGCTCAAAAGTCAGGATGAGCCGGAATGGGGGGGTAGCATTCCGGCTCAAAAGTCAGGATGAGCCGGAATGGGGGGGTAGCATTCCGGCTCAAAAGTCAGGATGAGCCGGAATGGGGGGGTAGCATTCCGGCTCAAAAGTCAGGATGAGCCGGAATGGGGGGGTAGCATTCCGGCTCAAAAGTCAGGATGAGCCGGAATGGGGGGGTAGCATTCCGGCTCAAAAGTCAGGATGAGCCGGAATGGGGGGGTAGCATTCCGGCTCAAAAGTCAGGATGAGCCGGAATGGGGGGGTAGCATTCCGGCTCAAAAGTCAGGATGAGCCGGAATGGGGGGGTAGCATTCCGGTTCAAAAGTCAGGATGAGCCGGAATGGGGGGGTAGCATTCCGGTTCAAAAGTCAGGATGAGCCGGAATGGGGGGGTAGCATTCCGGCTCAAAAGTCAGGATGAGCCGGAATGGGGGGGTAGCATTCCGGCTCAAAAGTCAGGATGAGCCGGAATGGGGGGGTAGCATTCCGGCTCAAAAGTCAGGATGAGCCGGAATGGGGGGGTAGCATTCCGGCTCAAAAGTCAGGATGAGCCGGAATGGGGGGGTAGCATTCCGGCTCAAAAGTCAGGATGAGCCGGAATGGGGGGGTAGCATTCCGGCTCAAAAGTCAGGATGAGCCGGAATGGGGGGGTAGCATTCCGGCTCAAAAGTCAGGATGAGCCGGAATGGGGGGGTAGCATTCCGGCTCAAAAGTCAGGATGAGCCGGAATGGGGGGGTAGCATTCCGGCTCAAAAGTCAGGATGAGCCGGAATGGGGGGGTAGCATTCCGGCTCAAAAGTCAGGATGAGCCGGAATGGGGGGGTAGCATTCCGGCTCAAAAGTCAGGATGAGCCGGAATGGGGGGGTAGCATTCCGGCTCAAAAGTCAGGATGAGCCGGAATGGGGGGGTAGCATTCCGGCTCAAAAGTCAGGATGAGCCGGAATGGGGGGGTAGCATTCCGGCTCAAAAGTCAGGATGAGCCGGAATGGGGGGGTAGCATTCCGGCTCAAAAGTCAGGATGAGCCGGAATGGGGGGGTAGCATTCCGGCTCAAAAGTCAGGATGAGCCGGAATGGGGGGGTAGCATTCCGGTTCAAAAGTCAGGATGAGCCGGAATGCTACCCCCCCATCTCCCTCACCTCTTCCACCACCACCTCTCCCTAAACCGACTTTTGAGGCGCCTCAAAAGTCCCCCCCATCTCCCTCACCTCTTCCACCACCACCTCTCCCTAAACCGACTTTTGAGGCGCCTCAAAAGTCCCCCCCATCTCCCTCACCTCTTCCACCACCACCTCTCCCTAAACCGTCTGGAATATAGCTTTCCGTTCTAAGGTGCTGAAAAATCATCGGTTTCTCTCACCTGAGTGTGTGCTCCGCACTATGGCACGCAGCAGTGGCAGCAGCTAGAACGAACCCAAGTGCCACCCCCAACTCCCTCATCTCCTCCACCACCACCTCTCCCCACGGCCTCCTCTCTGCCCCTCCCCCTACTCCAGTTCCTTTCTCGGCCTTCCCTCTTCCCCCTTCACTCCCTTTCCCTGCAGACGCCACAGCTGCTACAGACGAGTCGTGGGCTTTGTTTGCCCTCCGCCAATCAGCATCCACCAGAATCTCCTGAAGCTTCTGTTTGGGGGAGGGGAGCAGAGGAGGGGAGCAGGAGGGCAGCAGGAGAGCAGCAGGAGGGCAGCAGGAGGGCAGCAGGAGGGGAGCAGGAGAGCAGCAGGAGGGCAGCAGGAGGGCAGCAGGAGGGCAGCAGGAGGGCAGCAGGAGGGCAGCAGGAGGGCAGCAGGAGGGCAGCAGGAGGGCAGCAGGAGGGCAGCAGGAGGGGAGCAGAGGAGGGGAGCAGAGGAGGGGAGCAGAGGAGGGGAGCAGGAGGGGAGCAGAGGGCAGCAGGAGGGGAGCAGAGGCACATCAGAGGGAGCGTTGGGTGAGCATATAAGGCCACGCGCACGTGCGCATGCTTTGCCCCAACTCCAAGGAAAAATATAGAGAGGGCAAGACCTCTAGATACTCACATCCTGCAGCTTCTCTGCAGCTTCCATCACCGATGCAGCACTGGCAGTACCACCAGCAGCACCAGCACCAGCACCAGCACCACCAGCACCAGCAACACGAGCACTGGCAGAAGCAACAGTATCTCCACCACCAGCACCAGCACCAGCACTAGCAGTAACAGTAGCAGAGTTGGTAGCAGCAGCGAAGTTAAGTGGGTCAGGCAAGCCCTCCTGGGACTGTTGACTCTGTTGACTCTGTTGACTCTGCTGCTGCACCTGCTGCAGGTGCGTCATTGCCTGAAGCAGCAGCGAGTGCGCTCTGTCATGCAGGAACAGCCGAGACAGATGAGACAGCTTCCCCGCAATCAGCTTGCATGCTGACGTGGCGGCGTGCTGGAGGAACAGCATGGCGTTCGTGGATTGGAGGAGAGAGGCCAGCTGGCGCAGTGTGATTGACCGGGGCCCGTGGGGGGAGGATGATGATGCTGAATCAGCAGGGTGGGTCAACGAGGTGGGGAGGGAAGGCTCGTGGAAGGTTGCCAAGGTAGAGGGTCGTTGGTGGAAGGTAAGGGTGGAGAGGTCGAACGAGAAAGCGGAGACAAAGGCAGGGAGATTAGCGGCAAGAGAGGGAGGATGGAGGAGTGAGAAGGGAAGAGGAGCCGTAGAGAGGGAGGGAGCGGAGGAAAAGGAGGAGTTGGTGGAGGAGGGAGAGGCAAGAGCAGGTGTCCGGGGGATTTTGAATGCTAGGCCTCCCCCTATGGCGATTGGTGGCAGAAGCAGACGATACTTGCTGGCCGCTAGCTGCCTCATGTCCTCACATAACTGATGGGGGATGGCATGGGAACACAGTGAACAAACAATATAATACCTGGAACAGTAGATGACAGGGGTAAGAAAGAAAGAAATAAAGAAATAAATAAATAAATAAAATCAGGTGAGAAAGAATCCGGCTGATTCAGGGCTTTGGGTTTAGGGTTAAGGGTGTGACATAAAAACCGCACCTTGAAAGAAGAAAAGAAATGAAAATGGAAGAGAAGGGTACGAACCTTCCAGTGGTATGGAGCAGCTGCTGTGTGATTATAGAGGGAGGCTGCCAGGGCCTGTGCCACATGTGCTTGTATGTCAATCTGCTTTGAGAGCAGGCGGACGGGGGGCAGCTGCAGGAACTGCAGCAGGTTGCGCACCCCTGTCTGTCCTCGGGTTCGAGAGCCGATGAGTTGGGAGATTACAAGGAAAGGAGGTACGGGGAAATAGATTTATGGTATCCGCATGGCAGGCGGATGAGTGGTAGGTAGCTGCTGCAGGAACTGCAGCAGGTTGCGCACCCCTGTCTGTACCCAGGTTCAAGAGTTCAATGAGGGGATAATGCCCAAGGAGACAACAGCATTCACAGCATGGAGAGGGGTTGAGATGAGAGAGATCCGTGACCACAGGATTGACAGGCGGACGGGGGGCAGCTGCAGGAACTGCAGCAGGTTGCGCACCCCCGTCAGTACCCGGGTGGAATAGTTGAAAGGAGGGGATAATGTGCATGGAGGGGGGTTAAGATGAGAGAGATTCGTGGCAACAGCATTGACAGGCGGATGAGTGGTAGCCGCTGCAGGAACTGCAGTAAATTGCAGGGGGGGTGAAGGATGGAGAAAAAGTGGGAGCCCCGGTCTGTTTCCAGGGGTGGGGGGACAGAGTGGGAGTGAGGGAGATCAGATTGGGGGAAAAGGGTGGATAAAGAGACTGCAGGGTGTTTTTGGGACTTCTCTCGAAAAGAACCCTTGTCTGCTTCCAGGGGTGGGGGGACAGAGTGGGAGTGAGGGAGATCAGAGTGAGAAAGGGTGGATAAAGAGACTGAGTGGAAAGGGATGAGAGAGGAGAGGGTGAGAGCGGTTGAGGTATGGTGTTGCGTGGTGTGGTGGGGTGTGGTGTGGTGGGGAAAGGGGGGTGAGGAGATACGGTACCTTGCGAGGATTGAAGGGCGGATTAGCAGAGTTTAGATCCGTGTGAGAGATGGCGTGTAGACGGAGATCTGCAGTGACATCTCGAGTGAGAGGGCGGAGGAATGACTGCGGATGGGGTGAAGGGTGGTGGAGCAGGGAGTTCATAGGAAGGGGAAACGAGAGGGGGGTAGAGAGTGTGCCTCCGTGTGAGAGATGGCGTGTAGACAGAGATCTGCAGTGACGTCTCGGGTCCGAGAATGCAGGAATGACTGCATATGATTCAGAGGAGGTGTGATGGGTCCGAGAATGCAGGAATGACTGCGGTGATTTTTGAGTCGACTCAAAAATCTCCGAGAATGCAGGAATGACTGCGGACAGGAGAAAAGGCGGAGGAGGTGTGTGTGAGAGGGGCAGAGGGGGGGAAGGGGGGGAGGGAGAGGAGGAGGGAGGGGACTGTTAGAATATTCTAACATGAAGGGGGGGAAGGGGGGAAGGGAGGGGCAGAGGGGGGGCAGGGGGTAAGGGAGGGGCAGAGGGGGGGAAGGGGGGAAGGGAGGGGCAGAGGGGGGGAAGGGGGGAAGGGAGGGGCAGAGGGGGGGAAGGGGGGAAGGGAGGGGCAGAGGGGGGGACGACAGGAGTGGGTGGAGATGGTGGTTGGAAAAAAAGGGTATAAGGAACGAAGTACTTACTACGGGTTTGAGGAATGAGGTACGCAAAGATTGAATGGCATGCAGTATCGATATCATGCGTGCGTGACTAGAAGAATCATCCATCCTGCCTTTTCTGGGCTGGTCCTAAAAAAACTCACTCTGTGCTGCTCACCTGAGCAACTGCTGCAGCCTCCAGTTGGTCTTCCATGCGACAGTAATTTAGGCTTGATACGTTTCAAACCTAAATTAATGTCTCACTTCTGTGCCACTCACCTCAGCAACTGCAGCCTCCAGTTGGTTGTCCATGCCACAGTCATTCAAGTTTGATACGTTTCAAACCTAAATTAATGTCTCACTTCTGTGCCACTCACCTCAGCAACTGCAGCCTCCAGTTGGCTTTCCATGCGACACACATCACCCCAAACGCCACTCCCGTTGCTGCCACTCCTTCGCCCCATATGGTCTTTCGTTCTCTCCCACTGCTTTCCCTTTGTTGTGTGAGCCTGCAGCAGCAGCCGAGGCCCGTCCAAGAAAGCATCCATCAAATACCTGAGAGGTGGGTTTACACCGGTGGGACAGGACAGGGTAAGAAAAGGAGGGAGAGTGGGCAGTATGATTAGCCTTGCTTGTCTGCTTCCTCTGCACTGCTGTCAGCAGCAGCGATCTTTAAGAATTCTAAAAAATCTCTCACAAGTATGATTAGCCTTGCTTATCTCCTTCCTCTGCACCACTGTCGGCAGCAGCATTGGTGACAACGACAACAGCAGCAGCGGCCGCAGTAGCAGCGGCAGCAGGGGCAGCAGCACCAGCACCAGCGGCAGCAAATCTAAAAGTCGTTGAGCCTTTTTGCAGAATAAAAATGAGAGTGCTGCATATAGCGGAGGTGCTGAGCAGCGCTTAAGCACGTAGTAGATTTTTTGGGAATGGAGGCTTACTGGAGCGAGTTTGGTTGGATGAGTGGCTGAGAGTAGAGGGCAGCAAGAGCAGGTGCAAGGAGACGAGGACGCGAGGAAAGGAAGAAGCAGGAGGCCGAGGCGGAGGAGGAGAGAGAGGGGAGGATAGGGAGGGGGAGGAGAGGAGGGCGGAGAGTTGGGTAAGAAGAGGTTGAGAGGTCAGGACTACTTACTGCAGCGAGTGGGGTTGGACGAGTGGCAGAGAGTAGAGGGCGGCAAGAGCAGGGGCGAGGAGATGAGAACGCGAGGAGAGGAAGAAGCAGGAGGCCGAGGAGGAGGAGAAGAGGGCGGGGAGGAGAACGGAAAAGCGAATTTGGGAAAGAAGAGGCTGAGAGGAGGGGATGGGACCAACCTGCAGATGGATATAAGGGGATGTGAAGAGTAGGAGGAGGGATGAACGGAAGAGAATGTGAGGTTGTTAAGGAAATGGAGGAATATCAACCTCTTTTACGCGTCAAGTGCCCAAGGTTATGCCTTACCAGGCATATTATATACCAGACAGCAAAAAGGGGGAAAATAAAATGCACTGGGAGTAGCAGACGAATAGGAACATAGTAAGCCGCCTGAACGCCTGCGACTGGACATCGGCCGCCCCGCCCCGTGCCACCACGGCCGCACTTGACGTTGTCTCCTGCGGCTGTGTGTTAGTACTAACGTTTTGAGACGTCTCAGCACGAAATTACTTACAGACGAGCAGACGAATAGGAACAGGGTACGTAGGCTTACAAGGGGAGGAAGGAGGGCACAGGCGGTAGAGACGAACGACAGCAGTTGGTTGGAAGGGAGCTGATGCCACGTCAGCTGAAGAAGACTTGCCAGCTGGAAAGTGAGAGGGATGGTGGGAGGTGTGGTGGGAGGGAGAGCAATGGGAGTAACAATGGGAAATAATGGGAGGTTCATCGATACACATACATGATACACGTAAGTTACGTGCCTTGCCTTGCCAAAGCAGGACGGCAGGAATAGTGGACGGTATTCTTGCCTAGGGAAGGGACTAGTGAGCAAGTGGAGTAGCCACCGTGCCGTGCTCACTAGTCCCTTGAGCTCGAGTCGACTTGAGCTGAGGCGGCTCGGCTCGACCCCAGCTCGGGCCAGGCTCGGGCCTGCTCGGCCCTGTGCCGATGTCTAAAGTGGAGACACAAAGCTCCTGCCTCTCTGTCCTGCCCGACGGTAGATGGGTCAACTCAGAAATCACAACATCTGAACGGTGGAGGCGACAGTACATGGGTCAACTCAGAAATCACAACATCTGAACGGTGGAGGCGACAGTACATGGGTCAACTCAGAAATCACAACATCTGAACGGTGGAGGCGACAGTACATGGGTCAACTCAGAAATCACAACATCTGAACGGTGGAGGCGACAGTACATGGGTCAACTCAGAAATCACAACATCTGAACGGTGGAGGCGACAGTACATGGGTCAACTCAGAAATCACAACATCTGAACGGTGGAGGCGACAGTACATGGGTCAACTCAGAAATCACAACATCTGAACGGTGGAGGCGACAGTACATGGGTCAACTCAGAAATCACAACATCTGAACGGTGGAGGCGACAGTACATGGGTCAACTCAGAAATCACAACATCTGAGTCGGAGAGGGGAGAGGGGAGGTGGAGGCGAGGTGGAGTTGGAGAGGGGAGAGGGGAGGGTCTTACAGAGGCAATGGAGTAGATGAGTCGCTTGTGGATATCCATGGCAGCTGCAGGGGTGCACGTGGGGGAGAGAGATGCTTTTGAGTCGACGCAAAACCATGGCACCTACAGAGTCACACACGGGGTATAGAGACGCATACACGCATGCATAGAAGTCATCGAACCAGTTTCCGGCGGTACAGCATCCATACATTCAGCATCCATACATTCAGCATCCATACATTCAGCATCCATACATTCAGCATCCATACATCAGCATCCATACAGACATAGTTCTATCTCTATTGGGATCCAACAAATTTTCAGCCACCCCTTCATCGGAGTACTTTCAAAGTTGTCCCAGATGTCACGGAGCGGAACTCACCCCTATTGCTCCAAGGGAACAGAGAAGCAGCAGGTGGGGGCGCCGTTGCAAGCAATGCAGCAACCGATGTCGCAGATTGGTCTATCCCCTCCCCTATCCCACCCCCTCCTCCCTCCCCCTCGTTCCCTGCTCCGGCATCCCCCGATGGGTGTGACTGGGAGAGAGAAGGTCGGGGTAGCTTCTCTAGCTGATCCGTCTGTTGGATTTCGGAGTGGTAAAAAGGATTTAGAGGGGTTAGTTTCCGGGGGGGGATAGGCTCGGGAAGAGAGAAAGCGTGAGGTGGAAGCTGGCTGGATTTGGACATAATGAATGAAAGAACCTGAAAAGAACCTGAAAAGAACCTGAAAAGAACCTGAAAGGCACCTGAAGGGGCAGCAAGGCTGCGTAGAGTTGACGCAGCAGGTGCTGCTGGTACAGAGGCAGGTGGAGAGAGAGGGAAGGGAGGGATGCTGCCAATGATGACTCCACTTGCTGGAGTGAGGGAATCCGGGGAAGAACAGGGTTAGAAGAACGGGAAAGAGGGAGGAGAGGAAAGGAGAAATTTAAACCAAGTATGAAGAGAGGGAGAGATGAAGAAAGGGAGGAGGGGAGAGGAGATGGACAAGGGATGGAAATCTAAAGAAATTTTAATGCGTGAGGAGTCTAAAGACAGCAAGCGTCTGCGTCTGCACAGAAACTTTCATGGAAATACTCCGAGGTGACTTTTGAGTCGACTCAAAAGTCACTTGGAAATCTAAAGAAAATGGAGGAAACTTTCATGGAAATACTCCGACCGAGTATGAAGACAAATTTTTCATGGAACGTTGAAGAGAATGGAGGAAAAGAAAAACTTCACACAGGCCGCCGCCTCGTGAAGCCGAGGAGAGTGGAGGCGGCGGGCTTATCGTCAACCTTGCGTTGAAAACAGTGAAGCTCGATTTTGTGTAACTCAAAACTCGCATGTCAAAACTAGAGAGGAAAATTATAGCAAAGGAGTGTCCAAGGTCGTGGCACCTTAATTGCTTGCAGCACTGCAGCCACCAGCACAATCTGACGCCTCTTGAGAGATACCTGCCAGGGCGGCATGGGGCAGGAAACGCTTAGATTGTGCAAGTCAGGGCAAGGGGGGGGTAGTACATGACAAGGAAGTTACTTTTGAGTCGACTCAGAAGCACGGGTGTATGGCAGGTATGGCAGGGAATACATGATAATACGTGCATATCATGATAGTACATGTATGGCAGGGAAGCAAGGGGTGTATGGCAGGGAAGCAAGGGGTGTATGGCAGGTAAGCTACACATCTAGTGTTGGCCACTTGGCATCTATTTCTGCATTGCGCTCTATCTGTATACTGGCAGACTTTCCAAGTGCTGCAGCAGGCGTCAAACTTACACCCGTGCATGAGACGAGACTCACCCGCAGGCTCGCATGCAGGTCAAGCAGAGTCTGAATCTGGTGCCTGGCATGGCATGTGACAGCAAGCGTCTGCACAGAAACACACAAGGGGAGATATCACACCTGATGCCGAGAATGTGTGAGTGGAAGGAGAGCCCATGGCGGAGAGACCGTCAAAGAATAAGTGTCCGAGTGTCTCTATGGCATGAGATTGACTTGACTATCCCTCCATTTCGTGCAAAAATGTACACTGCGTCCAGAAGGCCCGCCAGGACGCAGGTGTATCCCCCCCCTGCACTGCCCAGCCCAGCCATGACCTGCTTACCTGATGCACCAGTGCACTTGACTCCCCATCGCAACCTCTAGTGACAATCCACTGGAAGAGGGCCAAGTTGTTACACCCCCTCCTGCTCCTCTCAGAAATTACCTGCTTACCTGCTGCACCAGGTGCACTTGACTCCCCACTGCTTCCTCCAGAGTCTTGCACCGCAGTGACAGGCTGAGAAGCCCCCGCCACACCTGCAACCCTGGCGCACCGTTCACCTCGCCACCACATGCCTCACACAATTACCTGCTGCACGAGGTGCGCTTGACTCCCCACTGCTTCCTCCAGAGTCCTGCACTGCAGTGACAGGCTGAGGGGAAGCCTGAGAGCTGCGGACAAAGAGGCGGCTAAGGGAGGGAAGGCAGAAGCCAGCCTGGCATGTGTGGGGATATGGTGGGGATGAGTGGAAGAGATATGCATGGAGCCTGCTTTTGAAACGTGTCCAAGACATGCCCAGGGGAAGCCTGAGAGCTGTGGACAAAGGCGCGGCGAGGGGAGGGAAGGTGGAAGCCAGCCTGAGGAGTGCGGGAATGGGGAGGGGGAACAGGGGTGAGAAGCAGCTGGATGGATGGGGAGTCTATTTTTGAGGCGCCTCAAAAATGGGGAGGGGAAACGGGGGTGAGAAGTAGCTGGATGGATGGGGGAGAGCGGGATTTACACTCCAGCAAGGAGCTGAAAGGGAGAGCAGGAGCTGAGAGCGCGGGAGCTGAGAGGGAGCGTGAGAGCAGCGGACAATGAGGCAGCTACGGGAGGGAAGGCAGAAGCCAGCCTGAAAAGGGAGATGCAAACTTGGGGACGTGGGGAGGGAGAGGGAAGGAGATACGCGTGCAAGAGCAGACAGTGCGTGAAGGGATACTACAGTGCATCGTACCATGAGTGACTTAGGTTGAACCGACTCTAAAGTTTGGCGACAGACAGGTTACAGTACAGGAGGCAGCGTCATACCGTGGCAAATCCTCATTGGCTCGTTCTAGTGCTGCTCTTAATACCTCCTCACACACCTCCCTCACTCCCCGCCCACTCTCTCCCCTGCTCCTGTCCGCCCTCCCCTTCCCCCCTTCCACCTCCCCCCTTCCCCCTGCCCCCTTTCCGCCATCCTTCCCCTCCCCCATAACACAGAAGGGCGCAGGGGAAACCGCCAGCAGGGCAGGGGGGAGGTGGATGGCGAGGAGAGGGGGGAGCGAGGTGGAGAGGGGGAGGGGCCCGGCAAGAGGCAGCAGCGGATGCAGTCGCACTGCCTCGAAGAGCCTTGGAGTGGCTTTTATGAGGGGTTTCTCATAGCCAGATGCTGCAGGAAAAGGGACAGAGAGAGGGCGAGGAGAAAGGGGGGGGAGGGAGGTGGAGAGGGGGATAGGGTCGGCAAGAGGCACTAGGGGATGCAGTTGCACTGCCTCGAAGAGCCTTGGAGTGGCTTTTATGAAGGGTTTCTCATAGCCAGATGCCGCAGAAAAAGGGAAAGGGTTGATGGAAAAATAGGGGAGGCAGATAAGCAGAGGGAGATACGGTGGGGTAAAGAACGATATCAAGTGGTGTCTGACTGTTCTTCAAGCTAGCTAGTGGCTGCACTAAAAAGGAGAGAAGGGGGGTTGCGTGAGGGAGGGTTACCTGTTATGGGTGCGAGAGATAGAAAGAGAGCCACACAGCCAGCGAGTAGACGACGCGTGTTGTGCTGCTCGGTGTGGCTGGCTGGGAGTTGGACGAAAGGGAGGGGAGAGGGGAAGAAGAACGATTCAAGGGGAGGGGCGTGCTTTGGAGGATTGGTAGCAAAACGAATCACATGGGTGAAGCAAAACACACATCGACTCAAAACACACGTCGACACAAAACACACGCACCCATGGCATGGAGTGCAGCATCGCTGCATCAGCAGAGGAGCTCAGATGAACCAACAGCGGCAGCAGCCACTTGTGCTGCTGCCGCCACTACGCCCCCCCACTCAGCACTTGCCCTCCTGGTCGTCGTCACTCATGGTCTTGGGAAGAGCAGCAGTGCGAAGTCAGTCGCTGCTGCTCTTCCCAAGACCATGAGTGACGACACTTGCCCTCCTCCATCGGGAGTTCTAGCAAAGTCTCAAAACCCTCTCATCTATGGCATGGTGTGTTTTTGAGAATTCTCAAAACCCTCTCATCTATGGCATGGTGTGTTTTTGAGAATTCTCAAAACCCTCTCATCTATGGCATGGTGTGCAGCATCAGCAGAAGAGTTGGATGGGGGGGGTTGTATACCCATACCAAGGGAGCCACGGAGCACATACCCATACCACAGGAGGCACGGAGCACATACCCATACCACAGGAGGCACGGAGCACATACCCATACCACAGGAGGAAAGGAGCACATACCCATGGCATGGAGTGCGGCATCAGCAGAGGAGTTCAAATGAGCCACCAGAGGCAGCAGCCACTTCTGCTGCTGCCGCCACAGCGCTCGCCCACTCAGCGCTGGCCGCTCCCCTGCTCTCCTTCCCTTGCCTCCTTGCCCTTTCTTGGCTGTAGAAGGAGGTGGCGTCGGGCCCACAGCACGTGCCACACTCTCCTTCCAAGACTGAAGGAAATCATGCAGACGAGGATGGGGATTGGAGGGTTATGCACACAACACCCACCCACTCAGCGCTGGGCATTCCCCTGCTCTCTTTGCCTTTTCTCCTTGCTGGCCCCCTGCTGGCATTGGCCCTTAGGGCCCTATTGCTGCAGCCCTTGAGGCTCAGTTTCAGGCGCGTCAAACCACCCACCTAGAAGGAAGGAGGACATCCCACCTGAAAGGAACGCCCCCTGTTGGCCTTGGCCCTTGGGGCCCTATTGCTGCAGCCCTTGAGGCTCAGTTTCAGGCGTGTCAAAGCACCCACCTAGCAGGAAGGAGGACATCCCACCTGAAAGTAGGTCCCGTGTTGGCCTTGGAGCCCTGATGCTGCTTCAAGCATCATCATCAGCCCCTGGAGCTCAGCCAGAGCAAGCTCAAACCCTTCCTGCCCTCTCGTCTGCCCCCTGAAATTCCCCTTCTGGCGCATCAAACCACCCACCTGAAAGAAGGTACCCTGTTGGCCTTGGGACCCGATTGCTGCTTCAAGCATCATCAGCAGCCCCTGGAGCTCCGCCAGAGCAATCTCAAAGCCCTCCTGCCCTCCCCTCTGCCCCCTGCTGCCTCTCCCTCCCTTCTTCTGCCACCGCTTTCCACTGCTCTGCGCCTCGGAGTATGCCTCCATGTTGCAATGCACGGCCTGAAGCATTCTGTTTGACGGCAAAAGGACGGGTATTTGGGAGGAGACGGAAGAGGGGAGAGGTCAGGACAGGACAGGACAGGACAGGGAGAGAAGCACAATGGAAGAAGGGGATTTGAATTAGAAGGGGGGGGGCGCGTGGATGTGAGGGATGGTGGAGCAGCAGACGCACTGGTGGGGGAGGCGAGAGAGGGGAGACGCCAGGACAGGACAGGACAGGACAGGACAGGACAGGACAGGACAGGACAGGACAGGACAGGACAGGACAGGACAGGACAGGACAGGACAGGACAGGACAGGACAGGACAGGACAGGACAGGACAGGACAGGACAGGACAGGACAGGACAGGACAGGGAGAGAAGCACGATGGAAGAAGGGGGGATGTGAAGGGGGGGAGAGAACGTGATGTGAGGCATGGTGGAGCAGGCATGGTGGAGCAGGGATGGTGGAGCAGGCATGGTGGAGCAGGGATGGTGGAGCAGGCATGGTGGAGCAGTAGACTAGGCACACCGGGATATTTGGGCATTGCAAATGAATAACAGGATAGCAGATTTAACACGCATCAGTGCATGAGTTTCTACCGCACACCTGTTGTAAGCCGCAATCCCCCGGGCAACAGCAGGGTTGGCAGCAAGAGCAGAGTCGATCACCAACAGCACCGCAGCCCCTGTTGCTAGCGCGTCTATTGCGGGCTGAGAGGGTAGCAGCACACGATGGGGCAACCGGGTACACGTACACACCCACATAGGAAAGGACAATGGCGAAGTAAGCTTAGTACGCAATCTCCTGTGCAAGAGAGGGATTAGCATCTAGAGAGCAGAGTAGACTACTGCAACCCCAGTGCTAGAGCATCCATCACCGGCTCGGAAAACACCAGGTCTGGTGATTAAAAGGCAATTCTATAAGATGATTTTCCATAGTGAAGCAGAGATTATTTTTCAAGTCAACTTCAAGAGGGACGTGTCATCTCAAAGACGCACTGTGAAGTTCTCTGTTGATTTGAACCAATCGGAACGAAGCAGCTCCTGGAGTCCCGCCTCCTCCCCTCCCTCTGCCAACCCTCCTGCCCATCCACCCCCCCTCCCCTCCTCTCCCCCAACCAGCGCAACCACCAAGACAAGAAGCTCCTCCATAGCAGCAGTCAGGTCCTTCCCTACCAGCACCAGCGCCTGTAACTCAACCAACACACGTGCCAACTGCTGCTGCTCCTCCCCTTCCACGCCTCCCGTTCTGCCTTCTCCCAATCTTTCTCTTCCCTCTTCCCCTGCAGTCCTGCCCTCCCAATCCGCCCCTCCATCCTCCTCTCCTGGCGTCTCCTCGCCTCCCTCCCTTCCCTCCTCGCCGCTATTCCCCTCCCCTTTATCACCCTCGGTTCTGTCACTCCCACTTGTATCACCCTCGAATCTTGCAATGGCTAGTCCTCCCCTATTACCCTCGCCTCTCTCTAACCCTTCCCTCCTCTCTCTTGCTTCCTCCTCCTCCCCACTCTCTTCTTGAATCTCCTCCCTTCCACCATTGCCACTCCCTCCCTTCCGCCCTTCCCTATCCTCCCTATAGCTCTCAGTATCACCCGCCTCCTCCCCATCCTCTTGCATGTCTGCCTTGCTTCTTTTGTCAATCGAGGTTCGTGTGTGGGAGGAGGAGGGAGCAGACGCAGAGGAGGTGTCACTGGAGGAGGGGGAGGCGACGGGAGATTGTCCAAAGAGCAGCAGGCGAGGCAGCAACCGATGCAAGACCTGTGAGATATGAGGGGAAGACGGGGGATAGTCGAGCAGGGGGAGCGGGGAAGGGGAGGGACAGGGGGCAGGACGGGGGTAAGGTGAGCAGGGGGGAGCACGGAAGGGGAGGGTCAGGGGGCAGGAGGGGGGTAAGGCGAGCAGGGGGGAGCACGGAAGGGGAGGTTCAGGGGGCAGGACGGGGGTAAGGCGAGCAGGGGACGTGAGGCAGGAGGCTGGAACGAGGGGAAGAGGCGGGCAGACGAGGAATGCGCCCCCTCCCTCCTTGCCCCACCATATCTCAACCGAAATGCAAACAGAAAACACACACACACACACACACACACACACACACACACTCACGCACACGCTCACACACAGACCTCCTGTTCTGCATCGTGTATGCCGCAGCATTTGGACGAGATGTGCTGAATGAGCGAATTCAGCGCATCTGGTGACACGTCTTTGTTGAGACAGACTCAACAGCACACGCTCACGCACACGCTCACGCACACGCTCACACACAGACCTCCTGTTCTGCATCGTGTATGCCACAGCATTTGGACGAGATGTGCTGAATGAGTGAATTCAGCAAGTCTGGTGATACTCCTGTCGACCCCTCTGCTGCCTGTGGTAGTGCTGCTGCGGCCGCTGCTGCTGCTGCTGCTGCTGCTGCTGGGGCTGCTGCTGCCGATGCCACTACAGCAGCTGCTGTGGATACTGCAGCAGGATTCCTTCCACCCCATGGCTCTGCAGAAACGCCAATCACGTCATGACAGCTGTCCAGATCACATGCTGACTGGCTCCGAGATTCCAACTGAACATGGGAGAAGGGATGGGTATGGTTGAGCCTCAGAAAAAACGCGGAATCAACAGGGATGGACAGGGAATTGACAGGGAATTGACAGGGAATTGACAGGGAATTGAAAGGGATTGAAAGGGATTGACGGGAGTTGATGGGGATTAGTGACAAGATTGCTAAGGGGACTGACCAGGGATTGGCAGAGGTTGACAGGGGTTGACAGGGGTTGACAGGGATCGACAGGGATCGACATTGATCGTCAAGAATGTGAACGTACACAATGTGCATTTACCGGGTAAGCGTATACCGGGTGCGTATGTACCTGGTGTGTCAACACCGACACTTGAGCGTCCCAGTCATCCACGCAGCGGCGAAAGCTCTCGTGGTGCTGCTCTACGGCTGCTGCTGACGGTAACGATACCGCTGATGGAGCCATGGCTATTGAATTCTCTTAAAAAACAATTGACGGTACCGATACCGCTGATGGAGCCATGGTGGGTTACTGCTGCTAACAGTGACGATGCATGTCCTTGTTTACCCGCCGACGCACTGTGCAACCAGAGCTTATCTAATTTGACTTTGTCGCGAACCTACTCGACTACCACCCGTTGTGATCCTCCGAGTACGTCGTCGACGGAGATTACAGGCTAAAGTGCGAGCTGTCAGAGAGGTGAGAGCTCAAATCTTCTTATGATGATTTGAGCACGATGAGCATGATGAGCCTGCATTGCCATAGTCGAACTCGATTTAGGCTCCCTGGTTGTGGAATTCATAGCAAGCTTAGGCTAGTACACAGATCATGTAGGCCCAAAATGAGACCATTTAAAGATTCAGTTCTAATTTTTATACGCCAATTCCTATCACCCTACATCATCCCTTATGGAACCCACACTACAGTAGAAGGTTGCACGACCTTGTTTTCATGACAAATGAAGATATCTATGGATGTTGGATTCATCTAAAGGAAAACAATAGTAGATTCCTCTATTAGTGTCTTTTCAACGCTTTCTATGGCCAAATTGTTTAAATTTTCCCTCTGTTTGGCGTGATCTATATGGGGAGATAAAAACACTAATAACACATAAAAAGTGAGTAAGAAGGATTATATGCAGCTACCCATATTCTGACTGTTGAAGTGAGAAGGATCATTAACAGTGAGTGTTCGTAGAGCGTCGAACACGGCGACTCGAACGGGTTCCCCAGGTCCCCCCCTTGCCCTCTAGCTGAGGACCGAATTGACAACAACAATCGCGCGGTGCGATTATTGGAATCTTCGCCCAATCAGTGCAAAGCATCCGAACCGCATATGTCGGCGACATTTCAATCTCAATTTCGCATTCGCGCCCGTCAAAATTGACGTTCATTTGGCCTGTTCCGTCCAACCAGCGAAATTGATGTTCCTTCCTTTCACTTGACCACGATGGAGTGGTAAGGAAATAGACGGCTTTTGGGCTGTTCGTGGAACCACACCAACATCCTTCCTGTCAACTCAATAGCTCTTCCACTTCCCCGCTGTGTCATATTTGAGGCGGCTACTTTACCAAATCTACCGGAGAAACTAGATGCCGTGCGTTAGCGCACCCACAAGAAAACCCGGCCCACCAGCGCCGTTCGTAGTCATGGCACCTCAGCTCGGTATACACCGCGTGCGTCATTTTCCAGCACTCCCCACCAGGACTCCGTACCTCAGGGTAGTGATAGCCGCAGCAGTACTAGTTATAGCCCATTCCTTGCTTCTGCCCCATGATTGTGAAGCAGCCTCGATAGAACCCACCCAGGAAGACGCGCTTCTGGCCATCAAATCCGAGTGGGGCGAATTCGACGGCTCAGATACGTGGATCTCCGGGGCCGACTGCGCCCATTGGCTGGGCATCAGCTGCAACCGCGACGGCGACGTTAACGACGTGATGCTGATTTCGTCACGGGTTGCCGGAAGGATTTCGCCCAGCATCGGCGACCTATCAGCACTCGAGAGTATCACCCTCGTGGGGAACAATCTGACTGGTTCGCTTCCCGACGAAATCAGCAACCTCCGCTCGTTAAAGGAACTCTACATTTCGGGAAACGGAGGTGGACTATCCGGGCCTTTCCCCGATAGTGTGACGGCGCTCACGGATCTGTCAATTCTTATCCTCTCGGACAACCAGCTGATTGGCGAAGTTCCGCGAGGGATTGGCGAGCTCACGAACCTGGTAACCCTCTCCCTCAGCGAGAACAAACTCACGGGTCAGATTCCTCCCGGCGTTTCGGCTCTGCAACGGCTGACGTGGCTCGACCTCGCGTCTAATAGCTTGGTAGGAACCATCCCCTCCGATCTCTCGTCCCTGCGATCCCTTGTGGAGCTGTCTCTCGAATCTAATCGCCTCTCCGGATCGATCCCCTCAAGCTTCGCCGAACTTCGCGTACTTCGCACGCTTCGCCTGGGCCATAATCGCATCTCCGGCCTCGTCCCCTTCGATGTCATCGGCTCCATGAAACGGCTGGAAGTGCTCGGGCTTCAACACAACTCGTTACACGCATATTCGTTAGCGCCGCTAGCCGCGCATCCCTCGCTACAGTACATCGATGTCAGCTGGAATGGGATCTCGGGCAGCATTCCGGAGGAGTTCGGTCAGATGAAGAACCTGACGGGGCTGAACCTTGCAGGAAACGCGCTCCAGGGGAAAGTGCCAAGAAGTCTATTTGGTGGCGAGGGCTCCGAGTTGAACTATCTCAACTTGGCTTATAACGAATTCACCGGAATCTTCCCGTGGACGTCGCTTCGCGGGATGGAAAACCTCGATAGTATCACGCTCAGCCACAACCGATTCGTGGGGATCGTTCCTCCCGATGCCCTGGTCAACGTCCCCCTCAGCTTCCTCAACATCTCGCACAATTTCTTCTCGGGCAGGTTGCCGGACTTTGGCAGCTCAGATGGAGATTTCGCAGCTGACCTCCGAGGGAATTTCTTCTATGGGACCGGGGAGGTGCTGGTGGGAAACGAGCCGATTTGCCCTGTGGAATCTCCCAACCATTACTCGCCTAGTAGCAACTCCCTGGCGAGCATGCCGGCCACTCAGCTATTTGCCACGTGGAATTGCCTTGCTTTAGCTGATGAGGTATGCCCTATGGAGTCTCAGCACAGGGGCGAGCTGTGCAGCACGTTCTGCGGCACAAATGCCACAGAAGCGCCTTGCTCGGGCCATGGAGTGTGCGTCCCGGCTGCCACACTAGAGGACTATGAATCTGGGTCGCCCGATGCATTGGCGCCAGAGTACCTGCAGTTTGAGTGCGTGTGTTTCAGGGGCTACCAGCTGGCAGAGGGTAGCAGGCATGAGTGTGTGCCAATAATGGCAGACATGAGGGCGAGAAGAAGGGGACCTGCAGAGCTCTTGACTAGGGGAGAGAGAAGGGAAGGGAAGGTGTAGGTTAGCAGGGTGTATTGGTTTGATGTTAGAGTCTTCAACAATAGCTTAGAAGGGAAAGTCATGGGGTTATGGAAGGTATTGCACCTAGATTTGGGTCTTGGGTTGCAACACCTTCCAGGGGTTGCATGATGCCATGATGGCAATAACAAATGCTTTAGCATGTGCAGCAACATCTTGCGCCAACCTCTTGTTGTCTAGCAATTAGCCTACTCAGCTTGTATACAGTCAAACAATAGTGGAAGGTGATAGCAGCAATTTGGATATAACTACGATTAGCCTTGTGCTGCCAAGATTTTTACATGCTAGACCTATCAAGATGAAATGCAATGTTGCTAATAAATATATGATATATTTATGGCATATCCGATACCCCTGCTGTGAACTGTATGCACTTTATTTCGCTAAATTACACAGTTGCATTTTGTCCCCACACAAGCTTCTGTTTTGCTGGAACACCTGGGTTTGACGTCATGAGTGCTATCTGCTTTCGTGTATACACACGCCAATTGCGTTCCGATTGGTCTTGTTACGACTGACGTGTTCCTGATGCCATCATTGTGGCCGCCAGGGGAGGGAGCCCCGCGCCAACTCCCCCAAGAGTGGAGAAAGCACAGAGAGGGCGGAGCACAAATAGCCCGTGTGCGGGGCATTCTCGAAGGAACCAACTGTACACTTAGCGCGCGGTATTTTTATACCCATTATTTTCACAGAAGGTGCCGCCGAGAGGGTATTTACTCCAAGCAGCTCCTGAAGACCAGATCCGGAAATCCTGAAAAACAAGAAGGACTTGGGTTTCTATACGAAACGTTTACTGCTCGATTTAGTGTTTCTCGAGTCTGGAAACCCGACGTCAACTTAGGCAGTGCTCAAAGTTTTTGCCCGCGTGGAGTCTGCCAAGCTTAGGGCGATGGACAAGGGGTTACTGTCTATGCACTCAGAAATGGTCAGGGTGGAAACAAACATTATTTCGCCGTCCAGTTTCAGGGTGTAAAATTACCGCGGGCTAAGTGAACTGACTGATTGCCTTGTGGCTCTCGGAATTTGCTGTTGGAATTCTGGTGCCTTGAGATTACTACTGTACCCCGCCCACCTGCGGGGCATTGGTGTGGCGAGGGGAGAGGGAAGGCTTGGTTGGGACCTGCCCTCTTGACTCCTGAGGATGAAACTGCAACTCGTGTCATATATCCCTCCAAAATCCTGACACGGACCGCCAAATTTGCCCCAAGATTACAAATATTTGCTTGTGTAAGTGCCTGACCTCAATTCTGACACCAGCTGCGGAGTACTCCCTGGGTCCTGATATCAGGCAGCACAAATCCGAATGTCGATCCTGTAAGCACATTTGAGCCAGGTGGTACATTTATTTGCTCTGCTTCTGAGGCTGAGTGGTCTGAGTTCCTGCTGCTGGCTGGAGGGCAGCTAGTGAGTGACCTTGGCCGTCCGTCTCTGCTGCTGTTCTGCCAGTTCGTTTATTTCAGCCTCTCTTAGGTCGCGTTGTTGCCTTCATTATTCCGGCCTTTTCGCTGCGTTCCTGCGCGCTTGCATCCATCGCCTTTCCACCATCTGACCTCCTCCTCCCGCCAATCCATCGTCGAAAATCATCGCCTCACTCCTTATCGCACCATCTTCCATCCAATACCGCAATCCGTGTATTCCCATCCGTCCATTCTCATCCGTCCAATCCCGTCCGTCCATTTCCATTCCGAGGATTTTAGGGGAACAATTATCGCCCTCCACTCGCCTCTAGGTGGTGTCAGACCACATGGAATAGCAGGAACGCCATAGACTGACGACCCTGTCAGCGACGCTTCCCGTGACTCCAGCAGCAGTGCTGTCTTTTGCGCTCGGCTCGGACGCTACTAGTAACGTGCTTTGAGGACGAGGTTATAGTTGACACCGACTCTCTTGGTCGAGATTACCGGAGCGACCCACGTTGTTGGTCGTAGGCGAACGCCTGTCGTCGCTCGTTGAGAGGCCTGAAGCGTTTGCCGCTGTTGTCTGGCCTTCGAGCGTCTGTCATCGTTGGCTGGCCTTCGAACGTTTCTCGTGTTTTTCGTCGTTGGCTGATAGTTGTCTGTCATCATGTGGAAATTCTGCCTCGCCCGGCTCCCGCCTACAAGGCGTCTCGCACAAGCTGGTCGTTCAACACGTGGCGCCACGTCATACCTTTACCGCCACGTGTCATGCGTCGACGACCTATCGCCTGCGAGCACCACGTCAGCACTGTATCATGACGCGTCTGCATCATCCGGTGGTGCTTATCTGCACAATTCTCAGTCCTATTCCTACCTCCAGCAGCTGCTACCACAGTCTCGCCAGCCTCATTCCCAGGCACAACGGCGTTGGTTCTCGGACTCAGCTGGTCAATTTGAGATTCCGAAAGAAAAGGTAAGAAAAGGATCTTTACAGTGCTTAACAGAGCATTATAGTGTATCATGGAGTAGGATTGTGCGATCTCCTACTGTTTCTGACCATACGCTGTGCTCCCTCCCCCCTCACTAACCCTCCACTCAGCTCCACAACTTCCCCTCACTTCGGCTCTTCTCCAAGTTGCTGGTGGCCAACAGGGGGGAGGTAGCGTGTCGAGTCATGAAGACGGCACCAACGTTTTGAGAGATTCCCAGACTTCCGAGCATTTTCCTCGCTCCCCTTGCCCCTTCCCTTCCCTGCAGCTCGTCTCCAAGGTGCTCGTGGCCAACAGTGGGGGAGATCGCCTGTCGATTCATTTCCAATGTGCTGTAACGTCCCCTGCTTTTCTGTAACCCTCCACTCGTCTCCAAATCTCCCCCCTCACTTCAGCTCTTCTCTAAGGTGCTGGTGGCCAACAGGGGGGAGATCGCGTGCCGAGTCATGAAGACGGCACGAGCGCTGGGCATCCGCAGCGTGGCCGTTTACTCCGAGCCGGACGTGGAGAGCCTGCACGTTCGCATGGCGGACGAAGCCGTGTGTGTGGTGAGTGAGTTATGCTTGATGCTTGTTGGTCTGTGGCTCCTTCCCTGCATCCGGCCCCCACTCTGCTCTTTTTTTCCCATTCTGTAAGGCTCTCATGTTTTCCCCTCCACTCCGTTCACCCCTCTCTCTCCCCCCCCACCTCTCTCCACATCTCTCCGCCTCTCTCCATCCATCCCAGGGCCCAGCACCTGCAGCGCAGAGCTATCTCAACACGGACGCTGTGCTGGACGCTATTAGGAGCACGGGGGCTGATGCGGTGAGTGGTCGGACTAGCTACATGCGATTATCTTGTGCTTGCACACCAGGTGGTGCACCCTGGCTGCATCGCCTGGCTCTGTATGCGGAGCTCCTGGGTCAACCGTCACTCACTCCCTGTCTGGAGCCCTCGCTCCCGCTGCAGCTCCGTAGTTTTCTCCCCCTTGTACTACAAAATGCACTTTTGAGGGGCCTCGAGAAGACCCCCACAACTTGTCTGGAGGCGTTCTTTCTCCCCTTTGCACAAGGCGCGTATGGGATATGACCTCCTGTCTGGGAGCGCCATGTTCGTGGAGCGGCTGGAGGGATCGCTTCTGGCCACCCCTCACTCACTCCATTGGACGTGCCGCACACTCTCTTGCCGCACACTCTCTTGCCGCACACTCTCTTGCCGCACACTCTCTTGCCGCACACTCTCTTGCCGCACACTCTCTTGCCGCACACTCTCTTGCCACACCCTCTCCCCGCCACACCTTCTCCCCGCCACACCTTCTCCCCTCCCCAGGTGCACCCGGGCTACGGCTTCCTGTCAGAGAACGCCATGTTTGTGGAGCGGCTGGAGGAGTAACCCTTGCATGGCACCCATTGGCTCAACGGTCATTCGTGCCTTCACGTGCCCCACACAATCTCCCCTCCCCAGGTGCACCCGGGCTGCGGCTTCATGTCGGAGAACGCCATGTTCGTGGAGCGGCTGGAGGAGGAGGGCGTGACCCCTGTCTCACTTATTTGCTCCTTTCCTTCCTGCACAATGTTCCCCCCCCCCGCACCTGATGCACCCCGGCTACGCCTTCCTGACGGAGAACGCCATGTTTGTGGAGCGGCTGGAGGAGTAACCCTTGCATGGCACCCGTTGGCCCAACGGTCATTCGTGCCTTCACGTGCCCCACACACCCTCCCCTCCTCAGGTGCACCCGGGCTACGGCTTCATGTCTGAGAACGCCATGTTCGTGGAGCGGCTGGAGGAGGAGGGCGTGACGTTCGTGGGGCCTTCTGTGAACGCCATTGACGCCATGGGGGATAAGGTGCGGGTCAAGGCGAAGGGATTGTGGGGCTGTCAGGGGATTAGGCGAGACTCGATGCTCTTTGGCCTCGTTCGTGGGGCTGTCTGTGAACGCCATTGACGCCATGGGGGACAAGGTGGGGGTCAAAGCGAAGGGCTCGTGGGATTGTCAGGGAATTAGGTGAGACTCGATGCTCTAGAGCTCATTCGTAGGGCCGTCTGTGAGCGCCATGAACGCCATGGGGGATAAGGTGGGGTTCAGGGCTACGGGCGTGCACGGCTGTCAGGGGATAAGTTAGGACTCGATGCGTGAGGGTTCGTTCGTGGGGCCGTCTGTGAACGCCATGGACGCCATGGGGGATAAGGTGGGGTGGTGGTACTTATGTTGTTGGGGAAAGGGGTTACAAGGCGGATGGCTTTGAATGTGATGGAAATGGGGGCTTTTGGAGACCTGAAACGGTTATTGTATGGTTGATATGAGGGATTTTGGTGGGTGTTGTGGCCGTGTTCTGGCCTTGTGGCCTTATTCTGGATTATTGACTGACTGCCTCACGAATGCATACGTTCGCCTTCCTTCCCTCCTTTCTTTCCTGTTGCCCTGCCCTGCCTACTTCCCCTGCCGTTTTATCTCCATCATTATCCCCCCTCTCCCTTGTCTCCAGATTCACAGCAAGCGGTTGGCAAAAGAGGCAAAGGTGAACACTATTCCGGGAAAGGAGGACGTGATCAGGGACGAGGACCATGCTGTTGAGATCGGTAAGTACTGATGATCCATCTCAATTTCTAGGCGCCTCAACGATTTTTCAGGCGCCTTAGAAAGAGGCAAAGGTGAGCACCATTCCGGGGAAGGAGGACAATTGAACACCAGATAGAACTCTTGGAATTGTAAAAACAAACTCTTGGAATTAAACTCATTCCGGGGAAGGAGGACGTGATCTGATCAGGGACGAAGACCACGCAATGGTGCGATTGGTGAGGTTCTAGACTTCCCAAAGTTTACCTACAGGGACGTGACCAGGGACTTTTCCTGTTAAGGAGGACGTGACCAGGGACTAGGACGCTTTTCCTAGACCTGCTACATGTCTCGTTATTTCTCGGAAAGTCCTGGTTGTAATCATCCTCAGTGTTGCTTCTCCTGGAAAAACACTCACTTTGTGTTGGCTTCCACCCCTTGCGTCTCGTTCTCCATTCCGTTCTCCTGCCCCTTGTCCCCCACCCAGCGCTGGAGGTGGGCTTCCCAGTCATGCTCAAGGCCTCTGGTGGTGGAGGAGGCAAGGGCATGCGAGTTGCATGGTGAGGGGTGCGGGTGCCATGGCGAGGGGTGCGGGTGCCATGGCGAGGGGTGCGGGTGCCATGGCGAGGGGTGCGGGTGCCATGGTGAGGGGTGCGGGTGCCATGGCGAGGGGTGCGGATGCCATGGTGAGGGGTGCGGGTGGGTGGTATGGTATGATGAGGGATACGGGTGGCGGATGGGGGCTTATGGGTGTGTGCTGCATGATTCTGAGGGCTGGGAGACCGCGTGCTGTTTTCTGAGCGGCTTCCAATCATGCTCCCAGAATCATGCTCAAGGCGTGAAGGGGTGGAGGACGCAAGGGCATGCATGTCGCATGCAGAGACCCTTTCCTGTGCGCTGCGATGTGTGCTTCTGGGCGCCCTCTGGTCTGTGGTAACGCAGTCCGGCATTTGCAACGCAGATAAGTCACTGAAAACCTCACAACACATCCCCTCCTCCCCCCCCCCCCCCCACCCTTCCCATTCCCCCTCTTCCCCCCCTTTCCCCCCACGCACACGTCTCTCACCCTTCCTCCGCCTCGTTTTCCACTCAGGAACGAGAAGGAGGTGCGGGAGCAGTTTAGCGTGTGCAAGGCGGAGGTGGCATCCAGCTTTGCGGATGACCGCATCTTCGTGGAGAGGTGCGTCGTTTTTTTAGAATTCTCAAAAAGCAATTTGACTTTTGAAAGTAACCTCGAAAGGGGGGCACACTCGAGTGGCTCTGTTCTTATAATAAAAATATGTGGTATGTGCCCAAGTTGTTTTCTCTTCCTTCTCTTTCCTGCCTCAACTGGGCTCTGCAGGTTCATCGACAGGCCGAGGCACATTGAAGTGCATGTCATGGGGGATAAACAGGTCACTTATGCGTAGCTCTCCACTCCCCACGAATTGATATTCCTCCCCTTCCTCCCCGTCCCTGCCTGGGGTTTCTCTACAGATTCATCGACAGGCCGAGGCACATTGAGGTGCAGGTCATGGGGGATAAACACGGCAATGTGGTGCGTAACTCTTTCGACTTCTCCCTTAGCTTCTGCCCATTCTCCTCTTTCTTTGCCCTGCTGCTGGTTGCACTTTCATTTCTCTACATGTTGTCATGTCAAGTCCTCTCCTCCGTCCTTTCTGCTATCCCTCCATCTCACGGTTCCCCTCCCATATCTTCTGTGTCGTCTTACTTTCTGTCCGTACCTGCCTTGCTGCTTTCCCAGGTGTGGCTGCCGGAGCGAGAGTGCTCCATTCAGAGGCGAAACCAGAAGGTGCGAATTACGATCCCCATAACCATAATTCCAGGTTCAGAATTCCAAGTTAGAATGCCCCATTCAGAGGGCCCTGGTCAGATTGCGCCATTCAAAATGGCCCAATCAGTCTCCCTCAAGAACAAAACACATCCTTACTCTTGCTGTTCCGTAGTAGGCGGCCCATGCTTGCAACGCCAGGGTGGCCACGTGTGTCTGCTCACCTGCACGCTTTCACACTCCCTGCCCTCTTTTCCACTAAGTTTTCAACTACGAGGTGACCGAGACCTCGCCCAAGGGAGGGTGGTACCAGCACCCTTTGAATGAGGCTACCAGGGAGGCCATGTGTGTCTGCTCACCTGCACGCTTTCACAAGCCCTACCCTCCAATCCAGTCACCTTTCAACCACCGGGTGGTAGAGGCGTCGCCCAAGAGAGGGTGGTAGCAGCACCCTTGATGGCTTCTTGCATGAGGCTGCAAGGGAGGCCATGTGTGTCTGCTCACCTGCACGCCTCCACCAACCCTACCCTCCAATCGTCATGTCTTTCGACCACCAGGTGATAGAGGAGTCTCCTAGCACGTTTCTGGATGAAGCCACAAGGGAGGCCATGGGCGAGCAGGCAGTGTCGCTGGCCAAGGCAGTCAACTACGACTCTGCTGGTGCGTGTGTGTGGGGGAGGGTTGGGGGGGAATGGCAGGGGGGAAAGGGGGAGGGGGGTTTTCAAAGGGGGTGGGCGGTTTTCAAACGGGGTGGGCGGTTTTCAAACGGGGTGGGCGGTTTTCAAACGGGGTGGGCGGTTTTCAAACGGGGTGGGAGGTTTTCAAACGGGGTGGGAGGTTTTCAAACGGGGTGGGCGGGAGGGAGGGAATGCCGAGCTGAGAGGGAAGCAGGCAGTGTCACTGGCTAAGCCAGTCAATTACGGCTCTGCTGGTATGTGATAGCCAGGCCAAGTGTTGAATGTGAACACGTGCCTGCAGGTGGAGCACCCAGTCGTGCAGCCATACACACACTTCTTTCTTCCCTTGTTCTCTCTCGTCTTCCCTGGATTATCTTTCAGGCACTGTGGAGTTTCTTGTGGACTCACAGCGCAACTTCTTCTTCCTCGAGATGAACACGCGCCTGCAGGTGGAGCGCCCTGTTAACAGGCCTCCAGACATCCACACCCCCTCGTTCCCTCCGTCCCCTCTCCTCTCTCGCCTTCCCTACACATTCCAGGCACTGTTAAATTCCTCGTGGACTCGCAGCGCAAATTCTTCTTCCTCGAGATGAACACGCGCCTGCAGGCGGAGCACCCGGTTTCGTAGTCTGCAAACACACACACAGCCGCTAGTTCCTACCCTCTCTTCTTCTCCCCCCTTCTCCCGCCTCTCCCCTTCTTTCCCTCCAGGCACTGAGGAATTTTTCGTCGATTCGCAGCGCAACTTTTTCTTCCTGGAGATGAACACGCGCCTGCAGGCGGAGCACCTGAGGGTCTAGTTTTGAGGTGCCTCAAAGTTAGATTTCTTCCAGGCGGAGATGAACACGTACCCCTCCCCCCCTCTCCTTCCAGGCACGGTTGAATTTCTTGTGGACTCGCAACGCAACTTCTTCTTCCTCGAGATGAACACGCGCCTGCAGGTGGAGCACCCGGTCACCGAGTGCGTTACCGGGCTGGACCTCGTGCACCTCATGTTCCACGTGGCAGCAGGCCATTCGCTGCCCATCGACCAGGAGCGGGCGAGGAGGATCAACGGGTGGGCGATGGAGTCGCGGGTTTACTGCGAGCATCCCTTCATGAACTTCCTGCCGTGAGTGATTGATTGCCCTCGTTATAAGCATCCTCTTGTACCCGGCCATTCGCTGCCCATCGACCAGGAGCGGGCGAGGAGTATCAATGGGTGGGCGATGGAGTCGCGAGTGTACTGCGAGCATCCCTTCATGAACTTCCTGCCGTGAGTGATCTGTACCCTTTATAAGAGTCTAGTTGTGAGGTGCCTCAATACTAGTGATCTGTACCCTTTATAAGCACCCTGTGGGAGCTGAAGTGGCAAGTGTACATTCCCTTCGTGAGCTTCCTGCTGTAAGCTACTTGCCCTCCACTTAGCACCCTGAGGCTTAGGGGCGCTGTGGTGGCAGGCAGTTTTGAGAATTCTACAAAATGACTCCACTGTGGCTAAGGGGCGCTGCGGTGGCACTGGAAGCCCAGGGAGGTGCACCTCATATCGCTGCACCTTTTCCTCCCTCCTCCCCTTCAACCTCCTCCACAACAACCTCCTCCCGCCCCTTTCGCCTCCCCTTTCCTCCTCGCCTCCACTCTCCTCCTCGTCTCCTCTCTCCTACTTGCCTCCCCTCTCCTCGCCGCCTCCCCTCTCCCCCTCACGTCCCCTCTCCTCCTCTCCGCCTCTCGTCTCCTGCACTCCCCAGCTCCACGGGCAAGCTGCGGCGGTACCGAGAGCCCAAGGAGGTGCGAAAGGCGAATGAGATCGTGCGGCTGGACACAGGGGCGGTGGAGGGGCAGTACATCTCCATGTACTACGACCCCCTTTTGTCTAAGGTAATGTATATGCACTACGACCCTGAGTCGACTGTAATGGTTGTGCAGCTGGACACGGGGGCGGTGGAGGGGCAGTAAATCTCCGTGTGCTACAACCTCCTGCTCTCCAAGGTAATGTATGCGTGCTACAACCCTGAGTCGACACAAACAGTTGTGCAGCTGGGCACAGGCTGGACACCGGGGCAGTGGAGGGGCAGTACATCTCCATGTACTACGACCCCCTGCTCTCAAAGGTAATGGAGGGTTAAGTTCACTGGAGCATCCTAATGCACTATGAACGTCCACTTGTTATATTGTGAGGCTGGACACAGGGGCGGTGGAGGGGCAGTACATCTCCATGTACTACGACCCCCTGCTCTTCAAGGCAATGGCTGGCTGAAGTTTACCACAATATCTTCCGGCATGATGTGTCTTCTTATTTTGAGGTGCCTAAACCACTCTCTGTCTCTTCCCCACACATCCCTCCCTCAAAACTTCCCTCCATCCCTCCCCTTACCGCCTTCTCCCACCACCAGCTGGTCACGTGGGGCCCAACCAGAAAGGATGCTCTCGAGACCATGAAGGTACGGTGCTCCATGTAGTGACACACCCCACATCCGCCACACGCTCAGCAACCAGCCTTTTGAGACCATTTAGCAAATGCCCAGCGGCCGCTGCATTCAAGTGCATTCCTGTGCGCTCCCTTCCCTTGTGTTCCTCTGCGTTCCCTTGCGTTTCTGTGCATTCCCTTGGCTTTTCTTGCGTTCCCTTGGTAGGTAATCTCTATTGTCTAGACATCTTTCGGCTCCTCTCTTGTGCCCTACCTCCACAGCGCGCCTTGGACCGCTTCTAGTTGTGCCTTGACCCAGCAACATCTCCTTCCTCTTCACATCCACTCCTCTCACTCGTGCCTCCCGCCCTGCCTCCCCAATCCTCCACGCCCCCCAGCGTGCCTTGGATTGGACCGCTACTTTGTGTGTGTGTGGCCTGTTAAAAACATGTCCTTCCTCTTCACACAAGCTCTGACCTCACTCCTGTGCCTCCCTCTCTCCACACTTCCCCCCTCCTCTACCTCCCCCCCCCAATCCTCTTATTCCCCCAGCACGCGTTAGACCACTACTACGTGTGCGGGCCATTCAACAACATCTCCTTCCTCCTCACATGCTCTTCTCTCACGCCTGTTCCCCCTTCTCCCCCCCCCCCCCCCCCTCTACATTGAACCCCCCAGCACGACTTAGACCACTACTATGTGTGCGGTCCATTCAACAACATCTCCTTCCTCTTCACATGCTTGTCTTCCTCTCTTATTCGTCTACTTACCCCGACTATCTCCTCCAGCACGCCTTGGACCGCTACTATGTGTGCGGGCCGTTCAACAACATCTCCTTCCTCCGCTGCATCTTCTCACAACCAGTGAGCTCCCCTCCACCCCTCTCAGCCGCTTTCAGCCCCTCTCACGCCTGTGACACTACGTGTAATCACACAATCAGCCCAGTTTCCCCACTCACTCGATTGTATCCATAGGTCAAATCTGGTTGCAGACTTCTAGTGGTTAAGAGCGCAATGGCTCAGGAGGATGAGCTTTGGCTCGCCTAGTAATTTAGAAAAACTAAAGTGGCCAAATTTCTCTCTTGCTGTCCATCCTCCTGCACCTCGTCACCACCATGTCATCCGTTTCTTCTCCAAGGCATTCCAACAAGTATATTGTCAATGTAAAAACCGCATGTAATGAGTCTGCTTTTGAGTCGACTCAAAAGCACCATGTCATCCCTTTCTTCTCCAAGGCATTCCAACAAGTATATTGTCAATGTAAAAACCGCATGTAATGAGTCTGCTTTTGAGTCGACTCAAACGCACCATGTCATCCCTTTCTTCTCCAAGGCATTCCAGTCCAGCAGCATTAGCTCGAAGGCTCTGCCTGGACATCCACTATTTGGTTTTGTGGTGCCTCAAGTCACTATCTCCCCCTCTCTTTTCGTGCTCCATCTCTTTGTTTTGCTCTTTTCCAAAACCCCAGGCATTCGAGTCTGGCGACATCAGCACCAGGTCTCTTGACATCTATGAGTCTCTTTTAAGCCGCCTCAACACACAATTTCCTCACCTTGGCATCCCATCGCTTTTGTCTTTCCGCATACCGCAGGCATTCGAGTCTGGCGACATCAGCACCAAGTTTCTGGACATCCACTACCCTCATGGCTTCACAGACGATCGGCTGACACCTAGAGAAGAGGTGAGGATGGAAAAGGACCAATATCCCATATCCCAATGTCCCCATGCCTCAAAACAAGACGATCGGCTGACACCTAGAGAAGAGGTGAGGATGGAAAAGGACCAATATCCCATATCCCAATGTCCCCACCCCATGCCTCAAAACAAGACGATCAGCTCACACCTAGAGAAGAGGTGAGGATGGAAAAGGACCAATATCCCATATCCCAATGTCCCCATGCCTCAAAACAAGACGATCGGCTCACACCTAGAGAAGAGGTGAGGATGGAAAAGTTTTGAGGCGCCTCAAAACAAGACGATCGGCTCACACCTAGAGAAGAGGTGAGGATGGAAAAGTTTTGAGGCGCCTCAAAACAAGACGATCGGCTGACACCTAGAGAAGGGGTGAGGATGGAAAAGGACCAATATAATACAAAGGACCAATTGAGGATGGAAAGCGAGGGCATGCTCCTTGTTGCTTCTGTGCCTTTCAGGTGCTGTCGTGCTCACAGCATGCTCTACATTGAGTGCTGTCACATCCTCCAACCGTAGCACGCCCCTCTCTCTCCACCACACTGTCTCGATCGCACCTGTTGTATCCGGAGAGGAGAGCCACTTCCCTCTGTGCTCTCTTCTTCCCCTTTCTTTCCTTCATGCAGAAAGAGGTTGCAGCAATCGCAGCGTTTCTCGACATTGTCAAATCCAGGAGGTCCCTGCAAGCTGTCAATGCAGCCGCGCCAGGCACACCTGGCGCAATAGGAAACGGACACCTGGAGCACGCTGGTTGGGCGGACGAGGAGGGGGGAGGGGAAGGAGAGGAGGGGGAGGAGGAGGAGGGAGGGGAGGGGCTGAGAGGGAAGGCAGAGATGGTGGTGAATTCGGACGGGGTGGAGTACCCAGTGGTGGTGCGGCATTGGAGCAAGGAGAAGAAACCGCACCTCTGTGTTGCTGTGAGCGTTGGTCTGTTGCTGTGAGCGTTTGTCTGTTGCTGTGAGTGTTTTTTTATGTCGCTGTGAGGGACGTTACACCTCTTGTTCTCGTTTATAGCTGTTCCGTTTACGCTTGTGTTCTCCTATTCCCAGCGTTCCCTTCACCTCTTTCTCTTTTCTCATCTTCCCCTTCTCCGCTCCCCATGTCTCCATGTCCCCCATGCCCCCACGCCCCCCATCCCCCATGTCCCCGTGTCCCCATGTCCCCATGTCTAGACATGAGCAAATTAAATCGCATCGCATCTAATCGCGTTTTTGCAATGGAGATGTTTATATATATATATATAATGTAAAATTCATCGCGCGATGCGATGTTTTTTATCGCGCGATTTAATTTAAATCGCGGTTTAATCGCGATTAAAATGCGATATACGAATTTTTTTTTTATCGCGCGCGATTTCGAAATACCACGGGAGCTCGCACCTGTCCTAAACCCAATACTGAACCGGATTATTTATCTAAATTACCGCCCACGACTGCCCTTGATCCAAATTCCCATTGGTGTTGGTTTTTGTTATCCGGTTTTCTGAGGTGTTTTTTATTTGAAGTAAAATGCGATGCGATTTTAAATCGCATCGCCCGATTTAAATAAACATCACATGCGGTTTAAATTAACATTGCGCCCAAAATGGGATGTGCGATTTATTTTTTTCACAAAATTAAATCGCGCGATGCGATGTTAAATCGCATCGCATTTTTTTACATCGCACCCCTGTGCGATGCGATTTAAATCGCAATCGCATTTTGATCATGTCTACCCATGTCCCCATGTCCCCATGTCCCCATGTCCCCACATCCCCACGTCCCCTTGTCCCCGGCCTTGTCCCCATGTCCCCTCCTCTTCGCCAGGACATAGAGGTGGATGGGGAGGTGATTCGGGTGGAAGAGGTGGCGCCTCAAAAGTCACCACTTTCTCATCTTCCCCTTCTTCCTTCCCCGTGCCCCCTTCTCCCTCCCCATGTCCCCACTCCCATCTCCCCCCCTACTAGGTCATAGAGGTGGATGGGGAGGTGATTAGGGTGGAGGAGGCATTTTTTAAATCACCTCGCTTTCCTCTCTCGCCTTCCCCTCTTCTCTCTCCTGTCCCCATGTCCCCCCCGTACCCTGCCAGGACATAGAGGTGGATGGGGAGGTGATTCGAGTAGAGGAGGCGGTCCCAGTGGGGTTGGGGCGGGGGGTGGTGGATATCCGGGTGGATGGGGAGGACACGGTGTGCATGGTCATGGAGAAGCACGCGAGGGGATTTAAACTGGTCTATGACGGATGCACCAAGGTATGCTGCCTCCTTCAATAGCGATACATTTCAGTGGGTGTTGCAACAGGGTTGGTGGATATCCAGGTGGATGGGGGAAGACACGGTGTGCATGGTGATGGAGAAGCACGCGTGGGGGTTCAAACTCGTCTAGGATGGCTGCACCAAGGTATGCTGTCCTCATTAGTGCTGCGTTGCCTTAATTTATAAGCTGAATCATTAGAAACATGGACGTGAGGGGGTTCAAGTCAAGCTCGTCTACGACCGCTGCACCAAGGTATGCTGTCTCCTTCAGAAGTATTCACTTGAGTGGATGAGATAACAGCAGTGTGCGATTCGAGTGGATGGGGGGAGGACACGTGTGCATGGTTATGGAGAAGCACGCAAGGGGCTTCAAGCTCGTCTACGATGGCTGCACCAAGGTATGCTGTCTCTAAAATTCTAAGTAAAACGATCCCACGAGAGGCGTCTCGATCCACGTGTGTATGTGCATATGCCAACTCCCATGAGAGACGTCTTAAAACTTCAACTATTCCTCCTCTAAACGCTCCGTCCTCTTTCCTGTCTTCGCCCATTTTCTCCTCCCTTACTCGATGCTGTGCTTGTGTGTGCATGTGACTGTAACAGGATGAGGTGCTAGTGCATCAAAAGAAGGTCGCTCCTCTGCAGAAGTACATGCCCCCCAAGAAGGTCCAAGATGTCTCCAAGGTACCGTTTCTCCTCTAGTCCATGCCGTGCCGTGCCCGTGTTGACTCATCTGTTACACATGCTACGCAAGTCTGTCTACAAGTTGCCAATTCTATACACATTCAGCAGTTTCATAAAAGCCATGTGTTTTTCCTCTATGCTCTCTCTCTTGCAGATGGTGAAGGCTCCGATGCCTGGCGCAGTGGTGGCGATTGGTGTCAAGCCAAACAAGAAGGTGAGGCCTTGGGCCACAGGAATCTGCATCTGCAATGCGCCAAATGTTTCGTTTCTGGCTAACCCCCTGCAAGACTAATCACCTCCTTTGTCATACAATCGCCAGCATTACTCTACAACCGGTTTCACTCCACCTTGTCTGAGCTCCAACCTCCCTTCGTCCAACAGGTCCTTCCTGGCGATGAGCTGATAACGATTGAAGCCATGAAGATGCGCAATGTGCTACGAGCAGAGGAGGCCGCCACTGTGAAGGCTGTGTATGTAAAGGTTGGCGCCTCTTTGTCGTTGGGCGAGACCATGATTGAGTTTGAATAAACTTACTCGCCCGACGCCCACCGCAGAAATCACAGTTGGAAGTTATCTTCTTGCAGTATTACAATGCATGGAATGTATCAATGCCATTCTTGTATTGCTGCTACTACGATGGCGTGTGAAGAAATGTTGACGGGTTTGAGAATGGCAAATACGTGACTTTTGCACGCAAACTATTTATAGGGTGATGATTAGGCAGTGTGGATCAAGGAGAGTCATCTAATTTGTTCCACTATGCTACGTTTTCAATTATACATTGCGTGTAGCTAGTTATCATAGTCGTGTTCGGGCGGTGGCATACCAACGCAGCCCCAGAAGATCGAGGAAACGCGATTTTCGTATCAATTTGTCACTCAAGCTCTAATTCTTCTTAGCTAAAAGCGGCTAATCCCACTGTAGCTTATCCGGTTCCCTGGGGATTTCAGTACCCACGATTCCCCCGCTCGTCTTCTTGCTCCACCTCTGCCTTCACCCTCCGGCGCAAGCCTTCCCCACTTCCCCCCTCGAACCATTCCCCCCAACTTTCCGCTCCCAGATCTCCGCCTAACCTCCCTAAGTTCACCGCACACTGCTTTCTGATGCTCTCTTGCCAGGGAGCAGATCAGGCATCCCTTGGGACTAATCGATCCTCAGGCAGCCTGCAGCATCCTGATTCGCCGTTCAGGACCTCAGTCTTCGCGACTCGAGCCTCTGACATCTGCAGCCATGGCGTCCCGTTTCTGGATGCAGGTGCGCCGGTAGACGGTAGACGCGTACTTATTCAGTAGTGGACCAGATTACGGAGACTCGGAATCGCGAAGATTCGGTTGAATAGGGTTTCGTCCAGGCGAATAGTTGCGATTCGTCTGATTAACCTCGTTATAGGTTGAAATTATCGCGTCATGCTCTCTTTCCGCATCGTAACTCGTCGTCCCACATGCAGTTGGGGCAGCGATTCCGGTCGGAGATTGTTTGAATGTCAAGAAATCAACGGACGGGATCCATTCAAGACGACGGGTGTCTTGGACTCTCCATGAATCCTCCTGATACGTTCTTTACCAATCCGTTTGCAGACTGACAGCGAGTCCGATCAACCGGCCTAAGCTTAACATTCCGTGTACCCTAACTTTATTGTCGCAATTTCCGGCCGAACTTCCCCACGCAGTCTGACCGCGAGCCAGAGGAGGAGGAGGAGGAGTCGAAGGAGGAAGAGGTAAAGGCTTGGCCTTAAAGGCTGATCCCTCCTTTCTTCCACCTTCCCCACGCAGTCTGACAGCGAGTCCGAGGAGGAGGAGGAGGAAGTCGAAGAGGAAGAGTCGGAGGAGGAAGAAGACGAGGCTCCCAAGGCCGGCGGCGATGGCGCCGGGCGCGCGTCGATCTACCTCCGGCAGGGCGACAGCGACAGCGAGGACAGCGACGACGGCCGCGCTCGCGTGGTGCGGCCGGCGCGGGAGAAGCGGTACGACGAGATGGTGGCGACTGTGGAGCAGATTAAGAACCAGATGAAGATCAACGACTGGGTCGCCCTGCAGGTACGGACGGCAATTACGGCGTTGCAGGTGCGGACGGCAGTTACTGCGTTGCAGGTACGGAAGGCGGCTACGGCGTTGCAGGTACGGATGGCAGTTACGGCGTTGCAGGTACGGATGGCAGTTACGGCGTTGCAGGTACGGATGGCGGCTACGGCGTTGCAGGTACGGATGGCAGTTACGGCGTTGCAGGTACGGATGGCAGTTACGGCGTTGCAGGTACGGATGGTAACTTGTGAGGCCAGTTTCATGATTTAGATTCTCGCAATCCGAGTCTCATAATGGCCAGTTCCATTTGATGGCAACCTAATTTCCAGGTCCAGGTGATTCTTATCATGGGCATTAAATGGTGTGGCGTGGCTTGCCGTGGTAAGCTAATCTCGTGCTGATGGCGTTCTGTGCTTTTCATCTTGTCCAATATTCTCTCTGCTATTTTTGAGGCGCCTCAAAAATATTATCGCTGCTATTGCAGGAGAGCTTCGATAAGCCGAACAAGCAGCTTGAGAAGGTGGTCCGCGAGGAACATCTCATCGAGTCGTCCGTCCCCCGCGGCCGTACATCAAGGGTGTGGTGCTCCTGGAGGACCACCTCAACTCCTCTCTGCCCCTTGTTTTGTACCCTCTTTCACTCATTCTCCTCATTCTCCTCATTTTCCACTATTCGCAGGAGAGCTTCGAGAAGCTGAACAAGCAGCTGGAGAAGGTGCTCCGCCTGATCGAGTCGTCCGTCCCCCGCGGCCGTACATCAAGGGCGTGGTGCTCCCTCGAGGAACACCTCAACTCCGTTCTCCCTCGTCTTTCACTCATTCTCCTCATTCTCCTCATTTTCCACTATTCGCAGGAGAGCTTCGAGAAGCTGAACAAGCAGCTGGAGAAGGTGCTCCGCCTGATCGAGTCCTCCGTGCCCCCGCGGCCGTACATCAAGGGCGTGGTTCTCCTCGAGGACCATCTCAACTCCGCCCTCGCGAACAAGGAAGCGAAGAAGAAGATGAGCAGCAGCAACGCCAAGGCTCTTAACTACATGAAGCAGAAGCTTAAGAAGAATAATAAGCTGTACGAGGCCGTTATTGAGAAGTTCCGGGCCAGTCCGGAGTCGGATGAGGAGGAGGAGGAGGATGAGGACGAGGAGGAGGAGGATGAGGATGAGGAGGAGGACGAGGAGGGAGTGGAGGATCCGTTGGACAGGAAGGGAGGGGAGGAGGAGGAAGAGGAGGAGGGGGGAGAGGGATGGGAGACGAAGAAGAGCAAGAAGGATCGGGCGCTGGAGAAGCAGTTTCAGCGGGATCATAGCGAGATTAAGTGGGAGGAGGTGAACCAGAAGCTTAAGGAGATTATTGCCGCTAGGGGCCGCAAGGGGACAGATAGGGTGGAGCAGGTCGAGCAGCTGACTTACCTGGCTAAAGTCGCAAAAACCCCCGCGCAGAAGCTTGAGGTTATGATGCAGGTGGTTTCTGCGCAGTTCGACGTTTCGCAGAACCTTCACCTGCACCTGCCCGTCCCCGTTTGGAGGAAATGCGCGGAGAATATAACGACGATTCTCGACATTCTCGAGGGGAACCACAACATAGTCCTGGACGAGAACTACGAGGTGGTTGAGGACGATAACGAGACGCAGAAAGGCGCGGATTTCGAGGGGACGATCCGCGTGTGGGGGTCGGTGGTGTCGTTTGTAGAGCGTATGGACGACGAGCTGTTCAAGAGCCTCCAGTGCACGGACCCCTACACCAAGACGTACCTTGAGCGGCTCAAGGACGAGCCGACGCTCCTGGCCCTGGCGCAGAACGCCCAGGCGTATTCTCTGCGCGTGGGGGATACGAAGGGGGCTTCGCGCGCTGCTCGCCGCCTGGTCGAGCATATTTACTACAAGCCCCAGGTTAGGCTCGTTTTCACCCATCCTCATCGCCCCCTCCCACAGGTAGATTCGCCTCAAATATAGCCTGGTCAAGCATGTGTGCTACAAGCCTCAGGTTACGCCCCTCTCCTTGTCTTCCCCTCCTCCTCTCCCCACTCCCCCCCCTCCTCCGTCCCCCTTGCTCCTCTCGTTCTCACTGGCAACCCCTGAGACGCCGCCTCAGCAGGCGTCTTATTTATCAACTCGATCCCCCCACTCCCCCAAACCCCCCCCCCCCCCCCCCCTCTTCCGCCCCCAAACACAACAGAACGTGTACGCGGCCCTGCGTCAGATGTCCGAGCAGCAGCAGGCAGCAGCCGCTGCCGCCGCCGCCACCGCCGAGACCCCCTCAGACGCCGCCGCAGCAGGCGACGAGGACGCGTCCCCGGACGATGAGCCCGAGTCCGCCGCCGCGAAAGACGCCAAGCGCCGCGCAGCCATCGCCGTGAACTCGTACGGGCCGCCCGCGTTCGTCCCTACCCTAGAAGCGGTCCCGCGGTGGCCTGTTTTCCCTGAGAGCGGGCGGGCGATGATGAAGGCGCTGCTGGCGGTGGTGTACGCGCACGGGGAGGAGCGCAGCAAGGCGCGCGCGATGCTGTGCGACATCTATCACCATGCGATCCAGGACGACTACCACACGGCGCGCGATCTCATGCTCATCTCGCACCTCCAGGTGGGGTTTCGGGGTTTGAAAAGCACGTGGAGGTGAGGGGTTCAGGGGCTTAAAAGTCATCTGGGGAATGGGGGGAAGAGGAACAAGGAATGGCCATGCTTTTCGACATGGATCACCATGCTATTCAGGACGACTTTTACCCGGCGCAGTCTCATGCTCAGCTCGCGCCTCCTGGTAGGGGCATTGAGTTTGCAGGGTGTTTTTGAGAATTCTCAAAAACACCCTGCAAAATCAGGGTGTTTTTGAGAATTCTAAAAAACACCCTGCAAAATCAGGGCATTGAGGCGCCTGACGAGCACATGGGTGAGGAGTCTAATCGTCGTCTCCCTCGACCCGTGTGTAATGAGTCGATTTTTGAGGCGCCTCAAAAATTGACTCGTCTCGCGCCTCCCGGTAGGGGGGTTGAGGCGCCTGAAGAGCTCATGGGGATGGGGTCGGAGAGGAGCGATGGCGCGCGTCTATTTTTGAGGCGCCTAACGAAAAGAACAAGAGCACATGGGGATGAGGTAGGAGAGGATCGATGGCGCGCGCCACACTGTGCGACATCTACCATCGTGCGATTTTGGACGATCAACACAGGCGTGCGATCTCGTGCTCATCTCGCACCTCCCGGTAGGGTTCAGGGGACTTTTGAGGCGCCTCAAAGGCAGGGTTCAGGGGTTGTGTTGAACCAAGAGGTGAATCTTCGTGTAGATTCAAGCTCCCTGTTCCCCCCCTCCCTCCCTTCCCCACCAGGACGCGGTCCAGCAGACGGACGTCAGCACGCACATCCTCTTCAACCGCGCCATGCCTATTTCGTGAGAGGGCTCTAATCGTCGTCTCCCTCGACCCGTACCCTGTATCACCCCTCTCGCCCCTCTCTCTCTTCCCCCACCAGGACGCGGTGCTGCAGATGGACATCAGCACGCAAATCCTCTTCAGCCGCGCCATGGCGACTTAGAAGATTCTGAAACCCGTCAACCCTTTCCCGCATCACCCCTCTCCCCCCTCCTCCCGTCTCCCCCCCCACCAAGACGCGGTCCAGCAGATGGACATCAGTACCCAGATCCTCTTCAACTGCGCCATGGCGCAGCTGGGCCTGGCGGCCTTCCGCAGGGGGCTCATCCCTGACGCGCACAACTGCCTCGTCAAACCGCTCCCCCAATCCGCCCCCTTTTTGCCCCCCTCTTCCTTCCCCTCCTCTCGTGATTTTTGAGTCGACTAAAAAATCCAATCCGCCCCCGCTTTTGCCCCCCTCTTCCTTCCCCTCCTCTCCAGGACGCGGTCCAGCAGATGGACATCAGCACACAGATCCTCTTCAACTGCGCCATGGCGCAGCTGGGCCTGGCGGCCTTCCGCAGGGGGCTCATCCCTGACGCACACAACTGCCTGGCGGACCTCTTTGCAGGCGGACGCGTTAAAGAGCTCCTCGCTCAGGGGGTTTCGCAGTCCCGGTTCCACGAGAAGAGCCCCGAGCAGGAGCGCATTGAGCGGCGGCGGCAGATGCCGTACCACATGCACGTGAACCTGGAGCTGCTGGAGTCCGCGCATCTGCTCTGCGCCATGCTGCTGGAGGTCCCGTCCCTGGCGGCCCATTCGACTGACGGGCGCCGCAGGGTGATTTCGAAGAATTTTAGGAGGCTGCTGGATATGTACGAGCGGCAGACGTTTACCGGGCCTCCTGGTGAGTTTCCTCCGCTCTTCTCCAGTCCTTGGAAAGGAGTCTATTTTTGAGGCGCCTCAAAAATCTTCTCCAGTCCTTGGAAAGGGATTGTCAGCAGGAAGGGGTCTCGGGTTTGGGTAGATGCCGTACCACATGCACGTGAACCTGGAGCTGCTGGAGTCCGTCCGTGCACCTGCTCTGCGCCATGCTGCTGGAAGTACCATCCCTTGCGGCCCATTCTACTGATGGGCGCAGGAGGGTGTTCTCCAAGAACTTCCGCCAGCTGCTCGAGATGGACGAGCGCCAGACGTTCACTGGGCCTCCTGGTGAGTTTCGCCTCCTCTTTTCCAGTCCTTTGGAGAGGGATTGTGAGTGGAAGGTGAGGGGAGGGGGCCGGGGTCTGGGTTCTAGATTCCGTACGGTGTACACCTTCAAGTCGACTCAAAAGTCGCCTCGCACCACATGCATGTGAGTGAATCTGGAGATTGGAGCTGCTGGAATCCCCCCTCCTCTTACCCTAGAGAACGTGAGGGACCACGCCATGGCGGTGTCTCGAGCCCTTGAGAGTGGCGACAGGCAGCGCACCGTGCACCTGGCGGAGCTCCTGGGTGTGGGGAAGCTGCGACCCTCACGTTTCTCCCCTGGCCCGTTCCCCTCCCCTCCCTCCCCCCCACTCCCCTCCCCCCCACTCCCCCCCCCCCCCTTACCCCTTGCCACAACGTGTTCTTGCAGAGAACGTGAGGGATCACGTGATGGCAGCATCGCGCGCGCTCATGTGCGGCGACTGGCAGCGCGCCGTGCACCTGGCGGAGTCGCTGGACGTGTGGAAGCTGTTGCCCGTGGCGCAGAGGGAGTCGGTGCTGGCGATGCTCAAGAGCAAGATCCAGCAGGAGGCGCTCAGGACGTTTCTCTTCAACTCCTCGTCCGCCTATGTGTCTATCAGCCTCGATCAGCTCACTCAGGTATGCGCTTCTCTGCTTTTCACTCAGGCAGTCATCATAGTTGTGGCCAGTGGCATGACGATGGTGGGCGATCTTTCTTTTTGAGAATTCTCAAGAACAAAACTCATCTTGTTTACCCGTTCCCTCCCTTTGCCCTCCTCCTCCATCCATTTCCTGGTCTTTTTCTTGAGACACGTGATATAAGGTTGGTTTTGAGACGTCTCAAAACCAATCTTTTGTCTTGAGCAGTTGTCTGGCATGACTGGGAAGGCGGTGCGCATGAGGATGGCTGAGGAGCTCAGAGCGGGCTGGGATCAGCCGTTTATTATGTCGCTCTTGCCTCTTTTCCCTTGCTTCCCTCGCTCTTCCAGATGTCTAGTTTTGAGGCGCCTCAAAACTGCTCTTCCAGATGTCTAGTTTTGAGGCGCCTCAAAAATGCTCTTCCAGATGTCTAGTTTTGAGGCGCCTCTAAACTGCTCTTCCAGATGTCTAGTTTTGAGGCGCCTCAAAACTGCTCTTCCAGATGTTTGGCATGACTGAGAAGGCGGTGACCAGTGTGGCTAGCTGTGTGATGATGGCTGATGAACCCATTGCCTCTCCCTTCCGCCTATTCTTGCTTCCCTTATGCCTGCAGATGTTTGGCATGTCTGAGAAGGCGGTGACCAGTGTGGCAAGCCGTATGATGATGGCTGAGGAGCTCAGTGCGAGCTGGGACCAGCCGTCCAAGTGCATCATGGTCAACGCGGTCAACCCCACGCGCCTGCAGCACCTTGCACTGCAGGTGAGACGCCTTTACTTGTTGCAGTTGAGAGTTGGGGTTGTTGCGGCACCTGTGAGTTGGGTGCTAGTTGCTGATGTGAGATCTAAGGCGGGGGAGCTCAGTGCGAGCTGGGTGCAGCGGTCCAAGTGCCAGCAGCACCTTGCACTGCAGGCGAGACGCGTTGCGGTTGGGAATCAGGTGTGTTTCGTCGCGGGTGGGAGATTGCATGGTCATCGTGTTTAGCCTCTCCCTTGCGCATGTATGTATGTATGTATGTATGTATGTATGTATGTATGTATGTATGTATGTATGTATGTATGTATGTATGTATGTATGTATGTATGTATGTATGTATGTATGTATGTATGTATGTATGTATGTATGTATGTATGTATGTATGTATGTATGTATGTATGTATGTATGTATGTATACTCTTCTGCGTAATCCCTGAGTCCGCAACCCCCTCTTCTCTCTCCCACCCCCCTCCCGCCCCCCTTTTCGCCCCCTAAACCCGAAACCCTGTACAGTACGCTGATAAGGTATCAGTGCTGGTGGAGGGCAACGAGCGGGCCTTCTCCGAGAAGACAGGCGGCATGACGATTGAAGGGGCAGGGGGCGAACGCGGGGGCGGCCGTCGGGGCAAGGATGGGGGCGGGGACTATGGCGGGGGTCGCAGGGATGACTACGGTGGCGGGGGAGGGGAGAGGTATGGAAGGGGGGGAGGGCGCGGGGGTTATGGCGGCCGGGGCGGCGGGAGGGGAGGATGGGGAGGTGGGGGGGGTGGCGGTGGTGGTGGGGGGAGGGGAGGGTATAGAGGGGGAGACGGGGGAGGAAGGGGAGGGCGTGGGAGGGGAGGGGGGTATAGAGGGGGGGATGGGGGAGGGAGGGGAGGAAGGGGCGGTGGTGGTGGTGGGGATGCCAGCAGGTTTGTCAACCTTGGCCGGGCTGGCGGGTACTGAGTGCGCTCTGAATCGGGTGCTGCTGCTGCCAGTCTCCTGCACGAAGCCACGATTTTTGACACGACGTTCTGTGGATGGAGATGGTCGGTATAGAAGAAATTAGTACTACTGTTCATGTCAATGTGTCATGCTCTTGAACGCTTCTCAGCCTGTCGCAGGAAGTTTGGGTGGTTTTTATGAAAGTCTAGTTGGAAGTGAATACCATATTTGAGAACATTGGCAGCAGCTAGTCTTGTGTCGGCTTTCTCACGTCAATAGGGCTGCATTGCTACTTGCTGTGTACTAGATCATTTTTGTCTCTGTCAAGAATGCACTACTCTTGGGCGCTTTTACATGAATATTCACGAAAAGTTGACAGTCCTTGATTTTGCAGGGCATCGAGGCCGAGCGCCCTGATTTAGCAGGGTATTTGGTTTTAATTTCTAAAAAATCACGGCTAGAAGAGCAGGGCGTTGTGGGCCAGCTCCCGCAGGTTCTGCAGCACCATGGGGCGAGTGGAGCCGATGTCCTCTGCTAGCTGCTGCTGCTGGTTGTCCTCCATAAGTGCATACCTGATGGGATAAGTCACAGTGGACACATGAGAAATGTGGGCATGTGAGCAGGTGAGGAAATGGGTCGAGTTGAGCCGATGTCCTCTGCTAGATGCTGCTGCTGGATGTGGGCGATGTGGGTGATGTGGGCGATGTGGGCGATGTGGGCGATGTGGGCGATGGGGGTGACATGCATACACACATTTGGTGGGGGAGGGGGGAGAGGGGGGGGGTAACTGCTGGTTTGTGAGCAAGTGCGTCGAGTGGCGCTGATGTCCTCTGCCAGTTGCTGCTGCTGGCTGTCCTCCATTAGTGCGTACCTGATGGGCACATGGGGTGCATGGGGTGCAGTGCATGGGGTGCATGGTTGCATGGGGTGCATGGGGTGCATGGGGTGCAGGGAGTGCAGTGCATGGGGTGTATGGGGTGCATGGATGTGCACACAGGGGTGGGATGTATGGGCGATGGCATGCACCTGTTGCAGGGGTAGTGCTGACACGTGAACAGTGTCGGCCTGTTAAGAATGCCAACGGAAGCAAGCCTAAACCCTAAACCTAAACCCAAAACCCGAAACTCCAAACCCTACATGCAGTCTGCTATTGGAAAGGTCAACTCACTGTGTAAGCAGCTGGGAGTTGATCAAGCGCTCCACACCCGAGTTTGGGAATGTCAAGTTGTGATTGAGAAAAATAGCTCACTGTGTAAGCAGCTGGGAGTCAATCAAACACTCCACGCCCAAGTGCTGCTGGCCCTTTCCCACCTGTTGCACAATGCACTCAATGCCAACAGGTGCAGCCCTGCAGCCTGGCCCCCGGCAGTTAACTAGTAACGCCGCACAGCAATAGGGAATGTCAAGTTGTAATAGGGGATAAGAACTCACTGTGTAAGCAGCTGAGAGTCGATCAATCGCTCCACGCCTGACTGTGATTGGCCCCTCCCCACGCCTTGCACTGCCCTGTACGCCAGTGGGTGCAGCCCTGCAACCTGCTCCACTGCAGTTACCATGTAACGCTGCACCGTGTCCAGCCGGCGGAACACCAGCTCCGGTACAGGGGTCACCACCGCAATCGCACCGCCGAGCGTCCCTGCCAGCACGCCGAACCTGTTGGTCCGGCCCGAAGCTCCACCTGCTGGGTTCCTCGGCAGTCCCCATACTCCACCTCCTCCTCCTCCTGCTGCTGCTGCTGCCATTACCAGAGGAGCGGGGAGCGGGAGCCGAAGGACCTTTGAGATGACCTCTCCTGTGTGGAAAGAGGCCTTGAGAAGCAGCTTCTGCCCCATGTGCGTCTCAATGGACTTGGAGTAAGCAAACACTTGGAGGTTCTTTGCTGTGTCCGCAGCTAGCAGCCCGAGAGCTGAGCCGTCGATGAGGAAATCGACGGCCGTGATCGGAAGAGAGGAGAAATCTCGTGCGAGGAGGGTGAGCTGAGCGCCCTCCTCCCGCCAGTGCAGGAAGTAGATGCTCTTGAGCACGTCTCCCAGTATCACAAAGCTTTTAACCTGGAAGAGCAAGAGGAGAGAGGCAAAATGGGAGGGAGGAGGTGGGGGAGGGGTGTGGAGGGTTGATCTGAGGCGCCTGCAAAAACCAATCAACCGACCGCCAGTGCAGGAAGTAGATGCTCTCGAGCACGTCTCATAGAATCACAAAGCCCCTGATCTGAAAGACAAGGATAACGGAAGAATGAGAATGGGCGAGGCAAGGGAGGAGGGTGAGCTGAGGCGCCATCCTCCCACCAGACCTCCGAAGCATGTTGTCCTCACTTCAAGTGCCCAGGTGTATTTTGAGTCGACTCAAAATACAGCATGTTGTTCTCACTTCAAGTGCCCAGGTGTATTTTGAGTCGACTCAAAATACAGCATGTTGTCCTCACTTCAAGTGATAGAAGTCTAGTTTTGAGGCGCCTCAAAACTCAAAATACAGCATGTTGTCCTCACTTCAAGTGATAGAAGTCTAGTTTTGAGGCGCCTCAAAACTCAAAACACAGCATGTTGTGCTCACTTCAAATGCCCAGCGAGCATGAATCCGAGCAGTCAATCAGTCATGGAAAATCGCCATGGCCATGGAGGGAAGCCATGTAACAGGAAGCATACTAGAATTCCGTCCCATTTCACGCATACAGCACCAGCTGCCTCCCCACTGCCAGCAGCAGGCTGCCCTGCTGTCTGCAGCGCCTGCTTTTGAGTCGAATCAAATGCCCGGCTGTTGATTGACCTCCCTGTCTGTAAGCATGAGCGACCCAGACGAACCCTGTCAGTTACCCATCGAATCGATGCAATGAAAACCATGTTGAGGGAGCATCAAGGATCGCAATTCCCTCTGGCTGTGTGCCATGCCATGCATACAGCACCATCTGCCCTGCAGCCCCGCTGCCAACAAACTACGATGTGAGCATGCCCTCCCTATCACTTACCGTTGCCATGGAAACCACATAGAGGGGAGCGTCCAAGAAGGCGATTCCTTCCAGCTCTGCGCCATTCCATGCATACAGCACCAGCTGCCGCCCCACTGCCAGCAGCAGATTGCCCTGTAGGGCTGTGAGGGCTGCAACACTGCCCCTTTGACTGCTGCCAGCTATTGGCTCCTTGGAGTAGAGCTCCCTCAGCTGGGGGATGGGGAGTGTGGGGGAGAGGCGCAGGCATGGGGGGGGAGAAAAGCTTCTGGAACAGCAGACTGCCCTGGAGGTCTGTGAGTGCTGCCACGCTGCCTCTTTGACTGCTGCCAGCTACAGGCTCCTTGGAGTAGAGCTCCCTCAGCTGGGGGATGGGGAGCGTGGGGAATAGGACAGAGGCATGGGGAGAACGGCAAGAGCATGGAGACTTCTGAGTCGACTCAAAAGGCATGGGGAAAACGGCCACGGTATGGATGGGACGGGCTGAGCTGTGAGCGCTGCCACACTCCCGCGTTGGCTGCTGCTCGCTATGGGCTCCTTGGAGTAGTCTATTTTTGAGGCGCCTAAAAAATATGGGCTCCTTGGAGTAGTCCATTTTTGAGGCGCCTCAAAAATATGGGCTCCATGGAGTAGTCTATTTTTTAGGCGCCTCAAAAATATGGGCTCCTTGGAGTAGAGCTCCCTCAGCTGGGGGTGGGAAGGGACTGGAGAAAAGGGCAGTGGAATGGGGGAGAAGGGCAGTGCTGTGAGTGCCGCCACACTCCCTCACATCTGTGTAAAAAAACACCTCAAACACGAAAATCAGGCTTACCAAGGGTATCCCAGAGCTCCCATCCGCAGCCTTGCCCTCAGCCTCAGCGGCAGCGGCAGCACCACCACCAGCGTCACCATCAGCCGTTGCCAGAGGGTTATACTCAAAGAGCAGGATTCTGCCTTTCCCCGGTGTGTCTTCCCCAGTGATGAACGTGGTGCACACAGCCAGAAGGGTCTGCAACTGCCCGCTGCTGCGATTCCTCAGCACCACTGACTTCACCATTGTCACCGCTTCAAACGGCTGGAACCCAAAGCTCTGCCGAACCTCCAGGGCTCGGCTCGGAGCCTCGAGGCTCGGGCAGGCCACCACCCGAAGCTGGAAGTCCTCTACCATAGCTACTGGTTCGGTGTCTTTCTCCGAGCCTGTGCCAGTGGTTCCTGGTGCGCCCGGACCTCCAGGGCCGGCCGGGCCTAGGGCTGTGGCTGAGGGGTCTTTTGAGTCTTCAAGGGAGGGTACAAGGAACTGAGACACTGCGCGTGATACCTGCAGGGGGGGAAGAGTGAGAGGAAGAGTAGCGGGTGAGGGGGGGGAAGGGGGCAGAAGTGGCGAGGGGGCAGGGGAAGAGAAGAGGAGAATGAGGGAGGGTACGAGGAACTGAGACACTGCGCGTGATACCTGCAGGGGGGGAAGAGTGAGAGGAAGAGTAGCGGGGGAGGGGGGGGAAGGGGGCAGAAGTGGCGAGGGGGAAGGGGAAGAGAAGAGGAGAATGAGGGAGGGTACGAGGAACTGAGACACTGCGCGTGATACCTGCAGGGGGGGAAGAGTGAAAGGAAGAGTAGCGGGGGAGGGGGGGGAAGGGGGCAGAAGTGGCGAGGGGGAAGGGGAAGAGAAGAGGAGAATGAGGGAGGGTACGAGGAACTGAGACACTGCGCGCGATGCCTGGGAGGGGGGAGGAAGGGGTGGGGGAGAGAGTGAGAGGAAAGAGCGGGAAGAGAGAGGGGGGAAATGGGGGAAGAATGAGGGAGGAAACGAGGAACTGGGAGACTGGACGAAATACCTGAATGGGGGGGAAGAGCGAAAGGGAGACAATTATTAGAAATTCTCAAAAATGTAGTTTTGAGGCGCCTCAAAACTAGGTGCCTCAAACTAGACTTTTGAGGCGCCTCAAAACTAGACTTTTGAGGCGCCTTAGAATGAGGGAGGGAACGAGGAACTGGGAGACTGGACGAAATACCAGAATGGGGGGAACATTTATACCTGAGCGAAAGGGAGACATGTATTAGAATTCTAAAAAAAGACTCCACGATAGGGAGAGATGGGAGAGCACAGCTTGCTTCGGGTGGCTTAAAAGGCCAACGAGGTGAGGAGGAGATTCGCGATTCATAAGAACGCGAAAAGAACAGCGGGGGAGACTACAGGGAGGGAACAGAGAAGCCCCGCATGAGCATGGGCGCTTACAGGAGTGGAATTGATGAGCAAGACCGTGTGTAATGAGTCATTACTCATGAGAAAAATCGACTCATTGCTTACAGGAGTGGAAGTGACGAGCAAGAAAAAAAAAAAAAAAAAAAAAAAAGACCGTGTGTAAGAGTCATTACTCATGAGAAAAATCGACTCATTGCTTACAGGAGTGGAAGTGACGAGCAAGACCGTGTGTAAGGAGTCATTACTCATGAGAAAAATCGACTCATTGCTTACAGGAGTGGAAGTGACGAGCAAGACCGTGTGTAATGAGTCATTACTCATGAGAAAAATCGACTCATTGCTTACAGGAGTGGAAGTGACGAGCAAGACCGTGTGTAATGAGTCATTACTCATGAGAAAAATCGACTCATTGCTTACAGGAGTGGAAGTGACGAGCAAGACCGTGTGTAATGAGTCATTACTCATGAGAAAAATCGACTCATTGCTTACAGGAGTGGAAGTGACGAGCAAGACCGTGTGTAATGAGTCATTACTCATGAGAAAAATCGACTCATTGCTTACAGGAGTGGAAGTGACGAGCAAGACCGTGTGTAATGAGTCATTACTCATGAGAAAAATCGACTCATTGCTTACAGGAGTGGAAGTGACGAGCAAGACCGTGTGTAATGAGTCATTACTCATGAGAAAAATCGACTCATTGCTTAAGGAGTGGAAGTGACGAGCAAGACCGTGTGTAATGAGTCATTACTCATGAGAAAAATCGACTCATTGCTTACAGGAGTGGAAGTGACGAGCAAGACCGTGTGTAATGAGTCATTACTCATGAGAAAAATCGACTCATTGCTTACAGGAGTGGAAGTGACGAGCAAGACCGTGTGTAATGAGTCATTACTCATGAGAAAAATCGACTCATTGCTTACAGGAGTGGAAGTGACGAGCAAGACCGTGTGTAATGAGTCATTACTCATGAGAAAAATCGACTCATTGCTTACAGGAGTGGAAGTGACGAGCAAGACCGTGTGTAATGAGTCATTACTCATGAGAAAAATCGACTCATTGCTTACAGGAGTGGAAGTGACGAGCAAGACCGTGTGTAATGAGTCATTACTCATGAGAAAAATCGACTCATTGCTTACAGGAGTGGAAGTGACGAGCAAGACCGTGTGTAATGAGTCATTACTCATGAGAAAAATCGACTCATTGCTTACAGGAGTGGAAGTGACGAGCAAGACCGTGTGTAATGAGTCATTACTCATGAGAAAAATCGACTCATTGCTTACAGGAGTGGAAGTGACGAGCAAGACCGTGTGTAATGAGTCATTACTCATGAGAAAAATCGACTCATTGCTTACAGGAGTGGAAGTGACGAGCAAGACCGTGTGTAATGAGTCATTACTCATGAGAAAAATCGACTCATTGCTTACAGGAGTGGAAGTGACGAGCAAGACCGTGTGTAATGAGTCATTACTCATGAGAAAAATCGACTCATTGCTTACAGGAGTGGAAGTGACGAGCAAGACCGTGTGTAATGAGTCATTACTCATGAGAAAAATCGACTCATTGCTTACAGGAGTGGAAGTGACGAGCAAGACCGTGTGTAATGAGTCATTACTCATGAGAAAAATCGACTCATTGCTTACAGGAGTGGAAGTGACGAGCAAGACCGTGTGTAATGAGTCATTACTCATGAGAAAAATCGACTCATTGCTTACAGGAGTGGAAGTGACGAGCAAGACCGTGTGTAATGAGTCATTACTCATGAGAAAAATCGACTCATTGCTTACAGGAGTGGAAGTGACGAGCAAGACCGTGTGTAATGAGTCATTACTCATGAGAAAAATCGACTCATTGCTTACAGGAGTGGAAGTGACGAGCAAGACCGTGTGTAATGAGTCATTACTCATGAGAAAAATCGACTCATTGCTTACAGGAGTGGAAGTGACGAGCAAGACCGTGTGTAATGAGTCATTACTCATGAGAAAAATCGACTCATTGCTTACAGGAGTGGAAGTGACGAGCAAGACCGTGTGTAATGAGTCATTACTCATGAGAAAAATCGACTCATTGCTTACAGGAGTGGAAGTGACGAGCAAGACCGTGTGTAATGAGTCATTACTCATGAGAAAAATCGACTCATTGCTAACAGGAGTGGAAGTGACGAGCAAGACCGTGTGTAATGAGTCATTACTCATGAGAAAAATCGACTCATTGCTTACAGGAGTGGAAGTGACGAGCAAGACCGTGTGTAATGAGTCATTACTCATGAGAAAAATCGACTCATTGCTTACAGGAGTGGAAGTGACGAGCAAGACCGTGTGTAATGAGTCATTACTCATGAGAAAAATCGACTCATTGCTTACAGGAGTGGAAGTGACGAGCAAGACCGTGTGTAATGAGTCATTACTCATGAGAAAAATCGACTCATTGCTTACAGGAGTGGAAGTGACGAGCAAGACCGTGTGTAATGAGTCATTACTCATGAGAAAAATCGACTCATTGCTTACAGGAGTGGAAGTGACGAGCAAGACCGTGTGTAATGAGTCATTACTCATGAGAAAAATCGACTCATTGCTTACAGGAGTGGAAGTGACGAGCAAGACCGTGTGTAATGAGTCATTACTCATGAGAAAAATCGACTCATTGCTTACAGGAGTGGAAGTGACGAGCAAGACCGTGTGTAATGAGTCATTACTCATGAGAAAAATCGACTCATTGCTTACAGGAGTGGAAGTGACGAGCAAGACCGTGTGTAATGAGTCATTACTCATGAGAAAAATCGACTCATTGCTTACAGGAGTGGAAGTGACGAGCAAGACCGTGTGTAATGAGTCATTACTCATGAGAAAAATCGACTCATTGCTTACAGGAGTGGAAGTGACGAGCAAGACCGTGTGTAATGAGTCATTACTCATGAGAAAAATCGACTCATTGCTTACAGGAGTGGAAGTGACGAGCAAGACCGTGTGTAATGAGTCATTACTCATGAGAAAAATCGACTCATTGCTTACAGGAGTGGAAGTGACGAGCAAGACCGTGTGTAATGAGTCTTTACTCATGAGAAAAATCGACTCATTGCTAACAGGAGTGGAAGTGACGAGCAAGACCGTGTGTAATGAGTCATTACTCATGAGAAAAATCGACTCATTGCTTAGAGGAGTGGAAGTGACGAGCAAGACCGTGTGTAATGAGTCATTACTCATGAGAAAAATCGACTCATTGCTTACAGGAGTGGAAGTGACGAGCAAGACCGTGTGTAATGAGTCATTACTCATGAGAAAAATCGACTCATTGCTTACAGGAGTGGAAGTGACGAGCAAGACCGTGTGTAATGAGTCATTACTCATGAGAAAAATCGACTCATTGCTTACAGGAGTGGAAGTGACGAGCAAGACCGTGTGTAATGAGTCATTACTCATGAGAAAAATCGACTCATTGCTTAGAGGAGTGGAAGTGACGAGCAAGACCGTGTGTAATGAGTCATTACTCATGAGAAAAATCGACTCATTGCTTACAGGAGTGGAAGTGACGAGCAAGACCGTGTGTAATGAGTCATTACTCATGAGAAAAATCGACTCATTGCTTACAGGAGTGGAAGTGACGAGCAAGACCGTGTGTAATGAGTCATTACTCATGAGAAAAATCGACTCATTGCTTACAGGAGTGGAAGTGACGAGCAAGACCGTGTGTAATGAGTCATTACTCATGAGAAAAATCGACTCATTGCTTACAGGAGTGGAAGTGACGAGCAAGACCGTGTGTAATGAGTCATTACTCATGAGAAAAATCGACTCATTGCTTACAGGAGTGGAAGTGACGAGCAAGACCGTGTGTAATGAGTCATTACTCATGAGAAAAATCGACTCATTGCTTACAGGAGTGGAAGTGACGAGCAAGACCGTGTGTAATGAGTCATTACTCATGAGAAAAATCGACTCATTGCTTACAGGAGTGGAAGTGACGAGCAAGACCGTGTGTAATGAGTCATTACTCATGAGAAAAATCGACTCATTGCTTACAGGAGTGGAAGTGACGAGCAAGACCGTGTGTAATGAGTCTTTACTCATGAGAAAAATCGACTCATTGCTAACAGGAGTGGAAGTGACGAGCAAGACCGTGTG